TAATATTAAGCGTCTCGATAAAGAGAAAATTAATTAATTATCGAGAGTAAAAGTCGAAGTCTTATATATAGGGTAAGTCACTGGGGCACGCGAGAGCCCGAAAAACGAAAGGGGGTTGGAGTGGAATCACAGCACAGGAAGTTCGGTCATCCCTCGCTCGTATACATATCCTATATAATAAATAAAAGTAAAAGACAATCGAACTTTCACTCGTAACTATATTATAACGCGCGTATATAAGAGAGTGACCGATCCTCGCGTGCATATACACGATATAAACTTTCACCCTTTCGGCGGCGCATCGTAATATAACAGGAATTACCTCTTCGACAACCGGGCGCAATCCGTTACGCGTATGTGTGTGTAATGTACGAACTCGCCCGCGCGCGGGAACCGTTACGCAATCAACGCCTACGTATACGCGATACACGATTTCGGGGTGCTGCTTCGTCTTATATATAGCGGCGAAAAATTCGTACGGTCGAGTGCGAGTGGCTTTTGTAAATCGACGCGGCTCATCTCTCTCTCTCTCTCTCTCTAAGACTATATTAACCGGTGCATGCATAAATACGCTGCGCTGTGCGTGCGCAGAGCGCATAAGCCGCACACTGCTGCAGCCATCTGTTGCAACCAGGGGTATATACGTACAAGAGTTGCACCATATGCAGCAGCAGCAGATTATACTCGAACGCGAACGCGATTTCGTTGGAAATTCTTCTTCTTCTTCTTTTTTTTTTTTTTGACTCGCTTGCATGTGCATCGAGAAAGAGAGGGTGTGTGTGTGTACGTGCAGCGGTTATATTATATGCACAGCTATATTATAAGTAGCGGGTTAAAAAAGGAGCCCCGAAGACGACGAACGAACGGACGGACGGACAAACGGACGGACGAGGTTACTGAACTCCGAAAGGTAAGAACTACCCCGCGCCCGAAATTATTAAAAATACAATAGAGAAAGAGAGAGAGAGAGAGAGTCAGGCTGACTCGCGCTCGCGCGCAGGAGGATGTATTTGATTACTTCGACCGATTGCAATAATTTTGCTGCTGCTGCTGCTGCTGCTCATGCTGTCGATGCGGAGCTGGTGCGCACTTTTAACGCCCGAGCTTTGGCTTATTCGAGAATTGGCTTAATTACTATACTGCAGCTCGCTATACTGCTAATATACACCGATCCGACGAGTGTGATTTCGTATATATATTTATACGAGGCCTAGTATATACATAGGGCTCGGCGGTGCAGTGCCAAAAGTCAACGACCCAAGAACCTTTTCGGCGAACGAACGAACGAACGCAAAAAAAAGAAGAAGAATCTTCCCTATAATATAATATACGCGCGCGCCCCGTCAATTATACATATATAGCTGCGCGCAATCCTTGGCACCGATCTTCCCTTGCTCGCGCGCGCGCGCGGATCGCCGAGTCATCGAAACGCAGTAGCAGTAGTATAGGTTGGTAGTAGTACAATGAACGAAGAATAAAAAAAAAAGAAGAAGAAGAATAAGTAGAGGAGGAGGTGGAGACCATCGAAAACCACCGCTATACACGTACTACATATAGGCCTCGACGTTATTATATATAAAAAGAAACGATCCGCTGCTGCTGCTGCTGTGCTATATTACGCGCCCCCGCCCCCGCACTCGTTGCATCGGACAATGACAGATGAGCGCATCGCCGCCGACGACGACGACTTTCTTGGCCGCCGCCGCCACGCGAATGCACCGACTGTATTATACAGAGGCCACGCGACCGAACGAAAAATAAAAAGGAACAAGTAGGAGGAGGAGAAGGAGGAGGAGGATATACGCGTGCCGAAACAGTTGGCGCTCTCTCTCTCTGTAGTGTGTGCATCACCGATATACTATATATGCACACGGTGCATTCGCTCGCGCGCGCGCTGGTGGTTCCGCTAAATAGATCGCCCGTGCGGCGTATATACCGGCATATAAGTAGAGAGCCTCGACACAACGACCACTATCCGATGATTTTTTTCTTCTTCTTCTTCTTCTTCGTCTCCGTTCCCTTTTTTCGGCCCATCTGTGCGGACACGACGGTCAATTTTTGTTAAAGTTTTTTTTTTTCAAAATATAAAGGAACGAGGGGGGAAGAAAGAAGCCAAACGTACGTATATTATTGCATCGCGAAGATAGGAGGCGCGAGGACATATCATCATCTCTCTATGGTATATATGTGTAAGGACGACGATGATGGACACGCGTCGTCGTATCCTGGCAATTATCAGATCTAATAACGTACCCTATATCTCTCTCTCTCTCTCGATTCGAAAACCCAGAGTCCAATTTCCCTCTCTGTGTGCTGACTTGACTAGAGGCGTGCGCGCGTATCGTCGTCGTCGTCGGGTGAAAGTCTAGCCTTTATCGTGTTACAGCAGCAAGAAGATTGCCGACATTTTTCAGAAATTCTATATCCAAATTTTCGAGATATCGTGTATCGAGCAAAATAATCGAATAAAGTCGCGAGCCTCCGTAGTCTGGGCGAAATAATAGGCGTATATATACCTCGAGAAAAGACACGACTAGACAATCGAGCAATTATCGACGTCTTATTTTCTTTTTTTTTTTTTTGCTGGGCTCATTTAGAGACGGATTTTTCGTATAAATAACGCAGGAGAGAGAGCGAGAGAGAGATAAATACTAGACTGATTTATGATATGGAACCGGAGGAGACGATCCTTCGTTCGGATACTTAGAGGGGGCTGCCTTGCTACCACCATCTGACGCTCGGGCGCGCGACAGGACGCTGCTCGTATAATGTACGACGTGATATCGAAAATTTCAAAAACGTTGATGTATGATTGATACGCATTTTTTTGGGGAGGTAATGGTCCGTTTATTAAGGTGAAAAATCATTCCGAACAGCGTTTCGAACAATCGTCACGATTAATTTCAACTATACTGAAAATTCTATAAGATCTCTGCTCTAATGAAAAAAAAAAGAAAGAAAAAAAATCGTATGAAATCTATACCTTCGATCGTATCGCGCCCAGGCTTAATCTGCGCGCAAAAATCTCGATACACCGTATAAAAATATACACCATCTAAATCAATGAGACGATCGTCAAATAAAAAGTGCCACGATGCACAACTTAATCTTTCATATCGATCTACACCTCTCGGCTTATGGGCGCAGATCGAATCTTCGAATCTTCGAATATTGTTTTATTTCGCGGACGACGATCGTCAATATAAATCTATCTACGGTTTTGGATCAAAAATCGAGAACAGCGTTTGGTATAATAGATTCTCTAATTTCTCAAGAGCAGAACGTAATTTTCATTCACGCTGTGGATCTCAAGTTTGTATGCAAGTATACCAATGGGGAAACAAATTTTTTACGATGATTATCAATAAATTCACATCTAAAGTCTTTAAGGCATGAATTTACTTTGCAATCTAGTTCGAAAAAAATTGAGTTTAATATGATAAAATAAGAATAAATTAACGCGATATTACTCACATTATATAACTTCATGGTGATATTCCAATATAGTTTAGATTCTACAAGTATAATTATCACGAAACATCATCCATTTCATTATTTGTAAATTTAATATAAATTTGGGTAGAACCAGAGATTATATTTTATCTTGACTAAATGCCCAAGTTATTTACATTTTTCCTTATCTTATTTTGATTTGGAAATTCACAATTGCCTTTCATGCTCAATAAAACCTTTGAATATTTGCTATGCTTCATGGGATGTAATTCGAATCTTGACAAGGATCTAATTTCATTATTAGGTAATGGTACGTATATTGAATCTTCAAGTTTATCAAAGTTAGTTCCAACAAACGATTTTTTTTTGTTCGTTAAACGTAAAAGATTTTACTTTTCATAATAATACATTGTTACTGCAAAAATGTTCATCACATTAGAAATATTCTATGATAACTAATTTGACATTCTTAAAAGGAAAATGTACCTTGAATCGTACTCGTATTCTTCACATTGCTCTGCACTATACCTCAAATGATTTTCATCTTTATCCTTTGTGATCAATGTAGACTGTTGATTTTCAATCACTGACATAAAAACAAACTTACTTGTAAATTTATTTATATAAATAATTACTGGTATTTCCAAAAGTTGAAACATACCTATCATTGCTTACCTCTCCATACCCAATTGATTGCATTTCTTCTTCATCAATCATTAGCATGCCATCACTGCTATAAGAATTTGAAAAACAATTAAAATATCAAAAACATTATGAGTAATGATCAGAATGTACATAAATATTTATCTACAATTGTTACAAACATTGGTATCTTTGTCGAGCATTCCACATTAAAACTGATTGACATTGAATAATAAGTGAGTGTGTCGTACCTCATAATGATTATATCATCCCCAGTCGGTTCTTTGATTTCAACGATACATTCAGCAAATCAATGAGACTTGATGTCGTTATCTATAAATGTTACAACAAAAAGAATGTTTGTTTTTTTTCTGCCAGCTACAGGAGCTGCGTTCACTATACAGATTAACGACTCAGAACCGTTACAACAAACTTGTCGAAAATCACGACACTCGTGAATTCCATAATATATGATGTCATGCAATGACTTTTAGATAGGGTCACCCTTATTTTCAAATACTAATCCGTACGAAGGATTTTGAACTATTTCAAATGATAGATACGTTTATTTTAACGCTCATTATTGCAACAATGTATGAATCTGAAAATTGATGAAAAAAAAAAAATTGTTTGTTGATACCATCTCACGGCAGTTTCATGTACACACTTCGTGTTATGAAAGATATCTCTTGTTATACTTACTCGTTGAATCAAAGAAGTCATTGTAAAGAATAGTTATGATTTAAAACAAAAAATTATTAGGCCAACAGGCGCTGATCTCATTTTCGTAATTAATATTCAGCGATTCCTAGAAACGTTATCGACTTCGAAGTTCAAATAACGTATCAACTTTTTGATACTTCTATTCTGTTGTAATGTTCGAATTTGCCCAGACTTTATCAAAAAAATCACTTGTATAAAGCTAATGGAAATCGGTCGCGACGGTTACATTTCGAACGGAGAATTCGATGAGCGCCAGGAACGTTCATTTCTAGTCTCTATATGCATGTGTATAAGTGTACGTGTTTCTTACCGGCACAACAGTCAGCTCAAGTGAAAGTCTCAAATGCACGTTCGATATTGACAGTAACGGCTCGAGTCTGACCAGTGCATACACACAGTACTACACAACCTCAAATCGTGTTTCAACGAAACATTACAACGTGACTCACTTTCAGTGCAATTTCAGTAAAAAATTTAAGTGATTTAATTACTTATTAGCAATGAATTTGTTACCGGAAAGCCATCAACAGTTCAGCCAAGCTGATTACTGGAATAGTTTTTTCAAGAAACGAGGTGCCAAGTCCTTTGAATGGTAATTTTCGAACGAAATCAAATGTGTTTCTATCAATCTCAAACGGTCATGATTAATTTTGTTACTTATTTGTTAATGGAACGTTTTTTCGTTTTAAAGGTATGGCGAATTTTTAGAGCTGAGTAGTTACCTGCTCAAGTACGTAAAACAAAAGGATGACATTATCATTGTTGGCTGTGGTAATTCTACTCTTGGAATGAATTTATATGATGCCAATTACAGGTTTGAACTGATACCTTAATTTCTTAATTATACGATATAATCATGAAAATATTTTCAAATCAATAATTTTTATACAGGAGTATTGTTAACATTGACATATCGCCAGTGGCCATTAAACAAATGAAGGAGTTAAATAAAGTTAAAAGACCAGATTTGGTCTTCCAACAAATGGATGCGACAAAACTTGAATATAACAATGAAAAATTCAGTGTTGTTATAGATAAAGGCACTTTCGATGCACTTATGACTGACAGTAAAGAAGAAACTGTTGCATTAGTTACAAAATACTTGGAGGTACTTATTTTTTTTTTGTATGTCCCTGTTATATTGGCAATAATTATTTATTCTGATTTATATTTCTTTACAGGAAATTAAAAGAGTGTTGAAAAACAATGGTAGATACATATGTATTTCACTGTTGCAAGAGCATATTCTTAAAACTCTAATTACTAATCTATCACAAAGTTGTGCAATTCGTATTATAAGATGTCACGATGTTGAATCTAAAGCTTTGGAGCAGAATGAAAGTTCCATGCCTGTATTTATGGTTGTTGCTACAAAATTTAGCAAACTACCTGCACCTGTAAGATTGAATGATGAATACAATTTTGAATATTTAAATGAAAAGTATAAATTTCAACTAAATCTGAATTTTTAGGTTTTAGAGACAATAATGTCAGATTCTTCTCCTGTAAGGGTTTCCAGTATTTATGAAATGATCAACAATGTTCACTCTGTACAAGAAGCTGCATTTTTGAGCTATAGTCTTAAAAATAGTTCAACGGATGATGAAATATTCTTTCATTTATATAAACCCAATGAAAAGCAACCAAGATACTCTATCTATATTTTAGATCAACCAGTGAAAAGAATTAAAAGTTATGCAGCATATTTTGTTCCACAGGGCAGGTAAAGAACTAAACTTTTTTGTGCTTTTTTAAACTAAACTTTATTTTTAAAATTTTTGAATTTTTAAATTTAGAGAAGTAGATTGGTTGTTTTGTACCAAGGAAGGAAGAAAGAAGTTGTTGGAGGCAACAAAGTACGATAGATTGATGATAGTGACTCTGAACCGAGGTCAAAAGTATGAAAGTATAGAAGCTGTTAACAGTGAACTCCATGAAACCATCGTCAACTTTGCTCCTGCAGATTTGCGAAATAATAAAATACCCATTATTTCGGAAGGTCCTGATGTTGGCAATAGAAAACTTCTTTATACTGGCGAAAGTGATTTTAGTGGACCATTTGTAATTGAAGATTTAGAGAATGAATCTGGCCATTTCAGAAGATTGACTTTTTTGAATAGCAAATTGATTGTTCAAAGTGAAGCTAAATTAAAAACAAGTAATTTTTTCAATATTTATGATAAATTTTTACAGTAAAAACATTCGAACATTGATTTAAAATTGAATAACTGTTTTAGTTACAACAAAACGAAAGAAGAAAAAGTTGGTGGTAGATCTTGATTATTTATCCTGTGAACACCACCTTCACATGACTGTTAGTTTAAAAGCGGCTACCCACAATAAATCTAATTCTAATGCTCTAATAGTAGGCCTCGGAGGAGGAGCACTGTGTATGTTTATTCGACGATATGTTCCACATGTAAGCTAATATCATAATTTAAATTTTCATGTAGATTTTTGTTTAATTCATACTTTTTTACGACGATTAATTTTTTATATTTTTAGGTAAATCTTTTAACTGTAGAGATAGATAAAGCAATATTGGATGCCGCAAAGAGTTATTTTGACTTCATTGAAGATGATAAATCAAAAGTTAGAATAGCTGATGGTATAGACTATATAACACAAGCTTCTTCAGAGGGAAGAAAGTGTGATGCTATACTTTTTGATGTAGATAGCAAAGATATGAGTCTTGGCATGAGCTGTCCGCCAAAACAATTTATAGAACCTGATTTTCTTCAGAAAGTCGCCAATTGTTTAAGCGATGATGGATATTTTATTTTAAATCTTGTTGCACGTAATGAAACATTACATAATCAAGTAGTCAATGACTTAAAAAAATGTTTTACTTTTATATCATCTTACAAATTACAAGATGACTTGAATGAGATTATATGTTGTGGAAAATCTGTAAATAACTTAGAAGACTGGAAGAAATCTATTTGTGAAGCAGCCAAAAAAATTAATCAACAAGTTAAAGCAAAAAGTGCCATTTCTGATGAACTAATAGATATCGAGTCAATTGAGACCGAATTATCTTTAGAATAAGTGATTAATTTTAATAATTTTAAAGTTACAAGGTGTGTGTATTTTTAATTAAAAATGAACTGAAATATTTTAATCAAAAATATTTGAATTAATTGATTAAGACATCGAATTGTTTTAAATTTAATATTTTTATTAAGTGTTAAAGATTCAAATGTAAATTATATTAAATTTATATTTACATTTTATAAATAAAATGAGTTGAAATTACGAATTACAGCCTTCATTTTTAATGATACATTCGTGAGAACGTTTATTTGGCGTAAAATACAAATACTTATCGCTTTTACAATTATATTCTGCCCTGCAGTACATAATCGTTATCGATAAAATTTTATATTACAAGATAGTTTACTATGACTAGTTAAGTGACTAAATTTTTCATGATATCGATCATATGCAAAGTATCATGAAAAATTTATTTCACAGTAGCAAGTTTTCCAATAGCTGAGGTAGTGGCTATTATAAAGAAATTACTTTTAAAAAAAATTTTTTTAAAATATCAAACGGTTGCGTCTTTGGAACTTTATATGGAAAACCATATTTCATACATTACAATGTGAATTCGCGAGTAATGCACCATTATCTTATAAAAATCTCAGTACAAAATTATGAAATCATCCATGTTCCATGAAAAACACGATCGTTTGATTAGTCAACTGTAGAAAAACTTGGTTTGGCATGTTTATTCTACAACATACGACACAAAATCGTGTGCGTGTTTATTTTAATATCAATAGTTTTACTCGACTCATTTGTCAGGAAAGTTTTTCACACACATTATCGTCTATGCAGAAAAGTATACAATTTCTTGTATCAGATTCAACTTTTTCATTGTCTAAGGCATAGCGTGAGTTTTTCATTCATTTGCTAAAAAAATCACAGAATAAAAACTCTCACTGGTAAAAAAAATATACGTCCCTATTAAATACAGGGTTCACGATTCGAAAACAATCGTGTAAAATGACGACAAGTACAATAAAATGCTTGAGATTAAGAAAAAAACTTTTTCTAATAATTGATATGCAATCGAGATAATCATTACATAATTTCTTCTAACTTACATATCGACTGAATCTCTAAAATAGATTAATTTATAACAAATTTGTGTACACTCAAATTTTACATAATAATAATTTTAAACAATTACAACAACTCGCACAAGGTAACTTATACAATTATAAACTTTCAAACATTTGGGAAATACAATTGGTTTCAATTACGTCCACACAGTCACATCTAATATTTGGCTATTCGAATCATTTTTTTCAATTTTCCTCGGAACATTTATATATACAATTATCATTGAACATCCGAGGAAAAAAAATCTCCATTAATATAAATGCAATCAAGACATGTTAATCATGTCCATTAAAATATATGTGATTTGTTTAATGATAAACCAAGTATCATCCAACGCTAGCTATTTCATTGTGCTTTACAGTTTTATGTGATATATCACAGAATTAATTTAAAAAATGTAACAATCGATAGATTCATTAAATTACAAAATCCAATTCGAACGAATCTTACGTACTGCTTTTGCAGCATTACTCTTCGATTTTGTCAATTGAATGATCGATTATTAAAGTCCAAGTTAACATAAATGATTCAACTAATTTTTAATTACACAATTTTTCCTATGAATTGAAAACCTATTTTTCAAAAAAGATCTCTAATTTATCTCGTTGGTTGACGTTTCTGAAATGAAAATTGATAAATGTGTTACTATTTATCCTAATGTTCAATCAAAATTTGAAGCGCTTCGTGAAATTTTTTAAAAGCTGCTAAATTGTAAAACACAATTTGAGAATGGCACAAAAGATCTACAAGCTAGTCTCGAGATGTAAGTATTTAATAATTATTTGAATGCATTGATGACTTCTATTAATTACAAGAGATTCTTTCGTTAAGAATCATTTTATCTTACACATATTAGTTTTTCAGCGTCTCAGCACACTGGGTAACTAGTACAATGGATAATGCTTATGAGAAATTAATAAATGAGGTATCGATCGTACGTTTTATGATGAATGAATTAGTTAGAGGTGTTACCAGACGACCCTTCTTACTTCGTTGTGCTAAGGATTAAATGTCCGTAATGAGAATGATGATACTGTCGCACGCGGTATGTCGCTCTTTTATTACTAGCAATAAAAATTACTTTATCCTGAATGCCAAGCGCAGCTAGCGAATAAAGTGCCAGTTGCCAATGTGCGTGCTCGTTTTACTTCAATCAGAAGAACCTCCTCACCATGCGCTTCGGCCAACTGGTCTTTTTCTCTTTTTTGCTCGGCGTCGTGGACGCGCTACCGTCGCTCTCCTCGAAGTGTCCATTGGTCGAGCTGCAAACCTCCAATTCGCTCAGCGAATCTTGGATAATCGTCGAGCTACCGAGTCTGTGAAACGTCTTTTTACCGCTGGAAAAACTCAAGCGTTTGCTGCGCGAGCTCAGCGCGGTGCGCATGAACGACGGCGACATGATCTTCATGGGCTTGCAACGAATACTGCTCGTAGTGCTATCGGGCTAGAGAGAGACGACAGAGGACGATTTTCACATATTTTTTTCTTTCTTTCATTTCACGCGCAGATAAAAGAGCAGATTAAATATTAACAAGATCAACCATACCTGTCCGAAATTATCACCGTCCACGGATCCGTTCTCGTCGTCTTTTCTCTCGATTTCTTCGTCGTCGTCGTCGTAGTCGTCGCTCTTGTCGACCGCGACAGCGTTCGCCTCGTTCATCTTCAGTATCTGTATTCTCTTATCCTGCGCGGATTTGGCTTGACTTTGCTGCTGCTGCTTCGGCACGGGGAAGTAGGCTATGGAGCTGTCGGGCGCCGAGTCCGGCCGACTTTGCTTCTGGTGCGCGAGACCGGCGTTGGTCGTCTCCAAGCCGCCGTAGCAGAGCGCGTCGCTCGCCGAGGCGCTCCGCGAGTGCATGACCATGCGGCTGTCGTCGCCGGTCTCCTTGATCGAGGCGCTGCGCGTCACCAGCGAGTCCTTCTTGCGTCTCTTTCTGCGTCCGGCTTTGGTCGTCGGATTGCCGAGGCTGCTCGACACGACGCTCTCGATCATCAGCTGCTCGTAATTGCCCGAGACCTGAGCCGCGATCTCGCTGGGCCGTCTCTTCTTCGGCTTCTTCGCCATCTGGCTGGTGTTCTGCTTGACCAGCTCGTAACTCCTGGCTTTGTTGCTGCCGGCGGTGGATCTCGCCAAGACGACGTCGCGTCTCCCGTCGGCCGTCGTCACCTGGTTAACGTCGTCGACGTACTCCTCCTCGGCACCGCGCTTGCAGTAGGACAGCACGGCGAGGACGATGGTCACGTTGATCAGGCAGAACAGGCCGTGCGACAGGCAGGATCTCAGGCTCCAGCTCTCGCGCTCGCGATACAGATCCTCGAGCAGGTGGGTGAGCACGTCGATCTGGCGACGCAGCCCGGTGACCTCCTCGAGGCGCTTGGTCTCGCGCTCCTCGCCCTTGCGCGACTCCTCGCTCATCGCGGACATGGCGCGCTCCAGGGTGCGCTGCATCTCCTCGACCTGCTTCTTGTAGCGGCGCGACAGCTCCTCGAGGTACTGGCTCGAGAGCGACATGTTGCGCTCGAGCACCTTGATGCGATTGGAGAGCCGAAGAAAGACGGACTCCTTCTGCTGATGCTGCTGCTGCTGCGTGACCGTGTTGGCGGGTTGACTGGCGATCGTCGAGTCGGGCTTGACTCCGCCGCCGCCACCGCCGCCGTTGCTCTCGACTTCGAAGTCGAAACTTTCAAAGTTCAACTGATCCTTGGAGTCTTGATCGTCCGCCTTAGCTTTTGCCAGTTGTTCCGTTTTCGTTCTCGAATCCTGCGACGCCTCTTCCGTTCTGGCTGCCTTGGTGTCCTTGTCGGCGCCGTCGACTCTGGCTTGTTGCTCTCTGTCGCTTACGATCGAGGTTTCGCGTTTGGAAACCGTGTCTTGAGTCGAGGGCATCTGCGATTGCTCGGACTGCGATACCTTTGGCGAGCTCGACGCGAGACGCTTCGACGCGGCTTCGGGCACGGCGTTGGCGGCGGAGATGCTCGAGGTCTCCGACTGTCCGGCCCTGGTCTCCTCGGACGACGCGTGATGCTGTTGATGATGACTCTTGCTCGAATCGACGGGATCGAGAATGGATAACTTTTTGGCTTCTTCGATCGATACCGTCTTGGTGGGTCTTATCTAAAATCGAGGAACACATCGCGCAAATGAAATACAGAGATCTCCTAATTTCAATCCCGATACGCGTGGGATATTTACCTGCTTCGTCGCGCTCTCGACGACGAGGCCGAGCGTAGGCGACGCTTGTCTCGGTCCGTCGGTCTTGGATCGGACGACGGAAGTCGTATCGGTGGCGAGGATGATCGTCGTCCTCGAAGCAGCCAAGACACTCGCCGCGGTGGCACTCGGCTCGGCGTCGCGCTCGATCGCGGTCCCTCCCTGTTGCTGCCGAGCGTCCGCCATCGTCTCGTTCTGGCGCTGCTGATGGCTGACGTTGGCGAACAGTCGCTGCTCCTTGGCCGCGAGCACGTTGCACAGCGCTATCACGTGATCGGGCGTGAAGAGCGCGGCGAGCAGTCGAGCTTTGCCGTGGCGATTCACACCTTTGGCAGCAGCAGCAGCCGAGTCACCGCAGGCGTCGTCGTCGCCCCCGTCCTGCAGGAGAACCTCGAAGCCGGCGCTGCTGCTGCACAGGTGGCTCTCGATCAGGGCCCGGCGTAGAAACGGCGCCCCGAGCAGCGCCTCCAGATAGTGGCGCTTGCAGCTGATCAGCTGGAAGACCCGCGCGAAGCGCCGATCGTCGCAGTCCTTGCAGGCGACGTTGTACACGGGCGTGGTGCAGTCGTCGAGGGTCTCGTTGCCGAGGACGTCGCCCTCGATGCTCTCCTGGATCTTGGTGATGTTGTTGCTCGAGCGCAGATCGCGACTCTTCACCAGGACCTCGGCCGCCTTGCGCACGAGGCTCAGCACGGCGTCGCGCGCGCTACCGAAGATGCTGTTGGGCGCCGCCACAGGTGGTGGATGATTGTTGCGCGCCGCTTGCTGCGAGTCGGAGCCGCCACTGGGTGCCGCGGCTGCCTCGTCGATGAACACGAGGTCGTCGTCGTCGCTCTCGCTCGCCTCGAAGTCGTCGCCTATCGCTATGTCGCCTGTGCGACGATGAAGAAGGAGGTGAGAATCGTTTTGATTTTGGAGTCGTGAGACACTTACTTTAATTCACGAATCAATTTGATTTTTGAGTTGAATTGATTTTAATTCAGAGAATTTGGCGAAAAGAACTTTAATTTAAATCACGAGCGATTTGAATCAAGTTTAATTGACGAATCAATTTTTTTCTTGAATTAAAATGAACTAAATTCATAAATCATATTGATTCGTGAATTACAACGGATTAAAATCTTTACGATCCCGAGCTAACGAGAGGCGTGTAATTCAATGTGGCGCGCGTTCAACTTCCGTAAACAGAATTTGCGAATCGGCCCAATGCATTACTCTATTTATTTTATTTTCTTGCAAACAACTGCAAAAATTGCGCACGCGATAAAATTTCGAGATAAGATTCGTTGCGCCTATATGCACGTGTGCGTGTGTGTGTGCTGTACGCGCGAAAATAGTGGAATAGTATTTTCTAGGCCGCCGCCGCCAACGGCTCGATAATAGCTGTAATTTTATTACTCCGGTTAATGCCGTTCGATTTATTCGACAAGCGCACACATTGGCGCGACTCTCCGGCGTGTACACACACGCACGCAAAAAGTATGTTATTATTATCGATCCTCTTCGTGCGCGCGCGACGCGTATATGCAAAAATAGAACAAGATCAGCTGTCGCTTAAACTGCTGCTGCTTCTGTATAGTAGTAGTAGAAGTATAGGCATATATATACGAACCATCGGCGCTGCTGGCCCTGTCCGCGTGGGCCTGATCGCTCTCGGTCTCGGTCTCGAGCACCTCGAACTCGCTGGTGCCGTAGGCACGAAACAGCGAGATCGGGCAGAAGTGCTCGCTGCCGTAGTGCGTGTGCAGCTCGACCTTGATGAAGCGCCCGAACAGCTGGGGCTGCAGCTGGAAGCTCTGCACGTCGCGCTCGTCGCGGGCCTGGAACTGGCCGACGGCGGACCAGTCGCGGCTCGGGAAGCGATCGCTCACGTACACGGACAGGTCCTTGGGCGACGAGCTGAACAGCTCGAAATTCGCTGGGCGGGGGAGAAAACACAAAAGGATGAAAAACAAACAACGACGATCGTATACATATAGGCTGCTGCTTACCGAGCTCGATCTTTTTCGCTTGGATGGCTTCGCAGAGCTGCACGACGAACCAGATGCGGGTCTTGCAGGTGTTGAGCATGTACTCGTCGCGGGTCGACACCAGGACGTTCTTGGCGCTCTGGGCCTCCGGATTGACGGCGACGATCTTGGCGCCGCAGTCGGGCGAGGCGTAGTTCTTCGAGTGCATGCGCATGCCGCCGAGGCCGCGACCCGAGGCCCCGCCGTTGGCCGTCTGTATCGACGCGTTCGGATGACCCGCTACAAAAAACGAACGAGGCACAAAAAACAATTAAATCGACTCGTGTCGCCTCGCGCGAAGAGAAAGAAATTACTATACACTTACTCTTCTTCTTTTCGGCCTCCTCGAGTCGTTTCTGGGCCCACTCGTTGAAGGACGGTATCTCCTCGTGCTGAGTCGGCTCGGGACTCGGGACAGCTGGCACCGAGGCAGTAGTAGCGGCCGTCGCCGATCCTTCCTCCGCGAGGCCGTCGGCCGTAGCTTCCTGGGACGTTTGCGGTGGAACGACGACGACGATTGGCTGCTGCTGCTGCTCTTCCCTCGTTATCTATATGCGAGCGAGAGAAGAACGAACAAAAAAAAAATTAACTAAACGAGCTTAGAAAGGCACGACGACACGGTTTATTCTTTGCGTGAATCAGTACGCGAAGTATGCGCGAGTCAGCACACACAGAGACACGTACGAGCGAACGTGTCACAGGCGGGAAGCTCTAATGAGTATTCATTCGTATTAATTTGCGTAATAAAAAAAGAACAACGAGAAAGAGAAGAATAGCCGAGGCAATTTTACCGGTTCAACGTCTTGTTGCTGCTGCTGTGGCTTCTTATCGTCGTCGATCTCGGTAACCAATGCTGCGCCTGCTGCAGCCTGCGTCGTCGTCGTGGCAGAGTCATCTTTATCGTCTCCGTCGCTCCTCCCAACCGCTGCCTGCTGCACCACGTCGACGTTGTGGCTCTTCCTCTCGGCTCTGACGACGACCACCACGTCGTCCGTCGTCGTCGTCGTCGTCTTCGTCGATTCAGTCTCATTATTGCTATTTACATCGTTATTATTATCGTTATTGTTATCGGCGTCGTCGATCGTCGTCGTCGTCGTCGTCGCTTCGTCGATGGACTTTGGTAATCGGACCGGTTGATGATGATGATGCTGCTCGCTGACGTTGGCGGCTGCAGTGGCAGAAACAGCTCCGTGACGCAGCTGCTCCGTCGTGCTGCGAGTCGCGAGATTTTCCAGACTCGCGGCTTGACGATTGTCGATCAGCGTCACGACGACCGGTTGACCGCCTCCTCCGCCGCCCTCGGAGATTCTACAAAACAAAAAACATACGCGTCGTTTATGTGGGTCAAGGTCGTCGTCGTGTAAAAAATAGAATTGTTCCTATGGTTTTTAATGCGAAAAGATGCTAATACAATAATGTTCTAAAAAAGTCACTACGTCCCTAAGAAGAAAAAACCGATTCAAGTTGTTCAATTTTTTTTTTTCTAGTCCGGAAGCTAAGGAGGTTTTCGTGGACCGTTTGAGATCCACGCGAACCGAGTCTGAATATAAAACAAGGAGACATCCTGGCGAAAGTGGCCCCGTCGACTACAAGCCAAGCAACGAGGCTTCTTTCATCAAGACTTAGCCTTATAACGAAGAACTTTATACAAAGTACATTTTTACTGATTTTTAACTTATTGCGCCAATTCGATGGAAATTCCACATTGACGATTGTTTAAATCAATCACTTTTTTTGGTGATTACCGCATAAATCATTTACCTTAATATTAACATTTTCATCATTGCTTCGTAACGACGAATTCAATATTTAAACAATAATACAAAAAGCAAATTAACTTGATTTTCTTTTGCATTTGATTATTTTATTATTGGTAGCGGGGGATATAATCTTTGAATGTGTACGTACACGTTTAAAAATTTACGTTACTGCTCACTGCCACGGTTTTATTTATTATTTTTTTTTATGCGCAGACCTCCAATCTAAAAAACAAAGTTTTTGAAATTTACATTATCGGGTCCACTCCAGTTTCGGTCAAACTAAGAACCATTCGACTCACGATATGTAAGCCTTACTTTTAAAAAGAAAATTACGGCAAAATTGTCTCAACCGACGAATCGATTTTCATCATAAAATACGAAAAAATCAAAGCCCAACCTCGCTGTATTGGTACGTCGACAACGAGCTGGCTCCGAAAAATATGACGATTGTTCCTATTTATATGCCATAAATGCCAAATGCTACATAAACGCATTTACATATAGAGTCGGCGGCTGACATACAGAAATAAGACTTTGGAATCTCTCGAGTTGCCGCTGCTGCTGCTGCTGCACACGAGAGACTGCGTACATAGGTATATGACCGCAGCTATATAAGCGAATGGGACCGAAAATAACTTTTTGCCATAGTTCAGAATTGCTCGTTTTTTATAAAACGGTTTCTTTTTACATTTTTTCAACATATCGCGCGAGCTTAAAGCTGCGTCGGAGCTAGAGCTTCTCGCAGTGTAACAGTAGATGAGGCCTTTTAAATTGTCCACAACGATAATAATGGGTGCGTGTGCATTATAAGCGGCGCGCGTTGACACGCATTCGCCGTATTGCATTTCAGGTATTTTTTTTTTTTGTATTTTATTTTTGCTGCTTTATTACAGCGCCTCTCAAGGTCGCCGCGCGACGACAACGACGAATCGAATGAGTCTTGCGAAAAAAAAAAAAAAAACTCGTACGTATACAAAAAAAAAAATGTTTCCGTCCGCGATAATTTCGCGCGATGCCACCACCGACGCATCGGCTGGATCATATAAAACAGCTGCACATGTAAATTATTGCATAAGACGTCGGTCGCGATAAAGAAGAATTTCCCCGAGTTGCGGTGCAAAAACCGGATCAGTCGTGTACGTGTATATGCGTTTTACGCTTAGACTCATTAGCGCGAATAATAACGGGCGATTGGCTGCGTATGCTTCTATGTTGTGCATGGCTAAGAAAGAGAGAGAAAGAGAGTACGTAGACAACAACAAAGAGAGTAGGTGTCTCCTGCTCTCGGCGCATAAGCAAGTGTATTACAAAAAATTACGCACGATGACAATTGCGAATCACAAATGAGGCATTTAAAAGCGACGAAGGGGGACTCCTCGAGGCCTATATGGGAAATGCCTCGATCGTTCATCGACATGACGGGGGTAGTAGGGGGACCTTATTTGTGACCGTTTGCTTATGGCTGCTGTATACTCATTATATTACTCTCTCTCTTTCTTGTCTCTCTCTCTCTCTCGTCGTCGCTGATGATCGTGGAATAGAAGTTGTCACATTGTCCACTCACGGTGCATTCGAGAGATAAGACGAGTCGTCGCGCGAAACGGCTGCGTGCGACGAGTTGTTGTTGTTGTTGTTGTTTTTTTTTCAGTGACTCGGTGCAAATCAAATTTTTGTAATCGTTATCGAGAGGCCACGTGGATAAATTCGACAAGTATATATACCACGATATATACGATAAAAAGAAGCTCCTAGAGCGGCGCGCGCGTACGACATGGCCGAGGAAAGCGGCAGATCGAGCGGTGGAGCCAGGATAGACTGCGCGCGGATAATGGCCAAGAATCCAAAGCGCATGGTCTTTTTGATCTTCAAAATTGTCGAAGTGGTCGGTGCTGCGTTACTATTATACGTGTATCTATTGAAAATCGATAGAGGGTGACTTGTACCGATACCCGCGGACGTCGCGTTCAAGTACCTATATGGATAATTCCATTTTTTATTTTGACGATTGAAAATTTAAAGATTATTACCCTCGCAACGGTGTCTAAATTCACAAAGATTTGAGAAAAAAAACTCTGTTAACGTGGCAATTTTTAAATTAAAAAGTGTCCGCGTTATGAAAAATTTGTCCGAAAATTTACAAGAGACTCGAACAAAATTGACCGCGAGTATCGGTACAGTCTCCCCTGATGAGCTATTAGAAGAAAAGGGCGAAAAACTAATTATCATTATTATTGCACACACGTACACGACGCATCATCATTATCGTCAAATACAGGTGCTGTGCGACGTGGCGATCGGCCTGTCGAACTATCCGTTCGACGACGTGCAGGTGCGCCGCAACTTCTTCCACAACTTCACGGACATCGAGGGCGCCATCGTGTTCACCAGCCTCTACGGCTACAGCCTCATCAACGTCGTCCTCGTCGTCTCGTACTTTCTCGACGAGAAGTTGCCGAAAAAAATGGTCAGTTCTCCTCTCTGTATATAATCCAACTCTCTATCGAGCCTAACGTTATACGAATACTTCTGTGTGTATGTCTGGGCGCGCGCACAGCTGATGATATTCTCGAGCGTCGCGGCGATTCTGTGCTGCATCACGGGCGTGATACTGATCGTCGAGCTGGGCAATCACGACTACGACCTGGTGCCGACCGAGTACATCGATCAGCTGCTGCCGAGCGGCTGCGTCGCGGTCCTCGCCTCGCTCACCTTCGCCCTCGACACTCTGCTCACTTACAAATACATATGAGACGAGAGACAGAGAGTGACTTTTATTTATAATCTACTTATAAATATATCTATACATATAAAATACGTATTAATGAACTTGCAAACACCTGCGCAATTTTATACATAATATAAATCGCGAATTGATTCTCTCCTTTTCCTCGTCTTCTTCTTCTTCTTGCATCGTTTGTATCGTTTGTATCATGGCTATATTGTGTAATGTCCTTATCACGAAATAAACTCTGAATAAACTGCCTCTCGTTCATCGATACGACAATTTTTTCTTCTTCCATCTCTAATTTTTCTCGCGCGGCTATTCTTGGCGCGATTACAACAATATATTATATACATCAGTGGCGCCGTGTACGTATGCGTGTGTGGTCGCGTCGACAACCGATTGATCGGTTCGCGTCGTCGTCGTCGTCAGCGGCGTTTATTACTGCCTCGTATACTACACTGCCGCGTGTTTATAATTATCTGCGCGCATCACGACTACGTATATATACGTACCGACGATTAGCCGATATCCGAGTTTGACCTGCATCGCTCGCAACATCGTGAATTGAATTATACGATATCCGTCGTTGCTTTCTCGCTTCTTCTTCTTCTTTTTTTGTTTTCATTTTTTTTTTTTCAACTCGATGAAAATCTCGTCGCGGTTCTCTCTGCGCAACGTTGCGCGCGAGTTTTGTGTATGCGACAACGTTTTGTATAAATACATTATTATTATTGTACAGTGTGTGTGTATGTGACCTTGCGGCTTCTCGAAGCTCTGTCGGACACGTGTTTTTTTTTCATGTATTTAAGTCGTGTGCGTTGCGTTTAAATGACACGAAAGAGAGTTAACACACACATACACGCGCACGGAGTATAAGGTGCACACGCGAACGAGCGGAAGAAGGAGAAAAAAAAGTCGCAGAAGAGAGAAGAATTTTCTCTCGCTCGAATCCCAGATATGGTCAGGCCAAGGTACACATAAATGTGTCGCGCGAATTCTATATTGCAAGTTCCGCTTTCGTCGCAGCATCGATCGAGACACGCGTCGCGATTTTATATACGCTCGTAATCGCCATCGTCCAAAATCGCGATGATACGACGTCACGAGTCGATTGTAATTAATTAGGGTGAAGTATTATTATTCGTTAAAATACGTCACGCGCCGCGGTGACCGATAAGAAAATTCTCTCTCTCTCTCTCGACTTTTGCGTCGTTCGTCGCGGGGCAAGTTCCGCGAGCGCCGCCGACACGCAATCGCGCATACATAAAATATCCGGTGTATATACGACGCAAAAGAGAGAGAGAGAGAGAAAAGCCGTCCACTGCTGTATGCAAACATCGTAACGAGATTAAAAAGCGTCGTGTTGTCGGGTCGGGCAAGGATTACGCAATATTTGACTCGAGGAAGCAGACTTCGCCACAATTGCATCAGGATCGGAGCGTATAATATTATAATCCTCCTGGAAATCGATCGAGCGAGTGAGCGGCTTCTCCGCTTCGAATTCTGTACATATTTATTATGTATCATCCACGTGCGCGGGTACTTAACAATAACAACAACAACAAAAAAAGCCGACGAGAGATCTTTCGTAAATACCACAACGACGACTGCAGAAGATATCGCACCAGCGTGCAAAAGTTATGACGACAATTTTACACACACACACATGCAGACACTTTTCGTGATCTAGAAGCCTCTGTGACGCGCGACAAACGGAAGAAGATAAGGAGTCGATTATATTATATCGACTACGTATAACGATCGTTAAATATCTATTACAATGCGAACACGTGTCTCGCCAGTACGAGGCATTAAAGTGTACTTAATCGTTATCGCGTTCATTAGCGAATGTTTTAGGAATTTTGTTTTTTTTTGATACAATTTTATTTCTATACGGTGCCAGTGAATAAACTCACCCTCGAGATAGATTGGGCCGCTGGGCGAGGCTCTCCTTCGGTATCTTGATCCCTTTGGTGAGCTCGGTGCCTTCGCCATTGCCGAGAGCATCGAAGCTCGACGATACGGACGTTTGGATACTCTGCAAAGGTCGAGTCATTTTGTCATTAATATCGATCGCGGTGAATTCGGGGGTGCGGTAAAGATGTGAACGACGACGACGATGAACGAATACTCACTTCGTGGTCGTGTCTATCCTTGGTAGCGAGCTTGGCCCAGCTGCTGGGCCTCTCGTGCTCCGTGTAAATTTCCCCGATGCGAGAATCATTGTCGTCCAGGTCGGACTCGTGCTTCCTCCTGTCGGGTCCAATGAACTTGTTACTCTGTACGCTTTCCGAGGCGACGATCAGAAACAGCAATGCACTGTATTTATAGGAAAACAAGAATCGTCGTCGATTAGTCAAATTCGAATGGAAATCGGGCTTCGTATGTGTGTTGATTATCGATCCAGCGCACCACGTGGAAAAGAGGAACGATAGGCGAATCGAGCCTTGATCGAGTAAAGCACAGGTGTCGAGAGCTTTCGTTCGTTCGACAAAAAAGAAAGTCGAATTGGATGTTCGAGCGGTCCGATTTATCGAAGGTTTGAAAAATTGACAAGCGCCGCAGCCGCCGCTGCATTATATATTTAGGTACATAACATACATGTGTGACAAAAAAGCAGGCTGAATAACCCAGCCCCTGCATGATGCTATATACTCAAGTACTACTGTGCGCACGGCAGTATATATATAGATAACGTACAATACAAGCGTGTGTTGTATGTGTGTGTATGTATACATTATCGGCGGGGTCCCACCTAACCCCCAAAAGCTCAACGACTGATGAACGAGACGATAATGTTGTAATGCTAAAATACCTCCGCGCACCGTTTTATAATTATTATAAAGACGCGTCGATTGGATGCACACGATCTCTCACCTGGACACGACGGACGTCAAGAGCAGCATCCAGTAGACGTGCTGCACGCCAAATCTCATCTTTTTAGCTTCTCTCGCTGCAGCAACAACATCCTCGAGTCCCTCGAGCTTCGTATCCGTTATATGTGTATTGTATATATTTGAGTGTCGCGGTATACTACACACTGCACTGCACTGCAGTTGCAATTTTATGTATATAATAATATAATGATAATCGAGCTGAGCGCGGAGACTGGAGACAGTGCGCGACTACTGCTACTGCTGCTGCTGCTGCTGCTAGGCTGCCGCACTAATGTGTCCGTGTCTGTGTGTGTGTGCGTATTCGTCCGCACACCGCGTTCACGCGCCCAGCAGTAGTCACTTATTAAACGTGTCTCGGGCCGCGGCAGTCCGGCGACGAGGCATGATTTTCTGCACGCACACTACACGCACATCGTGCTATATATGTGTATATATGGGAGCACGCGGCTTACGCGTTCTCGGGCATTTAATTATTTAAACCACATATATTATATTATACAGAACGCACGCGCGCACTGCACACCGCAAAGTATATTCGATTAATTTTAACACCTGCACCAGTACTCGATTCACCAGTAATCACGAGGAGGCACTGCGGATCTCGCGCACCGAAACGCGACGACGTGTAATACACGTAAGTACGATGACAAATGCAGGCGCGCCGAGTTGCATTATGTCTATATACGAGTTCGAGCGCCAACTGCCAACTCGCGGGTGTGCGACTGCGGCGGCGGCGCTATCACTACTGACGTGGACGTCAAAAGAACGAAACGCGTAATGCTGCTTATACATCTACTGCTACGATTGCTTACACGTATGTGTGTGTATACATTTGCGACGCGATGCGCAAGCAGGTATACGATACATATAATAATATTGCAATGTTTAACGCCCTCGCGCGCGCGCAAAGGCATTATATACTTGTATATATACGTGTACCAATGTGAATGTGCATGTGCACACGCGGGTGAATGTCGCGCGCGTTTCGGCTCGTTTTGCAATTGTGGCGTGATCGTTGCAGCTGCGTGCGATCTTTTTTGAAATGAAATTATGATACTGTATAAATCGGACGCTCGTGTAAAATCATTTATCCTTTCCTACTTTCATTGTTGAAAAAATTTTTTTATAGGATCACTGCCGAGCGTACGATATAGTACTCGAACGATGAAACTCCTACTATAGGGTTCGTTGAAATTTTCAAAATTCGAGATTTCTTTGCAGAAGCCGCGATTGATCATTTGATTTGTAATTTTGAGGGCTAATGAAACTTTTAAAGCTTAGGACTTTCGACCATTGAGTCACAGAAAATATTAGCGGAAAATTGCGGGAATATCAGCTTTCCAAAAAAAGTTCGCCAAAAAAATTCGCTACGCTACGCGACTCACTGAAAAGTGTTACTTCAATGCCCTGTTAAAATTTTAACTCAATCCGTTACATTTTTTCCGAGATTTTCGGGAAATAGTTATTTTTCATTAAATATTAATAGTTATTGTTCCATTGCATAAAATACTTTTATAGTTTTTCTTATCCCATTTTGCTCTCGTAAAAAACGGTGTCGAAAAGTTTAAATTAAAACATCTTAAAATTATTCTTACCATATAAAACCAATTTTGCGGCGTCATTTAAAATACCCAAAGGAAGCTTTCAGTGCAAAAAATCAATCAATACTAATTTTAAAAATCATAAATGAGTGTTACCCCTCAAATGAAAGTCGCGATGACAATTATTTCGCCGTGACATCTAAAGGTACTACCTACGACAAGAAAATGAGTGGAAAGAACAGAAAAAAAGGCTATAAGAATGGTATACGTTGAGACACCGCCGTGTCAGCAGTGGACGAAGATTTTTTTTACTTGTATGTAAACTGTGAATGCACAAATAGCCATGACTTCTAACAATGAAGTCGATGAACGTTTCAATAGCGGAGGCAAGGAAGTTAACTTAAAACAATCGAAAAAGAGCCCCGAGTTTTTCTAAAAAAATGCTCTTTTCGGTGGTTATGGGGATGAATTTATCCCCATAAAAAAAATTGGGAATGATTTTTTCCACTTTTTAAAGGTTTGTCTTCTAGAGAAAGTTGTAATGATTAAAACGAGATATTGAACGTAAAGATCGGACTAGTAGATTTTCTCAATCGCTGGCAAGAACCGAAAACGGATTTCAGCAAATTCCGTCTACAGCCAACAAAATGGGTCTTGAGTCCCATAAAATTTTTATTTTATAGTTTAATATGTAAGGAACAATACCCAAAAGGTCCAGAATGAATAAAAATTATAGTTTTCAAAAAAAATCATCTAAAAAGTGATTTTTTTTACAATTTGCAATGGGAATGTCCCTTGAAGGTAAAATTTCTGAAAACGTAATTGATCTTCCTCGCACGAAAATCGGTTTATAATTAATTATCACATTTTCAATTGCTCTACGAGTAGAGCTCCTCATTTTCGGTCAAGGTTTTGTTTTAATCCATGGGATAAAGGGTACGTTTTCATGGTTTCAATGGCAGTCTGAAGAAAAAAGAAATTTCCAATTATTTAGAAATATTTTTCTTCTATTAACCGATTCGAAATTACGGAGAAAAAGTATTTTTTCGATTATACATAAAAATATAATAAACTAAGAAGGTCAATATTGTTAATTTTTTTCTCTTTATTTATTTGAATGACATAGACTACAAAACTTCTTGGGATATTTTTTAACCCTGACAGGTCCTTTTGTAATACATTATTCAATTGTCACTACATGTTTTTTACTGTCTTTTTGGTTGTTTTTGATGGTAGCTGCCAAGCAAATATTATATAGATCTTGATTCGTTAACTCATGTATGACCATTTCACACATTTCAAGTGGCAGCCGAAAGTGAATTAATTGCCAAAAAGGATAGATCGCCCAACGTCTGAAAAATCCTCTCCACATTATCTCGCACAGATGCACTGCACATGCGTTTGGGACCTTGTACTTGACCCAGCCGGGCAGGAACTGAAAGTAACCCGTGCATCTGATTTGTTCTTGAGCCTCCTCGGGTCGCAACTGAATCAGGTCGCCAAGCGACAGACTCGGACTTATCAACTTGAAGTTTTTCTCATATCTTATGAGCTTCTCGTCGTCGCGCCAGCATTTTTCAAAATCCGCCGACTTCTCGAAATATCCATGATCGGCAAAATGTTTCATGATGAGCAGAGCTTTGCTTTGGTCCAATTCGTATCCTCTTTTCTCGAGACATTCTACGATGACTAAAAGGTTGGATACGTGGAAGAATCTATCATAAATGATGTTAACCTTGCCAAAATAATCCTCGGTGGGAAAAACGAAGCTGGACATATCGGCCCCGCGATCCAATAAGATCTCGACCATCTCCAGGAAGATATTGGCTACGGCCCATTGGAGTGGTGTTCGACCCAACTTGTCTTTGGCGTCGACCTGCAGCGTCTGATTCAACTCGTCGTTGATCGTAAAATATGACTCAACAAAGTCGTCCGTTTGGTATCTCTTGGAAATTAAGTGCAGTGGAGTCGATCCCTCTGCATTGGCTGAGTTCGGATTGGCGCCCATTATCAGCAGATATTTGGCCGTCTTAGGTCTGATTCCGGTTGATGAGTCTAGGGCCAAGTGCAATGGCGTATTACCAAATTTGTCTCGAGCGTCGATCGACACCTGGTGATGGTTCGCTTCGCAGGTCTCCAAAAATATCCTCATAAAGTCATCTTCACTATCATTGGCAAGACATAGTCTCCAAAAAATAGCGTGCAGAGCCGTCTCTTCCTTCTTATTGATCAAATTTGGATCAGCGCCTCTTCTCAGCAGCAAAAGAGCCACATTCCTGTCCCATTCCAGAGCCAGATGAAGCGGCGAATCACCCGTTTTCTTCCAGACACAGTTGGGATCCTGTCCGAGATCGAGAAATTCTTCAACGACGTCGAAAATACCAAATTTACAAGCCACGTGGAAATGTGTCAATCCAGTTTCATCTGTGTAATTCAGGTCGTGTCTGTTGTAAATTTTAAAAAGCTCACAAGCTATCCATTCCTTATCAATAATCGAGCAAATTCGCAATAACGAATGCAATGGTGTAGTGCGACGCAAAATTGGCTTGCCGTCTTTATCAAGTCGCGGATCGTCTTTGTAGCCGCTCTCAACGATTAACCTGATAAATGGTAATCTTATGTCCTTATGTTTTCTATCGATTATGACGTCCGATAGAATATACTCCACTTCTTTGATTCGAAAAATGACCCGCAAGTCAACAAATTTGCCTTTCCAATTGCTCATTAAATTGTACAATTGACAAATGACCCTATGTCGACCTGTTCTTTCATTCCAATTAACATTTTTTAGTGAGCGAATGAATTTTTTCACAACCTGTGACTCAAGGTTTTCGTCATTGGAATCAGTTATGTCAATGATTTCGATTCCGTTCTCATGGTGATCCCCTGGTTTTAAATGACAATTGACACTCTCGAGGTCTTCGTCATCGTAATCAGATATGTCAATGATTTCGATTTTGTCGTTGGACGTAGACATGGTTTTCACACACACTCACTATTCAAATTCACCCACAAACACAGACGCTAACAATTCAAGATTTTTAGTTTTTTTATTATTCACACTGCGCACGTGGCGGGTAGACGGTTAGGCGAGTATCAAAACGTAGACTAGCCGCTTCGAAGATGAAGATCAATGTAGTGATTGAATGACACTCGAAGCTCTTGAAGCTAATTATAGGTTCGATAATAATTTCAGAAGGTGATTGGCTTATTCACGCATGTAAACGAAAAAGAAGTCAAAGACACACTGAGACGAAAAAATTAAATCAACTGAGAAAAGTTTTTTTTTCGATGCGTTTACTACTGCGGCTCTGTGCGTCACTCGTGGCGCCTCCACTTAGAGAAATTTAGTTCGGCGAGCGCCGCAGCTGGCATACTTGTGGAAAGTTGGATGTCATTGGATGTCGTGTGGAGGAAGAGAAAGACCGCGTGCGCATCGTCAACAAGATAGCTAGTTTAAAATTCCATTAAAGAGGCCGCCGATTGAGATCTGTGAATTATGATCCTTTGAGATTCTGAAGAACGAGAATTTATTTATTATATTTGTTTGGTGGCTGCAGACCGAACCGATATAGATTGTAATAATGAGCATTTTTCTTTTATCAATACTGACAGAAATTTGAAAGAACAAGCTCGAAATTGCTGAAATTTTTACTTGTAACTTTGAAAAGCGATTGAAAAAATTTATTTTCATTTTCAGATTATGTTCATATTATTAATGTTGTAAAATGAAAACTTTTGAGATATCTAAATTTTTGTATCCAATAAACTGTTCATTCATTGATTTAGAACTGTATTTTTGTAACTGCAATGCACGCGTTTGGCAAAATAAAATCGTCTCAACCCATACGTAACATCGTTTAAAAAAATCCCAATTAACGTACGATATTTATTAAAAAGGCTCGATAATACTTTTAATCTATCATACCCAGCTTCAAGAGCTTTGACACAATTTTCGCGCGACGAGCTTCGAATTAGATTGAATCCTCGGTCGGTAACCATGCTGCGAACTTTAAATATGTCAGATGTGATCGCGCGAATATGCCGGCTCTACGTTTATTATTGTTATAAGGATACTGGCGTGTGTTCGTTGGGGTGTTTCGGCGTGATACGATTTTTTACTGCGTGACAAAATTGGAATAATAAACAAAACTGCACTATGAATTTCTTGTATCGGATACCGTTCTACGTGTTGGAAGTTCCTAATATTAAATTGAAAAGGCCGTCATGGTTTGTGAAACCAAGTGCAATGGTTGTTTTCTCAATGGTGCTACTGTCATACTTTTTGATGACTGGAGGTATTGTTTTTTTTCTTACTTTTCCAAATTTGCTGTATTTATCAAGTTCATCCATGACTGTCTCGGTTACATTCTAGGAATCATATACGATGTGATTTTGGAACCTCCAAGCGTTGGTCAAACCACAGATGAACATGGACACAGCAGACCTGTGAGTAATTCTTGAACAAGTATACAATGGTACAGGAGCAATTTTTTTAAAGTGAATTCAATTGTGCATGTTCGCAGGTTGCTTTTATGGCTTATAGAGTCAATGGTCAGTACATCATGGAAGGATTAGCATCAAGTTTTCTTTTCACCCTTGGAGGCTTAGGTTTCATTATTCTTGATCATACTCACAGCCCATCCATGCCAAAACTAACAAGAATATTGTTAATTAGTGTGGGTTTCATAAGTATACTGGTTTCATTCATTTGCTGCTGGATATTCATGCGCATGAAATTACCGTGAGTATGAACTGCAGTGGTTTGAGTAATTCATAGTACTGGGAACTGTTTGTTTATTATTTTTTTTTTTATTTTCAGGGGATACCTGCAAGTGTGAAATTGAATGGACTGAAGATACTATATCATTACCACAAAATTAATTTTTATTTGCCTCAATCACATTTACTCTATAAGTAATAATTTTTATTTTGCTATAAAGAAATACATAAATACAAGATATTGTAAATATGCAAATCAGTAAGAAAGAATGTTTTTATTATATATAATCTAATTCATAAATTAGAATAAAAACTTATAGAACATTGAAAAAAGTACTTGGATAAAAAAAATCTTGAGAATATTACAATTGCTCCTACGCGCCATATGATTTTATTGCACAAAATTAAGCTCGATTTACAATTAGCAGTGTTCATTTGCTGGTTGTTAAAGCTCAGAAGGATGAGCTTTTTTACAAGGAAATTCTTTAGAAGGTGTCTCTAGATCAGGTAAGTTATTATTATTAAATGATTCAACTTGAAAAATGATTGTTTTTATTAAATTTTTTCTTTATTGGCATAAAAAAGAAACCAAAACTCTTTACTTGTGAAGTTTCTGTGTGTTGTTCACTTTAATCTCATTTCTATTTTTTAACTTTTTATAAATTTTATTGCTAATCTAATTCTAATAAATACTTTTTTTAGCTGCATTAATTCAGTAATCAACAACAGTGAAAAATAAGGATATCCAAAAATTTTTGAATGGACTCTAGACTAATAAAAAAAACTACAGTGGATGAAAAACAGGCTATTTTCAATTCATCTTTAAAATTTGAGAAAAAAGATAAATATCATAGAATAAGCCAAAAAGTACAATGTAGTAACATTGGTACATGAATTTGTAATCAGTAATTTTTCTTATACTAGCTAAACTAGAACATACTTATAGTTACAATAAAGTTGATATTGGAAAAAATGACTTCATGGCAGGCTTGATTACTAATGCTAATTATTTAATTTAATTAATCCAAGTCTTTGATTTGAAAACATGAATGCTATATACATATGCAAAATTTGCTACCTAGTTTTGCCGTCTATAAATGTATTCTGAAGGTCCTGAAGAAACAAATTGAAAATTAATTTGATTATCATAATTAGTTCCAAATGATAATATGTCTACTAACTTTGAGAAATCACTGCTTTTTTCTATAATGTGTTCAAATTCAGCAAAACTCAATGATCCATCATCATCCAAGTCAGCTTCTGCAAGCACATTTTGAATCAACTGTTTTATTTCTTCTTCTGTTAAACTATGTTCTGGAGTTTTTGTTAATGCAGTAATAACTTGTCTAAGATCTGCAGTTCCTAGCATATCATCTCCATCAAAATCTATATAAATAGTTAAAAATTATTTTCATAAACTAAATTGTTAATAAACAGATCGAAATTAATGCTTGCCGAATATTCTGAAGGCATGCTCAGCTTTTACAGATTTCGGAGCAGCGTCACTAAAAACCGACATCATGTCTAAATAGTCCTCGAATGTACAGTTTCCATCTTGAGTTGAACTAAATACTTTGCAAATTCTGTCTCCAAAAGGATTAGCCTTCAATTCAGGGATTTTCTTCATTTCTGCCAATGTCCGTATTAAAGAATCCTCTGTACTAAGGGCTTTAAACTTCTGATAAGCACTGTAATTCAATATAATATCCTTTAAATGAAACGAGTCAAGAATTTTTAGTTGTAATATAATAAAAACACACGTACTATAAAACCTCCTTTTTCGTGAAGTATGTCAGATCCTATGAAAATATAATTAGTTTTTTCAAAGAACTTAAGTGAAATTATTAATCACGAATATGCAGAACAAAAATTAACCTGATAATCTTGCAGCTGCTGATCGGTGAGCTGGCTCTTTGCTGCACCCATTGTTACGAAAAAATGCCTGTACCGTTTATGTTGACACAATGAACGGTTTCAAATTCTCTCAACGGTATTCGGATCGTTGAAAATTTTCGATATGGTAATTAAGCGGAACTCTCGAGCGACAACAATCGAAGTCAGTCTCCAAACTCCAAACAGTATATGGCTCAGTTTCGCGAGTCTTGTGCGGGCTTTAATCGACGAATTCTGCACTGCGCGCGGACGCGAGGTTGAACGACCACTCGTTCACCCACACCCAAAACAAAGCGACTTCTCGCAAGCGTCAAATATGTCAATGCTTGCGGGCTCTATATGTATGTAAGCGTCGACTGCTTTGACTATATAGTACCATGACACAGCCTCGGGCCGAGGGGGATATCGTCCAGCTTTCAATGGGCTTGCGCGGAAAAATCCGAAATCGAAATTCTCAATCTACTTGTTTTTGTTTTTCTACTTGAACTCACTTACAATTGTATTGATAAATAATATTCTTAATTCTCTCATTCTAACTATTTTAGTTCTCTTTTAAGCAATAGCTTTCCATATAGCTAATTTTTTTCATTCAAAATCATCATTCGTCGATAAAAAAATTCGACGATCGATCCCTTCGATGGTCATCGAACTCTGAAATGAAAAAATCATATCAAATCGAGTCAATCGAAAATTGCGCGTTCACGAAGTTGCAGTGCGTAAAATGGGGAATCGCACCGCAGCGCACACGGCCGGACCAATGAGCTCTGGCGATCGTGTCACATATATAGGAGGTATATCCACCAGTGCAGCCAGCACGTATGGAAATAATGAGTCTAAGAGTCATTATGTTGTAAGTTAGGCCGCAGCAGTTTATGCGTTTATTGTGAGTGCATCATCGCGTATGTACCTATATATATACATGCGATGACACCAAGCGAGTGCTAAGACACTCGCGATAACACAGGCGCGCAGCTTTCGCCCTCGTTCTTCGTGTCGTAAGGACACGCAATTATATCGTCCGGGCTCTCAGCCAAGCTCGAGAAGTTGACGTATGACGACGACGACGACGAGGACGATGATGATGAAGCCGCGAAAGGTGAGTTTTCACATCTCGAGATTAGACATACCTACTTTCTGGGACGAGACTGCGATGCGACGACATGCGCTTCTGGTTTTTTTTTCTTCTTTTTTATCATCGCGATGATTTGCATACGTTGATCAATCGTGCACAGCCCGCACACACACACTATTTATGCATATTATCGAAGTCAGTATTCTCGTTCTTTTTTTCGCAGAGATAAGACGACTGCCTGCGGTGTTATTGACGATAAAGAGATATTTTGTTTGGAACGAAAGTCGCTTCTCTGCGTTCTGCTGCTACTGCTGATCTGCGCCTATGTATATGTCATGAGTACTTGCCAATAAATAGTGCTCATTATTCAGATTTGTATTAGATCGTAGACTGAACGATTCTTTATTGCAAGCTCGCAAAAATGGAGAATCAACAGAGAGCCGAGATTTTTGACTCTAACAATTTCATTAATGTGCCGGGATCTGGCAATATGTAAGTATGCTGTCCTTATGGAGTTTGCTATTTGTTTTGAACGAGTGACAGATTGAGTCATTGTTAAGCAAACAACGGCTAGTTTTGAGACTAGAGATGAGAGTACACTTTACATATTTGCAGATTAACGCAGCCAATGATGATACCCAATACTTCGAGCGTAGCTCCTCCACCCATACCTCCAAGAAGGCAAGTGAACACTTCTATGCAAGCGATGCAATCGCCTTACGGATACGGAGGTGCCTGGGGCATGAATAGATACTATAATCAGTACAGTCAATACAATCAATTCAACCCAATGTTCAGACAGAATACGTGGGGGCCAAGTGGGGATGTAGAGAATCAGTAGGTTTTATTGCTCTAAATGAGACCTTTAACTTATTATGAAAAATAATCTTTTTAATCTCATCTACGCAGTTTTGTGCAATTCGCTGAAGCAAGCACGAGGCCAGCTTTTCAATCGATAGAAGCTATGGTTCATACATTTTCTTCATTGACAATGATGTTTGAGTCAACTTTTTTCGCTATGACCAACTCCTTTAGAGCTATTCTTGGAGTTGCTGAAAATATGGGCAAACTGAGAATGATGCTGAAAAACATGTTTGGCAGCTTTGCTGCTATCAGATTTATAAAATGGTTGTACCTCAAAGTTAAATATTTGATTGGTAAGATTCTCTTTGATTAAAATATCTTTTGTCATTACAATATTTCTCATCTGACTAACTTTTATAGGATTGAAAAATCCAGATGGAACAGCAAGTACAGATGTACTGTGGGGACAAACTATTTCTGAGGTAATGACAGAAGAGGGTGTAGAAAAAATTGGGTCATCGTCATGGCCTGTTTTCTTATTTTTTGGCATTATATTTTTAACACCTTACTTAATTAGTCGAGTAACTGCAAGTGCTAGAGATATGGAAGCAAAAAGTAAGTTTTATTGAAATCTTTGTTGTCAGGCATATTCAAACTTGTTGATACAAATTGTGCTATTTACTTATAGTCAATACACCTAAAGAATGGTTCAGACAAAAAGAGAAGCCACTTGAAACCATTGCACTTTTTGATTTTCTACCAAGATCTTCTGAAGAGCTGCCACTGAAAGCAGGTCAAAAAGTTTGGTTGGCTCCATCAGATTTACAACTAAAGAACTACCCAGGGTGGTGTAGAGCAACTGATACTGTTAAAATTGGATTGATTCCTGTATCTTATGTTCGACCACTTGCTCCTGGAAATAGGAAGCCCTCTGGGTTTCAAACTCCACCAATGGATCAACAACCTTTAGTTAATGAACCAGCACCCGTTATGGATGAAGTACCTTCTGATTTGAATAGCAATTAAAATATATTTATTTCTTTTCTGCCTTAACATAAACACCAAATTCTTTTGTAATAAGTTTTGTAAATATTATATAGGTGATTTTCTATAGAAATTTTTTTGATAATGGGAGACTCATTTTTGTGGGTATTTAAATGGAAGATAGATTTAATAAGAAAGGGGATATTGTCTCTTGAAGAGAAATTAATTTGTAAGAATTTCACTTTGATGTTATATTCGTTCACCAACAGCATTTACTGTACAAGTTTACATGCTTGTACACATTGAAGATTCTTATTATTATTGAACATTATTATCACTCATGAAATTAAAAAATTTAATTAATTAAAATTTACATTTTGTGTCTAATAAATGACTGAAAGTTTTTATTAAATTTTTTGTTTTATTTTATATTGTTTATAGCAATAATCAACAGAAAAGAAATTCAGAATTCATAGATGTTTATTGTAAATAAGTTTCTCTTGATTTTCTTCATTATTATCTATTATAACGAATTATTTCTAAGATGAATGGTTCAAACAATTGACTAGTGCAGCATTTAAACTTTAATTGGCTGTCTGTCAACAAGTTTGTACCAATGACCACAATCACCGCAGCGTTTTGGCTGACCCTTATGGAGCCACATCCAGTTGATATGAGTTTGATCTTCCTCACATACACATCCAATCATGCGGCTGTCAAAGTAGCTTCCAACTAACTCTGGGCAATCCTTGGTTCCAGGTCCACGAGTGACAACTTTGGTGTCGAAGGGATCCTAACAAGAAATGTAATTTTAGTATAATGGATTTTAAATGATGCAGACCAAAGTAAAGTAGTCCTACTAAGTTAGAAAATTTCATACACTAGCTTTTCTGAAGAATATCAATAAGAAATTTACACAAAGCTCTTACGTTTATTAAAGATTATTCTCCAAGATAAAATTTAATTGATTTCATTAATATTATCGAGGAATTTGAATCAACTCCAATCACTACCATTGATAATAGAATCACAAATGAATAACTGAAGTATTTAATAATAGATAAGTTTATGGAAACCACCTCAGAGTGCAAAAATCAATATTGACCCTGACAATGACCTTTAAAGCAATAACGATATGGAGCAAACATTCGATTATTTAATCATCAGAATCCAACAAACATCTTTCAACGAGAACAAGTAATGTGGATTGTTGATGTATTTGGCATGCAACTGTCGGGTAGTATATAAGAGCAGACGCATTATGGAAGTACTCACGTCGTTGCCAGCTAGCTGGGCGAGCATTTCAGCTTTTTCCAAACCGGTGGCGTGGTCCAGTGGGTCGGGCATGTCCTTCTCCTCGGCTGTAACGCATGAAAAAACAACTCAACGTTATCAACATGTCAAACAACAATAAAAAATCGCACCCTCGCATTACGTAATGCGAGAAGAATTACGAGAATCTTGGGGGTTATAGGAGGATGGCAAGTAAATGTGTGTTATTGTTATTCACCTTTGAAGCGGAAGGCGGACACGTGCACGGCACGGGTCGTCCTGGCCAGCTGGAAAATCGCGCGTCTGCAGAGGGAGGCCATCGTCGCTCGATCGTACCTTCCTTTAAGTCAAGAAAAACACTGGATAGATAGACGAGAAAACCACACTCAATTGGGCTTCCTTATAGTCGAAGAAGATGACACTTTATTGCGATTTGCTCGGGATTTGGGCTTCGATTGTGCGCTGTTTTGTAGATCGGCCTCGACTCGTGACCTGACTCGAGCGCCTCGACGTCACTTCGCGAGACTTTTCCGAGTTAAAAAAGGGGGCTAGTGCGCGACGCTGCTGCCACCCATGAGCATGCGATGATCATGTAGATGCGAGGTGAATAATTTTTTTTTGATTTATCAGGTCAGAAAAACTCGATTTATCACAATTTTTTGGCGTGAGAAAGAATGAAAAAGTTTCTACAGTAAAAATCCACCCCTATGAAGCAGTGCATCGACTACGATAATATCGAAAATCGTATGATTTTCGTCTAATTCCAAACAAACATACCAAATAGTTAAATGCGATAATTTTTTATTGCAAACTCACTTTGTTGATAATAATCTTCAATTGACGAAATTTCATTGCTTAACTGAATTAGTTGACTATTGTTATTTATAAAAAAAATTAATTCTGATCTCTTTCTAAATTTTTGAATTTCTCGAGTCTCCGCCTTATCGGTTTTTAGCGGAGCACACTGCTTGCCTCGTCGGCTGGCCTTTTTTATCGCGAGTTATATAGGTAATTTTGCTATATTTTCAGCTAAGTATATTAATGAAATCGTTGATTGCATTTTGCCGAAAATGCTTGGAAAACGCTCAGTGATAGATTTTTCATATCCTTCTGCCAATATTTTTCATTGCCGATATTTCTACATGGTCTCATATGTAGACGTGCTGTCAATTGTAACCTCCTGATAACAATGCTATTTTTGACCGTAATACATTAGTTGAATTTTGTGATTTTTAAATAAAAAACAAGTGTTGAGTGAAACTGAGAACAAAAGTTCATATAGTTTTTTTATACTCATTGCATCGTGAGTTCTTTACACGTTCAAAGTTGTAAGTAATGAAAATTTTTTTTTTACAGCGGCCTCAGGATGAAAACCATCAATACCTATCAGACAGTGAAAATCCCTAAGGAATTGACTGTCTCGGTCAAATCCAGGACAGTCACTGTCAAAGGACCAAGAGGTGTCTTGAAGCGATGCTTCAAGCATCTGGCCCTCGATATTCGTGTTAGTACAGCTTTTTGTTACTTATCTCTATATTAGGTTGCATAAAAAAAAATCTTAATTCTATGATGATATTGTGGATTCCCCTTCATTTTTTATTATAAATGATTATTCGTTTCTGATGAGAGCCCATTTGAATATCATTTGTAACTGATAGTATCATTCACTATTTCTAAACATTTATCATTAAAATTTCAGATGGTCAATCCAAGACTTTTGAGAGTCGAGAAATGGTTTGGCACCAAAAAGGAGCTGGCTGCTGTAAGAACTGTATGTTCTCATATTGAAAACATGTTGAAGGGTGTAACCACAGGCTATGAGTACAAAATGCGTTCTGTATACGCCCATTTCCCCATCAATTGTGTGACCACCCAGGACAACACCATGATTGAAATTAGGAACTTCTTGGGAGAGAAATTCATTCGCAGAGTGAAGATGGCTCCTGGAGTTACTGTTACTAACTCTAAAGCTCAAAAGGATGAGCTCATTTTACAAGGAAACTCTTTGGAAGATGTTTCCAGATCAGGTGAGTCATTAATACTAAAATTTTCTGCCTTGCAAGTTTTCTTTACACATTGAAGAACTTTATCTAATTTATGCTATTCATTTTTCCAGCTGCACTTATCCAGCAATCCACTTCAGTCAAAAATAAGGATATCAGAAAGTTCTTGGATGGTCTTTACGTATCAGAGAAAACAACAGTTGTTAAGGACGAAGAATAAATAAAATCGTTGCAATTTTTAACAAATGTAGTTCATAGTATTTCCAAAACTTCATTAATTTGAATATTATTTTCATTGATGGCTTGAAGAAGATTTTAAGGACATTGAATGAAAGTATCAATTTGAATATTTTTCTCACAGTCATCTCTGAGTATTTTTTGTAGAACTTTAAAAAAATTGAAATTTCAAGAAAAAAGTTCAAATGAAAATTGTTAAAGTTTGAAGTAACGCTTTTTGTACTGAGCATGGCATCGTTTTAATTTGTAACTCATATACAATCCATTCGACCATAAACTATAATTAAATTTGAAAAAGAACCATACGCCGGTGTCGAGAAAACGACCCTTTGTCTGCGTATCTTCGCGCAAGCACACAGAGCTCAGCTGTTAAATCATCCGCACGAGCTTTGCGCTCGTATATAATACAAATATATACGCGAGCGCGCGGCATTAATTGCGCTCTCCGGGGGTCTTGTGACCGCCCGTCGAAGGGGTCATGCACGCATTGTGTATACATTATTATTTTTACGTTGTCCTCTGCTTTAAATATATTATTTATAAAACAATACAGCCAACGTAACGCCATACGGAGAGATACGCGAGTTCGAACAATTCGCTGCAACTTCTCAGCTTATACCCATGGGATAATGATACAATGCTATACATTCGCAAAAAGTGCAGAAACGCGAGAGAGAGACGGAGCATACATTATTATATGTATAGGGCCGCGAATGCAATGGCTGCACTGCAGGCAGTTTCGCGATGATCATTTGGCAATTGTGACGCAGCAGCAGCAGCAGCAGCAGCAGTACGCACTTTTTAATACTCACATTTCTCTTTCTCTCTCGCAACGATGCACCGCACAGGCTCGCATAGATAGAAAAAGAGAAAGAGAGATTTAAGTTTGGAGTCGCGCGCACGTATATGTACAGTAATACACACGGAGGCATTTAAGTGCATATCGGAGTTTGTGTCACTGGACTCGCGTGAGTCCGTGTTACGTTACATGCGCGCGAGTGTACATGTTATATCGCAAGCATATGGGAGCAGAAGCGAGACAGACTGAGACTATAATAATTGCGAGGAGTGAGAGACGCGAGCAGCAACGCAGTATAGCACCTTCTATTTCTCTCGCTCCGTCGGTGATCGGACAGAGTCAGTCGTGTCCGGAGAGTACGTCCGTGTAAGCCTATCATATACATCGACTCCGCGACGCGTGTGGTTGTGTCTGTGTGCCGTGCTCCGTGTTATATACACGCATAGATATATATATATTTGTCAGTGCACGAGTTTCCAAGTGATCGTCGCTCGCGCAGCAGCAGCAGCAGCAGCAGCGAAACCGAGCGAGAAAGAGAGACAGACAGACAGCAGCAGCAGCACATATTGGTTTCTCATTTATTTTTGCTCCTGGAATCGGAATTATAACAATAATTACATACAAACGGAGAGTTGAACGAACAACATCATCAGCAGCAGCAGAAAACGATGATCATTGAAAATCCGGAGCAGTTCAAGGCGTGGCTAACTTCGGTTTTGGAGCCCTTGTAAGTAGGCCAGCTGTCTAATGGCATCCTTACCTTTTTTTTATTGTGCACGAGCGAGCCTCGACGCGTTATCGCCAAAGATCGCGTTATCCTGTTGTCGCGTGCACGAGGCATACACGACACGACTCGAGAGATTCCGTGCAGGTACTCGTGTAACGTAAGTACGCGTTCGCAGCAGCAGCAGCAGCATCTCGCGCATCTCTTTGATCGCAGTCAGTGCTTTGCTTCGACGGCACATAACAGACAGCGTGCAGCCTCGTGCTCTCGCGGACTTGTTGACGCTCGCGGCTACGACTCGTAGGTTTGTATTCCGTCGTTTTAATATTACCTCTAACAAGGAGGTGAGGTGCCCCCCCGCGCGAAATTGTCATTATTATTGTCGCGTGTTTGCGGGTTATGAGTGCACCAACACAATGTAGTACGTACGCGCTTGTATTATGGTCGCTCGCTCCATGCATCGACCGTCTCTGCGTGTGTGTGTGTCGTAATTGGTAATTTTAACCTGCAATAACAGTGTGCACATGCACGACCGCTCGCCTCAATACTTCTTGTATTATACTTTCTAATAATCTACGACATATTATCGTGTGCAAAGAACGAAATTTAATTCCTTGTTGATATTGTGTACTTGTAATCATTGCTTGCTCTCCTATCACTCAGAATACTAAAATTGTTCTTCTCTGTTTTTCAATTTGTAGATGTGACGCAGATCCAGCTGCTTTAGCAAAATACGTCTATGCCTTGGTCAAAAAGGACAAAAGTTTAGATTTACTGAGAGTCAGTATGATTGAACAGCTTGATGTATTCTTACAAAAAGGTAATGATTATTCGTTTAACATTGAAAGCTCTCTTGACAATTCATACATTACAATTCAGCTAACGCTTCTCTTTTTTCCTTTCTTACAGAAACAAAAAGCTTTGTAGATATGTTATTTAAAACTCTTGAAACTCAAGACTACTTACTTGGGGAAGACAAGGAATTGCAAGAAGATGGAAGCAAAACACCTCCCCAAGAAGCTCTTGCTACACCCACTATGTCAGAAATTGGTGATATTTCCCCTGAACACGCTGCAGAAGACGCATCGGCACCTACCCAACAACTAAACGGATCTCTACCACAATCCCCGGTTAAACGAGAAAGAAAGTCTGAATCTGAAAAAGAAGAAAAAGAAAAAGAAAGAGAAAAAGATCTCAAAGAAAGAGAAAAAGACAAAAGGCCTCGTAGCCAGTAAGTACTCGCTTGACTCTATATTATCTTTCAAGAATATTCTGTCAGACATCCAAAATGCACCATACTGGCGTGTTTTGGAAAACTCATCTGACAATTTCCCATCGCTATCTCGATTAATTAGTTCTTATTACGATTGTCTCAGTAACAGGCTAAGGTCCAGGACAAGATCTCGCTCGAGGTCATGGGAAAGAGACAGGCGCAGGTCGAGGAGTCGCGACTACATGCGACGAGACAGAGAACGCGACAGAAGTCGCCCCTGGAGAAACAAGTCACCACCCATGAACGTGAGACGACACGACAGGAGACGATCGCGCAGCCGGAGCACCTCGCCGCTGCGATCTCGCATGCGAGACGGCCTCGACTCGCGAATCGCGCGCTTTCGCAATCGCTCGCCCAGTCCACTGAGATCGAGGTCGCGATCGCCGGACCGAGGAGGTCCGCGCAGGCTCGAGCGATTGGCTCAGGAGAGTCCGATCGGCACACCGACTCAAGACAGTAATCACGGAGACGTTGATATGAGACTCTCGACCACTAGTCAATCCATTCAAAGTGTCGTAAATGTGGCTAATCCAGGTTTCCACAATAAGAGGAGGTGTCGAGATTTCGATGGTAAATATCGTTACATTTTTTTAGCAGTAAAATTCTATTCATACATCATGAATTCGTGCTTTTATGCTTCGCGTTACGAGCAATTCTTTGCACACTGTATCGTTTTATATTATCATACGCTTTTGCGCACAGCTTCGATGCAGCTTTTCGAGCTTTAAAACGAAAAATATTTATCTCACACAGAAAAGGGCTACTGCATGCGAGGCGATCTATGTCCCTACGATCACGGAACCGACCCCGTCGTTTTGGAGGATGTAAATTTGAGCCGGGTTCTGACGTTCGGTGGACCCCAAGGAGGCGCTGGAGCGAACACGTCGGTGGCCGACCCGATCGCCCAACCCGGAGTGGCGGCTACCGGACCGGCGGGAGCCGCGGTAGGAGGAGCAGGCATCGGCCCAAACGGTAACGCACCTGGGCAGCACTTGCCACTGGCTAGTTTGCCACCACCTCATCTGCGCAATCAGCATCATTCTAATATGGGTTTGTTCGCGATTTTCTCATTGCTTCATGCATTTTGGATTTTGGATTTTGTTCTTTTTTTTTTAACTTTTTTTTTTAAACTTGGGTTGTTGATAATCAGTATAAATTATTTTTGTTGGAACTCTACACTTTTGAAACCTACAGAAAGTAGATACTTCAATTATTTTCTATATTGTATGATTTTCACTACTCTTTTGAAATATTGACCCGTTTCCTGCACAATATTTAAAATAAATGGTATCAAACAAACACACTGATTTTGACAGTATGATTGTTGTATCAATTATTACACTTGATAATGCATTGAAGGTTATGGAAAAAAGCATCAAACTTGAATGAACATCATTCATTTACGTTTTATTATTTATTTGATGCATGCATCATGTGATAGTTCAAGCATGTACTTCGTCTCGACGATCATTCAATAATCTCCGTTTCACTCTTCGCTCACGCAGATCACATGGCTGAATACAATCCGGACGCGCCGAGCATGGAACCACAGATGCCGTGGGGTCGTCATCCGCCGCCCTCGGGCCCGATGTACGGACGTGGCCAACGCGAGCTCATCTCCGTGCCGGTAGCTCCGCACGCGAACTCCTCGGAGCAGCACGGACCGCCGAGCTCGCATCAGCAACAGCAACAGTCGTCGCAGCAACAGCCTCAGGCGCAGTCCCAGCCGCCCTCTCATCAGCACCAGCAGCAAGGAGGTCAGCAGCAGCAGCCACCCTCGCATCAGCAGCAGCCGCAACACGCTCAGTCGCAGCAGCCGCACAATCCCCTGAAGCGCAAACAGACCTTCGATTTCAACCGGCTGGGCCCGAAGCAGAGGGCCGTCAACAATCAAGCCAATTGCTCGCTCGAGTTGAAAAAAGTCCCGAGGAACCTGAACAACATCACCCAGTTAAACAATCACTTCAGTAAATTTGGTAAAATCGTTAATATTCAAGTGAACTTTGGCGGTGATCCCGAGGCCGCCTTGGTCACTTTCCAAGCGCCGAACGAAGCGAAGAGCGCCTACAGGAGCACCGAAGCCGTATTGAACAACCGCTTTATCAAAGTTTTCTGGCACAATAACAACTTAAACAATAATGCAACAAGTGGAGCCAGTGAGAATGTGCCGCCTGCAGGGAAGAATGGTAAGTTCGCCGATCGATCGAGTTTAATCGGTTCATGTTTTAAGTTTAATTTTTTTCCATTTTGATAAGTATTAGTATTAATATCGAATCCTTACATGATTCAGTTTTTTCTTATGTAGCCACTCACCTCCGACCATCGGCGAAAGATCGTCTGGGCGCTCAAGTCAAGCTCGAGGCTCCAATCAAGGTTGAAGAGACAGAATACGTTCCGACAAAGCGAAGTAACGAAGAAGTACAAAAACCCATCAATGCGTCGGTGGCGAGTCAGCCATCCACGACCGTCGCTCCGGCTCCTCCAGTCGTTGTCAAAACCGAAAAAGCAGATAAAGCCGAAAAAGTACTGGCGATCAAAAAGAACCAAGAGATGCTTGCCGTCAAAGAGTCATTGAAAAAGAAGCAAGAAGAAAAGCGTAAAGAGGCCATCAAGTTGACGGCAGATTTACGAAAACGAAAGCAAGAACTACTTGATAAACAATTGGCTGAAATGAAATCATTGATCGAACGCGTGGAGAAAAATCCAGAGCAAAAAGAAATGATCATGAACACAATCAAAACAGTCCAGTTGTCAATTGATAGCCTTAGAAAAGATCTGGCTACTCCGAATAACGGAGCGAATACCCAAGTTTCCGGTCCCAAAATAAAGACGAGAGAACAGGCACAGAAAGAGATTCTTGATGCGGAATTGGATCTGATTACAGCTCAACAGGAGGGTCAAGATTCATTAGAACTACAGAAAAAGTAATATTGGGGTTACAGATTTCTCAACTTGCAACGACTTGAATTTGTACTAGAGTCCGTATTAAACGAACAAAATTATTCATTTCATTACTATTTTTTGCAGGGTTTTAGAACTTAAAGCTCAAGCTGCGGCGATAACTTTGAATCCCACTGTTGGCAGAGGAGGAGTTAGGCTGACCAGGCCACCTAGAGCTGCTTTAAGTTACAGAGGAAGAGGTCGAGGAGGAGCTGTAGGATACAATCACGCGCTAGCCTCGGTTGACCATAGGCCCACAAATCTTTTAGTCTCTGGGTATGAAACTGAGGAAAAAATGGATGTGCTTGCTCATTTTCAGGTAAATTCTTTGAAACAATTTTTAAAAAATTAATGCGTAGAAGTTGAAGTATATTGCACAAAATTAAGTTATAGGCTATTTTCAGGATATTCTTAGTATGGGTCGATATATTAATTGAAACCCACTTTCGATTCATAAAAATAAGTAAATGTATTTTGAATTGTGTATTTATTTTAAAGTTTTAAATTTTTTTTCTATTCTAGCAATTTGGAGAAATAGTGAATCAAATTGTGGATGATGCTACTCCATCGATCGTTTTGAATTTTAAATCACGAAAGGAAGCTGAATTAGCCATGTCAAAGGGACGTCATTTCCAAGATCGCACGTTGTCCATAACGTGGGTAGCCTCCCATCAAATACATCGCGGTGGCGTTAACAATACTGGCAGTTCAAATGCAGGAAATGCGGCCTCTCAGAGAGCTGACCAAGTACAAGCTATTACCGATGAAGAGATCGACTTAGAGGTAAGTTGGCTTTGAAAATTTTTCAAATATCAAATCAATGATTGTTTGTTGTCATAATTGTAGTAACAATCGCAATTTTCTTTTGCAGAGCGCGGACGTTGAAGCGCTATTGCTAGATGAAGGCGAGGAAGAAGAGGAGGAGGACGGCGAGGCCAGAAGCTGGCGGCGATAGCAGAGCTGTGAATTTTCGGACTAATTGCTACATAATGTTTTTTATTATCGAAATATTATTAGTTGTAAGAGTATCTCTTTAGTAATATCGGCGTGCATTAAAGGCACTAAATATAAATTAATTATAAAGCTACCAATCGAAGTCCTTTTCTGCATGTGAAGTCGATTGGCAGTATCTTTTGGAATACAAAATCATCATAAATTTAAAATTAACGTGAGCATGAACGAAAGGGATACTTGAACGAATTATTATTTAGAAGTATGTAAAATTGTGTGTCGAAAATAATTGATAATAATAATTGTTATTACTATGTATGTATATCTTATAAGTATACCATACCGTACATTTAATGAAATGGTATAAAATTGAATACAATTTTGTCCTATATTACGAAGTATAATTTCTTAGCAATGTAAGAAAAAATATAGCAACATTATGATATAAAATACAATGAAAATAATGAAATGAATTATAGAAATCGAAAAAAAAGAAAAGATCAGAAAGAAAGAAAAAACAGACGAACTTTTTAAAAAAATAAAAAGAAGTTACAAAACAAAGAAAAAGAAAGAAAGTAGAAATTGAAAAATAACTTTCTCCCATTAGTTGTAGAATAAAGTGGCTATGTTTTTTATGGGAATCTAAATAATCTGTGTAATAATTTATTACCCTCTCATACTAACAAATTTTTTTGTTTTATAAAATTTTTTTTTCTACTAAAAAAATATTTTCTTAAGTTCTATTGCTATTACTCTAATTTTACTATGAATTCCTTCAAACGAATCACGGTAAGAGTTGCTCACTTGAATTTTCCGTCACAGAACGCTACGTGAGTTATACTTACATGCAATTATTGGAATTTTGAGAGCACACTGTGCTTGAATGGAAAAGTAAGTATAATTTTAAAAAAAAGATCATTGAAGTAAGTGCCATATTTAAAAAAAACTATCAAAATATGAATTTGCATTGGTTTTCTATTGTAGATGCAAGAATAGGAGTAACAGTTGTTAAAAAATAATTTAAAGAAAATTAAATCCACTCTACTTTTATCCCAATTTTAGTTATTGTAAATACATTTTATTGTAAATTATCCAGTAAATGTGTTAAACTTTTAAAAATCACTGAGTGGAAACAATGAGCAAATATAAAAATATTTAACAAAGTAGTTTATACAACTATAGCTTTTGTAATGATTCTATACAGATTTAAACGTTAAATTATTCATACAACTAATTTTAGTATTTAATTATTAACTTGCAGGAACATTGCAAGACACTTCATCTCCACAGTTTGGGCATGGTCCAAAAATTTGATTGAAAACAATTTTATTTGACACCAGTTCTTGCAGCCACTGAAAACATGTGTTAATAAATAAAAGTGATCGTAGATAAATAAATATTGTCTTTTATAAAGTACTTGTGAAGAAGTATGTTTTACCTGGAATAAACAAGTAGAATGGAAATTTTTTCGACATCTATAATTGTTACAAATTTCATTAGGCAATTCATTCTCCTCTATTTCTTTAGAAAAGCATATACAGCATTCTTCATCACCAACCATGCCTTCTTCTTCATTTTCTTCAGCTTCTTTTGGTTTTACCGGAAATTCATCAATGTTCAATAAAGTTAAAAGATTTTCATAGACACTGTCTTCTAGCTCCCATTTCTATAAATCGAATTGTTGTAATTAGAATTTATTTGTAAATTTCTATAAATCATTCTTACATCAATAGCATCTTCATCCTGAATCATATCTCTATATTTTTCTACTTCTTTTTTAGCTCCAAGAAATTTGATGTTTGGGTAGCCAGTTGGATCTAATGGATTCAAAGTCAATATAAACGATAGCGTTGGAGACAAATTAATTCTGCGATAAAGATGATATGGCTTTGGATCAATAGGGTCAGTGACCCAGCAGTAACTAAAAATTAAATGTTTCTCAATAATTTTAAATTCTAAAAATTTAATAATGATTGAAATTTAATATATTTACTTGTCAATTTTTCTCAACTGTTCCCACACATCTTCTAATGTAATTACTTGCTTTTGGAAAGAATTACGTATTTCTTTTAATGTCAGTGATTTTTTGTCACAGACGTTAAAACCAGGCAATTCTGGCAAATCTGAAGATATTATTTTCCAAGTGTTCTGCCCTAATGACGAAACACTAGGTTGAACTACAAGGGAAATTTCATTCATAGAAAGTTTTATCCTACTTAAATTTTTAGAGGCTGATATTTCCACTTCCTGAAATAAAATGATTCATTGAAAATAATAGTTTTGATAAATGTAAACTATCAATCAATATGTAAAATCCTTACTGAACGTTCAGATAACACAAATTTCAATTCCTTCAGCAATTTATCTCTGGCATCTGTTTCGCAATTGAAGTTTATTTCACTATTACTTTGATCACACAATAATTGCTCCTAAAAATGAAAATTATGAATGAAAAAATTGATTGCATAATTCAAAAACTTTTTACTCACTATGACAGCTATTAATTCCCCTAAAAATTTTGATAGAGACTCCGATCTCTTGAGAATTGAATCAATTTGATTTTTAAAGCTGGTTCCAAATAAATTTGCCAAATTTTTTCCGAAAAAAACAGTAGCATCTTCCAAGGCAGGAAAAGATGGGGCAACTAATTTTACTTTAATTTTAATATCACAGTTTTTGTGCCTATTGACAACTGTTAAAATACCTTTCCAGGTAGAAGGAGATTCATTGATATATATTAATTCAGGAAAATTTTTGTAAATTTCTTCAAAATCTTCCATTACGAAGAATTGACGAAATGAGATTAAGTGTCAAGTCATTAATCGCTAACAATTGGATTTTGTTGCAACTGTTTCTTCACATGTCAATAGTGCGTTCAGTTGTTAAAATTTCCCTTTACAGGCGTATTGTTTACGTTCCAACCCGTTTCAGCGCGCGTTTGAATTTTTGAAAAATCAAGTCCGCATTCGCACCCTGTCGAGCGAACCCGTAAAAAAATCCGTGAACCTTTCAACGACTTCAATAATAAAATATAGACGACGACGACGACCGGAGTAAGCGTCAGAATCGAGCGATTCAAAATTGCATTAGGTGAGCAGAATTGAAAAAATAAACGCTGAGTCGACGGTGTCGAAATCACTGCGGATCGGATTGCAGACTATTCAGGAGGGGGATGCATTGCACATTGCAGGCAGCAGCAGCGGCTCCACACCACGCAGACACGCAACTCGCGACACCGACCGGACTGCGTGATGTTTTGGGATTGAAAAATACTCGTACATGCACACGAACGCACACGAGCAAATCACGCGTGTCTGTGCGTATGTGTGCGTGTGCGTGCGCGCGCGCAACAGCATCGTCTCCGTTTACAGACAATAACATGTTTTGGAGTTGAGACCGAGAGACGGCTCGCAGCATTGCAGTGTTACGAATAGTCCTTTTCTCCGTAGCTCAAATTTTCGGAGCGGTTTGCTTTTATAGGTATTTAACTATTGTCGATACGGCTCGCATTCGTACGATATACATAGTTCGACGGAGTCTGCAACTCGAGACTGCTGCTCGTGGCGGCCATCTTGCTCCTCTTGATACATATATATACCGCCTGTTGTGGTGCGTTGCGCGCAGGCGGCCGATCTCAGAGGCAACGTTACAAACGTCGAGAACGTCGTCTAACCAAAAGACCACTGCTGCATATATGTATATGTATACGTAACAGCGAATGAGTGCGAGAGAGAGAGCGATATACATTTTGAGCGCCGCTGCTGCTGGTGATCACGCGTGCCTCGTGCGGTGCTGCTTTGTAGAGAATACTCTACTCGTGTTATAGAGTGCGCCGCGGTGCGTGTGTGTGTGCTTAACTATACGGCGATAAAACATGGCGTCGACGCTGGCGGACATTAATATGGCGTCGTCGGATCTATCGGACATGATGTCCGAGGTGGAGATCCAGTCGGACATCCAGGAGGTCGAGATCGAGTCCATGCCCGTGGACATGCCCGCGGGCTGCCACGTCGAGAGCGTCGAGACGTCGTGCGTCGGCAGCGACGAGGAGGACGACGAGGAGAACCATCATCATCGTCATCATCATCCTCATCATCAGCTGCTGGAGGGAGACGACGACGACGACGACGCCGATGCGCGACGTGCCATCATCGCCCTGCACCACTCGGGCTTGCAGGCCGGCCAAGTCGAGGAGGACATCATGCTGCAGACCCAGGAGGAGATCGTGGGCGATCCGCTGGGCTGCTACGATCAGATTCCCGTGCCCGAGCACGGCGACGTCTACGTCGAGGCGAGTCCCGGCCCCTCGTCGAGGCATCATCAGCAGCAGCATATACAAATACATCATCAGCCGCAGCAGCAGACTGTGCTCGGTGTGAATAGTGTTGTCGGTGGTGTTGTTGGTAGTGGTGGTGTTGCAGTGACGAAAAAGAAAGCCCGCAAAAGTGCCTCCGGATCGACGGTGCAGCATCAACAACAACAACAGCAGCAGCAGCAGCAGCATCATCATCAGCAGCAACAGCAGCAGCAGCGCTTCAGGCCAGCACCCCAGGAGCAGCACGCGATATTTGCCGAGATGCCCGGCGAGAACAAGGCGAGAAAGTGGGAGCAGAAGCAGGTGCAGATCAAGACACTCGAGGGCGAGTTCAGCGTCACGATGTGGGCCTCCGGCACTGACGACGGTCAGTAGTAGCAGTTTTTGTTTATAAAAATTTTTGTTTGTTCCTCTCTTCGACACGATAACGATCAACCCCCGTTCACCGGCACCAATTATCGTGCGTGCATACATGCTTGTCTTAGCTAGCGCAAGCTCGCGCTCCGCATCTACCCGCGAAGTCGGGGGCCTTCCTTGTTTGTTCCTAGCTTGTCATTCGTACTAGAAAACTACTACCAGTTAAAATTGAAAAAGATTACAACAACAATATAGATACAAACACTCGCGCATCGTTGCAACAGCTGGCAATCACCTGTCTAGATTACGCTTTTTAATCGTTCTTTCTTTTTTTTTTATCTGTATTATTGAATAATCGAGCATCTGCTTATACAACGGCTGATGTTTCAACCGTTCTCTCTTTCGAATTCGTAATGCATGCGCCTGAAACGAGATGCTCGGATCACCGCGTGCGCTCTAGCTCGAACAGCCAGCCAGCAGCAGCCGTGCGTATGCTGCATGCACAACTCGAAAAAGAGAAACGGAAGCCTGCATAATACGCACTTCCGGCCGTGTTATCTCGCAGCGAGCCTCAAAAATCACTGGCTAACTCGTCTCCGCGTGCAATTTGCACCACAAAGCCGCGAGGGTACTCGCGGGCGGGCACTTTTTTGACAGTCGCGGCGGCCGGGCATTTGTTTGTTTTGATTGCGCCTTCGACGCACGGGCTCGAAACGAGCGATACACGGGGGGCTGCCATTTTTCGAACATGGCCTCCTTGGCGCCGCTGCCGTGTGCTGTGCTGTGCTGTGGCAGCAGAACGGCGCCGCTGCTTATGCGCTTTGTCTCTCCGCGCCATGTTTCTCGGCGAGCTTTTCTGTCATGGCCGAGAGGAGCTTCTGCGCTGGTACTGCAGAACTTGAGCTGCCGCTGCAGCACGATGCATGCCGACACTCGAGTTCTTGAATTTTTTTTCCCCCTACAATTAAAAAATCACTCCAATTAATTTTTTCAAAATTAGTAAAGGCTCGAAATGTGCATAATTTTTATATTTGTACTTTTTATCATTGCAGGAAGTGTTTTATTAGCGTCTCATTTGGTAGATGTTCCTCAAGATGAAGGCTCAAATCCTGAAGCAGAACAAGATTTTAATGAATATATTGACAGTAAAACCACTACTAAATTAAACCACTCCAGCAGTTCTGTGTCCGACAGTGTGCCAGGAGTGGATTTGTCTGATCCCAAGCAATTAGCTGAGTTCGCTCGACCAGGCCACAAATTAAAAGTTAGAAAACCACCAGTGGTAGACAGTGCTGAACGTACTATTGCTTGCCCTCACAAAGAATGCACAAAAATGTTTAGAGATAACAGTGCAATGCGCAAGCATTTGCACACTCATGGACCTAGGTATAAATATAACACCAATTACACAAATCAGAAAAATGTAAATATATCAATAATATAATGGCTAATTTTTTTTACAGAGTTCATGTTTGTGCAGAGTGTGGAAAAGCTTTTGTTGAAAGTTCCAAACTAAAAAGGCACCAACTGGTCCACACTGGAGAAAAACCTTTTCAATGTACTTTTGAAGGCTGCGGTAAAAGATTCAGCTTGGATTTCAATTTGAGAACACATGTTAGAATTCATACTGGAGACAGACCGTATGTGTGTCCGTTTGATGGTTGCAGTAAAAAGTTTGCTCAATCAACTAACTTAAAATCCCACATATTGACACATGCAAAAGCCAAGTGAGTTACTTCATCAATATTTTGATGGTAATTTAAAAATTGTTATTTATTAGCACTTATTTAATTAAATTTTTCTTTAATATTTATAGAACAAGAAATGCTATGGGTCGTCAGGTACCACAAATGCAAATGCAACAACCGCAATTTGTTCAAGTGGAAGTGGCAGATGTAGACAATTCACAATTTATTGTGTACACCGATTAGCCTTCTTTAATAGCTTGATCTCCATATGTGTGATCCATCCATCAAATTTGGTAATATATTAAAAACAGTGTAAATATTAAAACGCTAAAGTGTGATTTCGGGAGGACAAATGGTATGCTGGAAATCGATGGTGTCATAAGACAGTGTTAATTATTTTGGTTCGTATTTCTTATGCTTCAATGAATTTGAAAAAAAAAGTCTTGTTTAACCTTCGATTTATGAAAAAATACAAATAATTATGTGTAAAGTTCAGATTTAAACAATGAAAATCCAATCATGTTTTATACTGAAAATCTTATAAAATAAACGTAAAAGTTTATGATTAATTAATTTATTTCAGTGGACTATTGCGCCCTGCTAAAATGTTAAAACTATTAAAAGTACTGTACGAAACGTATAATAATACGCATATTTATGATGAGATAATGATTTTGATGAGAGTATTGTATAATTTGCGTATGGTATTATTATAAGTGCTTGTCGAGTTTTTTATAATACGTTCTGTTAAGTGCATTACTCGATAATGCAAATGTACATAAGTAACTATGTAATTTATTGAATACCATATATTTTTAAAAATCCAAAACATTTTTTTTTCCTATTAGTACATAAGAATTAAGCATATTGTACTAATAAACATTGGTTGCCAATCAACAATTATGTTCATAAACCAGATCATACCTTCACTAACATAGTTCTGATTTTCTATCTTGACTCTCTAATTGACTGTTTAAAACTTAAAGTCTATCAAATTAAAGCACCTCATGATTTTCATTGTATGGTATTTTATAAATTTTGTTATCTACCGTCATACAACCTTACAGATTCAAGAACTAAAATTTGTTCTTGACTCTTTGAGGTATTAAAAATTGATTCATTTCAAGTGCGTTTTAAATTATACATAAATTATGCTCAAATGTGTAACTATCAATTTATGTAATTATTATTAATTTTTATACAAGTTTATTTCCCAATGATGTTTGGAAATTCCAAGAAAACAGAACTTGTCATCATAAGAAATTGCTTTATACCATATCCTTATTTTCTCTATGAAATTATACTTTTGTAAAGTAGATTTATATATCTTTTGAACCAAGTATCAAATATTCAATTTGATATGGAAAAGCAATATCATGATTCAACTTTGTATTCATTCAACTGACAGTAGATATATGTAAGATAACTTTGTAAACTAATTAATGAGAGAAATATAATCAGAACAACAGAAGATGAATATCGCGACGTTCATTTAACTTTTGAGTTGCAAAATTAACGGTAAAATCTGTCCATAATGGTTTCAAATATTTTTTTAATTGTTTAGAAAATGGTATTCAAAATTTAAAAACCAGTGATTATTTCGTGTGAATAAATGTGGTTAAATTATAAAAAAAATCTTAATAAAACTTTCAGAAAAAAACAATTTGGCCTACTATATTATAATAAAAAAAAACATTTGTACACCCTTGAGCGATATAAAAATATGAATTCTGTACATAGATAACTTTTTCTTTTCAATTTTTATATGCTTCTATTATATAATACTGGAGTCCAACAATTCGTGTCAAATTAAAATTGAATGTATTATGATGTAAAAAGCTGAGTTGAAATTCGATTCGGCGTTGGAAGAAAACCAGTTTCCGACTAAATCAGATCGAATCGGGTTTTAATTTTAAGCGTATGTATTTAATATAAATACGAAGTATCGGAAACGAGCCTACGTGTAAGTGATTTGTTTCAAGTGTTGTTTTTAAAACTTATTAATTTTTTCACGAAATTTTTTGGCAATAAAAAGGAAGTGTTCAATTTAGATGATGTCATTTGTCAATCGTACATTGTATAAAATTGAAAAATTTTACATAACGGACGAAAATTCCATTTACTCGTAACGATTCGATGTATTACTTTCGAGATGTCTTAAAACACAAAATTCAGAGTAATTTTCATATTTTTCCAAGAAAACGTGTCGGTTCGTAAGTCGTGCAGCGGGTCATAACGCGCAAACACAGAGCCTCGAAGCTCCAAGTTATCCCAGTAATACAAGCTCGTGTATAAGAGGCGCGCGTGACGTAGTGCGATCATTGCGATCGTTGCTCGATGCCTTTGCCTCCTCTCTCCTTCTCGCTCACTCATTACTCGAGTTGAAAATTAGCGAGACAAAGACAGAGAGATCCACGACGACTCCAACGCAGACGGCGCGGGAAGGGAAAAACAAACAAGTCAATGGGGGATAATGGGCGGTAATTTACACGCAAGCCGGTTACAAAAGAAAACAATGCGTACGAAAAAAAAAGAAAAATCATCACCTCGCTCTTACGAAAGGGCGTCTCTCCTGAATGACATTAAAAAAAAAAAAACATCGTCGTGCACCAGTATGCAACTAGTCCAGTGAAAACTTACATGAAATTGCATTTTTTTGGGGAGAGATGAAACCTAGTCTACTTTACGTTTTTGGGTGCGCTGAATTCATTGCCGATGTTATTTTTTACCTAAAACATCAGCGTCAGGGTGAAAATCGAGGGTGAAAGAGTTTTTCGCTGATATCTCGCGAACGAAGCAAGATACAGAAAAACTAATTGCACCAATCGATTCCTCGTGAAATTTTACATCGAAATACACTTCAAACTTTTCAAGTGTCAGTGCAAAATTGTTCACAATATTGAAAAATTAGTTTACAGCGGTCGGCGGTAGTGGGAAGGGGAAGCGACATATATAGATATACTAGCGCGGCGCCGCCGGCCCCCACTACCGCCGACCGCTGTAAACTAATTTTTCAATATTGTGAACAATTTTGCACTGACACTTGAAAAGTTTAAAGTGTATTTCGATGTAAAATTTCACGAGAAATCGATTGGTGCAATTAGTTTTTCTGTATCTTGCTTCGTTCGCGAGATATCAGCGAAAAACTCTTTCACCCTCGATTTTCACCCTGACGCTGATGTTTTAGGTAAAAAATAACATCGGCAATGAATTCAGCGCACCCAAAAACATAAAGTAGACTAGGTTTCATCTCTCCCCAAAAAAATGCAATTTCATGTAAGTTTTCACTGGACTACAACGATATTCTCACAATTGCGAGGATCGAAAGAGTCGGCGCTCGTTCATCTACTCCGCTGCTAGACGAATAGACGGTGTGAAACATAATATTGAAAACAGCAACAGCGCCTCTCTACAATCTGAAAGCGCGCGAATTTGCTGCCAGTTACCACCAGCCAGCATATACACAACATTATACATACGACACACACACACACAGTTAAATTCGCACACTACATAAGCGACGAGAGTCAAGCAGCGGCCCCAACGAGCTTAAAGCTTCAGGCAGCGGCCGCGGCGCGCGTATACATTGCCAACAGTATATCTATATATCTGCACAGCGCCGGTGCCGCGCAACAGCGAGAGCGGCGTCCGTCCACACACAGTCAGGAGCTCGCTAGCCGGTGTATTCGTAGCTTCGTTTCGCTCGCAGCATTATTGTGAGTACCAATACAAAACTGTTGTTTCTTGCCCCAAAGATTAATCGTATCATTTTTCATAACACACGCGATTCATCGATCGCCGCGAAGCCTTTTACCGTTAAAAACAACACAATCGTTGCTCCGTAATTAATAACTTTTTTGCATCTCGACTTCGACTTCGTTTATACATAATACACGCGGTGTGCGCGACGATTTTCGAGCCCACGAGACATGCGCGTTTGCCCGCCATTTTCGTGATCCATTGCCGCTGCTGTTGGTGCTGATTTTGGCCTTCCTCGAAATATTAGACATCAACGCCGAGAACTGTGAGTGCTTCCCCGTGTTACAACCAGTTCGAGAGACCGTCAGGTGAATTCAGAGTTTCGGTTTAGTATGATAAATTTCGAGATGATCGCGATTCAATTCTCCCCCGTGTGATCTCTGGGTGTTCGTTGTATCTATATGTAGAGAGGGGGCCGACTTCGATGTAAATTTAACGCGAAGAACAGTGATAAGCCCGCGCACTCACATAACCTGAAACATCGATTTCGCGTAACTGAATTTTGTTAAATTTTTTCTTTTTTTTTTTGCAACCTGGTTACAGAATCTTTAGTCAGACAGACGACTTCGAGTTGGGCGAAATCATGAGCAAATCAAAAGAAGCCACACCACCAGAAGGTGAGACCGAGGAGGAATACAGCGTCGAGAAAGTTCTTGACAGGAGGGTCGTCAAAGGAGGAAAGGTAAGATACACGCTATAATTTTAGTGCTTTGTTCGGAATTTGCATTTTTTTTTTCGGAGTTCACATTATTTAGTTATTTCGATGTGATAAACGCACGCCGTGCTCGTACGCTTTATCTTGACAATGCTCCGTCGTGAGTCGGTTGTCTTTTTTCGCTTCTTGTTCTCGTGTTTAGCCTAAATGCAAAATCATCAATTCGGAGCCAAAACTAAGGCACTCATACGCGATGATGTTCACTCGCTTTCGTGATCAATATTTAAATCAAACTTATTCCTAAATGTCGTTGGGAATTATGATTACAGGTTGAGTATTTCTTGAAATGGAAGGGATATTCAAATGAAGACAACACATGGGAGCCCGAAGAAAATCTAGACTGTCCTGATTTGATTGCTCAGTTCGAAGAAGCACGTAAGAAGAAGGAAGCTGAAAAGAGCAAGCAAAAAGCTGACGAAGAAAAGGAAAAGAAAAAACGGAAGAGTACGAGCACGCCCACTCCAGTGCCAGCAAAGAAGAAGGTTATTGAAGAAAAGAAAGCTGAAGGTAATTATCAAATTATCATCTGTCACGTAAGTTGAGACATTCTTCAGTTTAATAATCAATCTTTTACCATTCAGGATTCGATCGAGGTCTAGAGCCAGAAAGAATCATTGGAGCAACTGACTCCAGTGGAGAACTTATGTTCTTGATGAAATGGAAAGGAACTGACGACGCAGACTTGGTGCCTGCGAGAATCGCCAACGAAAAATGCCCACAGATTGTCATTCGTTTCTACGAGGAGCGACTAACGTGGCATAGTCCTTCTCAGGAAGAAGATATGTCTAAGGCAGAGAACGAGTAGCCTCTTAACTATTACCTTTAAATATTAAGAATCCTTTTCTCTAATTACGTCACGTACACTAATATTGCATATGCGTGTACATAATTTTTGTTTTTTTTTAAATTTAGTAGTACACTTCCTGTATAAAAATAATGCTTGAATGAACATTCGAATTGATTCATTCTCATATTCATGTATATCTGAGCGGTGTGATTAATTGCATAAAATACAAATATGAAATGAATATGATATGATTATACTTGATGTGTCGTCTCTGAAAGTTTTTTTTATTTTGACTACTCAGTCCTCGTGACCCACTTGATTTAGCTCTACTACTCGATAAATTTCACGATTTAAGTTGAAAACTTTTACTAAACTCAACTAAAACTTCTTTCTAATGTATGAATGACACTACAAATATGAAAAAAAAAATTCTTATTTTTATAGATGCTTAGATTAGAAATAAAAATAAATTAATTATGAATTTAAACAAAATTTATTAATCATTTCATAAACCTTACACAACTAGTATGAACAATAGAAAAAGTAATAATATATTTACAAGGCAACTATTTTATTACAAAAAAGAATTACTTCTTATTATTCTTCGTTTTCTTCTTGTTATTTACACTTTTGCCCGGTCGCTTGCCGCCGCCCTTCTGGTGCTGTGGCTTGAAGCCCGGCTTTTTACCACCCTTTCTCGGCCCTTTGCGCCCGTAACCCTGCAACTTTTGATTGCGCGCCGTCTCCCAGTCCAGTTGGCCGGCGCTGGCGCCGTCGCGGTCGCTCAGCGACCTGCTGGCCCCGTACTTGAACTTCTTCTGGCCCTGCTGCTCCAGCATCTCGGCGAACTCCTCGGCGTCGACGAACTCGCTGTCTCCCGATCCCTTCATCTTCTTGGCGGCTTTTTTGTTGCCCTGCTTCTTACGTTTGCCGGATCCCACCTCCTCCTCGTCGTCGTCGTTGAATTCCATGTCGCTGAAATCGTCGTCCAGCTCATCCAGATTCAAGTCATCCAAACTTCCCATCTCGTCGTCGGAGCCCATATCATCCAGATTCATGCCCTTGAAAGCTCCAGCTTCAGTTTCATCGTCCGAGGCCTCTTGTTGTCCATCGTACAGCTCATCCATATCACTGTCACCGGACAATAACTCGTCGTCCTCGTCGACATCGTCGTCGTCTTCAGCCTCGGAGTCACCTCCGTCGTCATCGTCGTCGTCGTCCTCGTCTTCGCTCTCGTCGTTTTTACCCTTGGCACCCTTGCGAGCCGGTTTGTAGTCGCTGGCAAAATCCAAGTCGTCGAGATCGTCGGATTTTTTACCTTTGCTGGCCATCTCGTCCAACATCGCGTTGAAGTCGTCGCTGTTGACGCTGCTGTTGTCGTCGTCGTCGTCGTTCTCTTCGTCGTCTTCCTTCTTCATCTTGAGTCCCTTGAACTGTTTGCGTTCGTTCAAGTATTTATGCAGATATTGCTCGTCCACCGGTATGCGATCGTTGCGCTCGTTCAGATAAGCCGGACAACCCACGGGTAAAGTCCGGATGCCCGTTGGCGTGTAGCCCGAGCGCATGGCCAACGGATCGTTTTTGCGCGAAACCTTCTTCTCCTCGAGTTTCTTCGGGTTCTTGAACACGTAACGATCGAGGAATCGGATGAGGGTCAAATCCTCGAGGGGATCGCCGGTATAGTTGATTGTGCTTCCTGCGAACGAGAGAGTTTTGTTTAGAATCATACGTGTTTTTCATTTGGAATTTTTCACCGCAAAAATAACAAAAAAATTATTACCTTCGAGAATCGTTTTGGCAAACAAAGCAACGCTGGGATGGAAGTGCTGTTTCAAAGCGAGCAGCTCGCAGAAGAAGGTGAACTCGACGCCGCAATGCAGTGGATTACGAGCCATAGGATCGTAATGAGTAGCTCTCATTTCCGGCTTGACATCCACCTCGGTCTCGGGTTTGACTTCGTCGGTTTTATTTTCGACGGGTTCACAGATCACGTTCGACAACATGATGGACTCCTCCGCTTCCTCCGTCTCTTGGTTGTCATCTACCTCTTGCACCTCGTCCTTATCAACGGTATCATCCAGTACTATTTCATTTTCTTTCTTCACTGTTTTTTTGAGTTTGAACAGCGAGTTTTTCGTCAATTTTTTTGCCTTCAATGTTTGAGAAATTACATACAAAATTGCACAGATCATATTTGCAGAAAAGTGCAGGGATACTTGAAGAATTCTCTTGATGAATGCTTGAATTCGTGGTATACTTTCGTCGTTCCTCATAACTCTGTACAACAAATTTAAAAATACAGATTTTTTGGCTGCTGTTCCAATGGCGGGATCCAAAAGCTTTTTGTAAAAAGCTGAATAGAATCTTCCAGAGAGTTTAGGATCTTTTCCAGTGACCTGAAAAACAAAATAATGTCTTAGTAATGCATAATGATGACAATCTTAAACTACCAAAATTAAAATTTTACCTGGAATAACAAGCACAGGGCATTGAGTGACACATTGAAAGAACCAATGTGAACCACTTTGTAAACAGAGTTGATGTGCTCGTTAAGTTTTTCTGAACTATTATCGGCGTGACGATATGCTCTGTTAACTCCAGACAATATAGCAGCCATCATCCTACTGTCTGGTTCGCCTTTTTTTAAACAAGCTTTGAAGAATGCAAAATATACTTCAATGAGGATTGTTGCTACTTCCTTATCTTCAGGTTTCAATAAAAATTGAGTTAATAGACAGATAGCAAAATACTGAGCTCTAGGTGCAATATTTGGTCTGAACAATAATTTTTCTACTTCATGGAGAACTACAATTTTCATATCTGGTAGTTTACGGCACAATTTTGTAAGGCAAAATACTGCCTTTGAAGCAACTTTGCTACCTGGGTCACCAACTTTGTTGATTAATATACTCAAAAGCTTATCTCTTTGCTCAGAGTTACCCATCAACAATTCACTCATCACAGATATTGCTTGCTCTCTATTTTTATCTACAGTATCATTGGCAAAAGTTTGAAGTGCAGCAATGAATTTTTCATAAGCTTCTTTCAATTGATCTTCAAAATGCCATAAAGCCAGTAACTTATTTTTAGATATAAGTGGCCTATTTGTAATGTTTCCATCTTTATCAACTTCAAACGATTTATCATAGGTATCGATGAGTGACAATTCTTGTTCTTCAAACTTCAGGAGTTTGTAGTGAGGGTGCAGTAAATCGTTCAGAAATAGATCCTTCAGTGCTCGAATTACAATAGCACATTGATTATGCTTTGCCACTTTTACATTACCGATTAAAGAGTTGAGTTGAGTCAGATTGTGCTTGGGGCTGTTCTGAACAAGAACAATTCCTGCAGCCACTTTGTCCTGTGTTGTACCCTTGGTCAATGCAGTTTTCAGATATGAATAATCTGAGTCTCGAGATTTTGACTGCTTTAAATGATAGGCCGTTGATTCTGAATCGAGACATTTCTTGGCTTCTTTGTGCAAATCTATGACTTCCATGTCGCTCTTGCCATGTTTGTATGGAAATTCTGATTTTTGATATTCTTCGTACCATAATTTTGGTTTGACCAATGTTTGATCATCGGCATAAAACGGCGCCGCGTCACCCTTCATGTTTATACGATTTGAGTTTATTTACTATTTGAAATAAAACAGTTTCTTAAGTTTTTTCTAACCTAACTAGCACTTGTACTATACTTTTACACGCACGAGACACGAGTGGAGTGGCAGACTGCATGAGGGTATCGTAGGTTGATCGGAGGTTGCTTCGAGCACGTGGGATTTTAAAAATCATAGCGCCGGCGCTCAATGGTGGGAGTAGGGGGGATATTTGAAAGAAGTCGTATATGTTACGAAAAAATGAACAATCTTTTTATTGAAAATAAAAATGTTTCGTAGTAACACTTATAACTTCATAATTTATTTTTCAACAACAATAATTAATTTTAATCCTTATCAAATGGATCTGCGTACATACTTATCATACATATTCAACATATTGACATCAGTCCTTGGAAGCACAGTTTCCAATGCTTTATCAAAGTCTTCCATTGTTATTTTCAATGATTCATCAAAGTCTGTGGTCTCGGGATTATTAATTAGTAATTCGTTTATAGCTTTCAATCCAACTTCATTACAAACTGCTCCAATTTCTGCTCCAGAATAGCCTTCAGTCTTTTTCACCAACTCTTCTATTTTAATGGAAGAAGTTAGCATTTTTGCAAGTTTAATTTTGAATATTTCTTCTCTTGCTTGAGCATCTGGTAAAGGAACATATATGAGTCTGTCAAATCTTCCGGGTCTGAGCAAAGCCTGTAAATGAACATAAAAAATTAGTAGAGAGAGTATGATAAAAATAATCTTATTAAAAATTTTACAATACCTTATCTATTCTATCTGGTCGATTGGTAGCTGCAACAAGAGTAACATTTCTCAAGGCAACAACTCCATCTAACTCAGTCAAAAGCTGAGTTAAGACTCTTTCTTGAACGCTACATCCACCAGCTTCAGATGAAGTACTTCTTTCTCCGCCAAGAGCATCGATTTCATCAATGAATATGATGCATGGTGCCACTTGCCTTGCTGTTTTGAATAATTTTCTCACCTTCTTTTCTGATTGTCCTACAAATTTGGAGAATAATTCTGGCCCCTAAAAATATATAATGAGTTATTCACATCAATTTGATAATATATTTTTTAATAAACTTACCTTAACATTGAGAAAGTTCAGTTTACTTTCAGTAGCAAGGGCTTTGGCAATCATAGTTTTAGAACATCCAGGTGGACCAAACATTAACACTCCTCGAGGAGGTCTTAATCCTCCCGAAAACAATTCTGGATATTTAATGGGCCATTCAATAGATTGAAGAAGTTTTTTTTTTAAATCATTTTGCCCACCAATATCAGACCATTTGACATTGGGATTTTGAATAGCAATTTCTTTCATTTCCATTGGATTAACTACGTTTCGTGCATGAATAAAATCTTCCTTACTTACTAAAACTTCAAAATTACCACCAGTTTTTGATGAGCTCTCATGACTTAGTGCTTTCAGACAAGCTTCCGAACATAAATTAGTTAAATCTGCTCCCACAAATCCATGTGTTTCATACGCTATTTTATCAATATCATTTTCTGTTAAAGAATTTGGTATTGTCTCAATCATTTTCAATATTATTTGCTTTCTTACATCTCTTGTAGGTATAGGCATATGAAATTCTTTGCCAAAAAATTTTGGATTCTTCAATGAAGTATTAATTGATTCTGGATCAGAAGATACTGCTAAAACAACGATGTTCTTTTTATTCAGCTGCAGTTCATCAAAAAAAGTTACAACATTGCTAAAAACTTTTTTTTCATAACTTGTTAAATTATTTTTGTTGGGACACAAAATGTCTATGTCATCTATGAATACTATAGATTGAGGTTTTTCAAAAGCCTGGTCAAATAAGTTTTTAAGTATTGAATCAGTTTCATTCTTATTACAAGTTGATAAAATTAGAGGATTTATTCTTATAACATGAGCATCAAATTCTGATAATAAAGCCTCAACAAGCATTGATTTTCCAACTCCAGGTGGCCCATGCAAAAGAATTCCTTTGCTGATCTTGAACTTGAACAAATTCAAATCGCTCTTGAGACCTATTTTCAAAATTTTTATTAAGTCTTTGATTAAATCAGAGTATCCTCCAATATGTTTGAGAGAGAAAAGGTTTTTTTTTATAATTTTTTGCTCTGACTCTTCATTAAAAAATCTCCAATTAGTCTGAATTTGAACTAAATAAAATTTTCTTCTATTTTCACTTTCTATAGAAAGTTTTTCAAACTCTTCTTCTATGGAATCGTTAGATTTAATGTTAACAACTTCAAAAATTAATTTCTGGTTATTGTATGAGATACGAATTCTATTGCCAGAAGTTAAGATATGTCTATGGTAGGATCTGCTTATGTCCAGTTTTATCTTTGAAGTTTCATTGCTATCAACTTGAGTTTTTCCTATGACTTTAATGACAATTTCTTGGGCCAAAGAAGGTTTATAATCAAGTTTTTTTATAGATACACTTCCTCTCATTTTATCTAATTCAATAGCTGAAATATTAATGCAAAAATTAATAAATTGTAATTTTTCAATTGTACTAAAAGAAATTCGGAATACATGCCATCTTTGGTTAATAATGCTGAAAGATTTTTATTGTTACTTGGATGTGCAATTTTGACGATTGCATTATCTGAAGTATTAATTATAACTGGATCACCCCTAACAATGTTTAAAATCATGTAATCCTTTCTCAGCTGTGGTAAAAAAATAAATCTATCTGATTCTTGACCACTCCCTGGCAAAGACAGTTCTGAAAGTTATTTTTATCATGAAATTTTTGTTCAGCCTTGATTCAACAATTAAAGAAAACATTATTAATTTATTACCTGCATCTTCACAAGCTCCTATCTTACAATATAAAACATCTCCTCTTATAAAATTGTGATTTGATGCCTCTGTCGGAGGACAACTTTTTTCGTGGGCAGCCTTATCTTTTTCCGATAAACAAGCTTGACAATTGTCACATTTTGTCCATAGACTTTTTCGAGGTGTAGGCATTTCAAAGTCTAATCACCTTTAAAACCACTAAAATAGAATTTTATTTGAATTACTCCAGCAAACGTTTTCTTTTATTATAGTTTTGATCTCCGTGACACGGATTTTTTCTATTTATTCACGACCACGTGTTTACATTCACTGCATGCAGACATAACTCTCGTCAGCAGACATGTTCGAGCAGGTTGTAATATTATTTTAAGTCTTTCAAGTGAATACTAAAAGGTTTGTTATATTGACGCGAAGAAAATAGGAGTACATTTGAAAATCGACCGATGCATCATGTGATAGATTTTAGATGTTAAAGAACTATTTTAAGTACCATTACGAGACTTAAAGCTCTGATCGGCTGCAAAAAAGTGCTTCAATTCGCGCACGTGTGTGCAGTATTCTGTACCTGTCATACGCATGTAAAAGCGAGATTCTCGTGGTTTCCCTTCCACATAAAATTATTCGGGAAGAACTGGGTGGGGAGTATAAAACTCGCGGACATGACCTACGGATTCAATAAAAAAGTAAGGAAGCTGCGATAGCGGGAATTAAAATGAAATATGAACTTTTTAAAGTCTAAGGAAATTTTCAAGATTTTGAAATCGTTCTAATTGTTTCTTTCAAAATCGACTAATGGCGATTGCGTGGCAATAATAATAACGAGGTAAAACATAATAAAAACGAAGCGTTTTAAGTAATTCATTAAAATTTATTGTAAAAGTTTTGATAAAAAACAAATATATAGAAATAAATTCATTTAACTAGTATATCAATAAAGTGTTTCTTTGAGTAAATTAGCAATTTTCATACACTTAACTACAAAAGGAGTTAACTACAAAGGTGTCAAATTATTTTAAATCTTTACATTTTGCTACATATACTCAAATAATTCCATTAACAGTAGGAAAATTTTTAGTTCAATTATGTTAAATCAACATAGATACATACATTCAACTCATTGAAACACCTAATCATAATAAAGTTACTTAGATTAAAAATTATTTTTAATTACAATTATAAAAGATGTTTGTCTCTCTTTTTTAATCTTCTTTCGTCCTCTTCTTCTTGCTTTCTGGTGCTTCGGCTTGATCCACCGGAGGTGCCTGCCTCTTCAAGCTACAAATAAAAAATAAAATAAAATGGAATTAATAATCTATCATCGATGGGGAAAATAAAATCGACGCGCAGGAAAATGTGTTAGCGGTACACTTACACAAGGGTAGCGTCGACGCGCGAAGCCAATACTTTCAACGCTGCCTTGGCGTTCTTGGACAGATCCACATTTTCTTCATTCAACTTGGCTATCTTCTCGGCGAGCTTCTTCTCGAGCGCCGCGCGCTCCTCCGCGAACTCTTCGAGTTTCAACAGTCTGTGATTGTTGAAGAAGACCTTGAGCAGCTCCAGGGCCTGACCGCGACGGTACTTCCTCAGAGTCGGGTCGAAGGCGTAATCGACCAGCAGCGGGGCGAGCCTCCAGTTGCCGACCCAGCAGAGCTGCAGCAGGCTCTTGAAGAGGATCGAGGACAGGGCGCAGCTGCGCTGCGTGAAGAAGGCCCTGAGACTGTCGCAGAATATCGTGCAGAAGGAGTCGGTGCAGCCGGTGATCTGTTGCGAGCAGCGTACCAGAAAGACGCAGCACTCGGCGAGCTTGTCGCTCATCTCCTGGCAGATCAGGGTCGATTTCTCGCCTTTCTCGATGAGCGCCTGTAACAATAAAGCAAAAAAAGAAAATGATTATCATCATGATTGTTATGGATTCTTGCATGTATAATTATCAGCGCGCAAGTACTTTGTTTATTCGTTCGTATATATATTATGCAATAAAAAAGTGTGCCGACAAATTGATAACGCGACGCACTAAATTAAACGCAATCATGAGCGAGCGAGAGAGATCCTCTCGTCACGCGTCAGTCGCTAGATAACGTTCCCTCGGCGAACTCGTCTCTCTCCAATACGCTCTCGGGATCGAATTAAATTTCCGGACGAGTCCGCTGCCGCAGCAGAGCAGCTGAGCCGCGCGCGCGCAAGGTCGCTCTGGCAATTTATCTCTCTCAACTAGTGTTTGGCTATATAATATCGTCGAGATGATCGCCACGATGGCGCACCTGATCCTGGGCGGCTTCTTTCTGCTGAACCTGGTCGTGTGCGTGGCCTACGTGGCGATGCGCCGGGCCCAGCGCTACTGGAAGCGGCGCGGCGTCAAGTCGGTCAAGGGCGCCACTTGCTGGGGCCACTTCAAGGCCGTGGTGCTGGCGCGCCGACCGCTGCGCGACGTGCTGCGCGAGCTGTACGAGCGCGGCCGGGGCGAGCGCGCGATCGGCTTCTACGTGTTCGCCAAGCCGTTCCTGGTGCTGCGCGACCCGGAGCTCATCAAGTCGGTGCTGGTGCGCGACTTCAAGTGCTTCGCCAATCGCTGCATAGCGCCGCGCCGCGAGGACTACATCGGCTACGTGAACATCTTCGCGCTGCGTAGCCCCGCCTGGAGGCTGCTGAGGCAGCGACTGACCCCGGTGTTCACGGCGAGCAAGCTCAGGCACATGTTCGAGGGTATCGTGGAGACGGCCGCGGAGCTCGACGCGCATCTCGCCAAGCAGCTCGTCGATAAGGAAAACGAAAACGACGACGTAGACGACGATGGTGGGTGGACGGTCGTCGAGGTGAAGGAGCTCTGCGAGAAATTCACCACGGACGTGATCGGCCTGACGATGTTCGGCATGAGGCTGAACGCGCTGCGCGACGACGAGTCGGAGTTTCGCCGCGAGGGCAAGAAGCACTTTCAGAACAGCTACGCGCGCCACCTGAGCCTCGTCTCGCTGTTCTTCATGCCGTGGCTCGCGCGACTGCTCAGGATCAGCTTCTTCGACGCGGACGTGCCCAGCTTCTTCAAGCGGGTCATACCCGAGGCGATGGCCGAGCGCGCCAAGTCCGGGGCCAAAAGGAACGACCTGCTCGACGCCTTCATCGAGATCAAGAACGCCTACGCCAACGATCCGGACGACGAGATGCGCTACTGTGAGTTTCATGATTTACTTGAATTTTTACTCATAAAGCTGCATCGACTCAAAAATCTTGAGTAAGACTTGACATAAGATTTAACGCGACTATTCGACGATTCTCGACGCAGACTTCCAAGACGACGGCCTGGTGGCGACGAGCATCGTCTTCTTCCTCGGCGGCTTCGAGCCCTCGGCCTCGATGATGTACTTCACCCTCTACGAGTTGGCCAAGCAGCCGGATCTGCAGTCGCGGCTGCGCCAAGAGATCTTGGCGGCCCTCGAAGAGGAACCGGGTCGCCGCATCACCTACGACATGGCCAACGGTCTGCCCTATCTCGAGCAGGTCTGCTGCGAGGCGCTGCGCAAGTATCCGCTGCTGCACTTCCTGGACCGCGAGGCCGAGGAGGACTACGAGCTCGACCCCGAGAGCGGCCTGACGATCGAGCGCGGCACACCCGTCATCATTCCCATGAGCGCCCTGCACATGGACCCCGAGTACTATCCCGATCCCGATCGCTTCGATCCGGAGAGATTCTCGAGCCAGAATCTGAGGAAGATACCGGCCTGCGCTTATCTGCCCTTTGGCCAGGGTCCGCGCAACTGCATCGGTACGATCAATTTTTTCTCGCGATAACACGCGCGTATTCGATACGAAACGGAGGCGCCTAATTGTTTTTTTTTTTTTTTTTTTTTTTTTTTTTTTTTTTTTTTTTTTTTTTTTTTTTTTTTTTTTTTTTTTTTTTTTTTTTTTTTTTTTTTTTTTTTTTTTTTTTTTTTTTTTTTTTTTTTTTTTTTTTTTTTTTTTTTTTTTTTTTTTTTTTTTTTTTTTTTTTTTTTTTTTTTTTTTTTTTTTTTTTTTTTTTTTTTTTTTTTTTTTTTTTTTTTTTTTTTTTTTTTTTTTTTTTTTTTTTTTTTTTTTTTTTTTTGTTCCAGGCATGAGGATCGGCTTGATGCAGTCCAAGGTCGGACTGATGCAGATACTCTCCAAGTACGAGGTGTCGCCCTGTCGCGAGACGCCCGTGCCCCTGGAATTCGACAGTTACACCCTGTTCACCAAGTCCAAGCACAACATGAAACTGAACGTGCGCCGAGTTCGCGACGATCGACGACGATAATGTCGCGCGCGCGCGCGTGTATCAATACCCCCACTTTTGTACGTAATATATAAAAGCAGCACGAAATCGAATGCAGCAATCCAGAGTTGCGGAAAGTTTTTTGTTGTTGTTATTTACCTTGAGAATCGCGGTGAGCATCTCGCCCGTGACGTCGCACTCCTTGAACTTCTTGCAGGCCGCGAGCTTCTTGAGGCAGCCCCGCACGCGCATCTCCAGCGGCCTCTGATGGGCGTCCTGTATGGAGAACTGGAGCAGAGCGAACAGCGGCACCAGCGTGGCCAGGGCCAGCGACATGCTCGGCTCGCTCTCGAAGCACATCTCCAGCAGGTCGAGGACCCGCGTGCGGAAGTGCGTCAGCGCCTGGGCGTCCTTCTGCTGCTTCTTCGAGCGGCTCTTGCGGTTCTCCTTGAGTATGCGGAAGGCCGCGGCGAGCTGGTCGTTCAGTCGCTCGCCCTCCGCCTCGTCGATGCAGTCGACGTCCAGGTCCTCCTCGCCATCGTCCTCGGGATTGGCCGCGCTGCCGAGGGCCGATTGCACGGCCATTCTCACGCGGTCCGTCAGCGTTTCGTCGTCCTCATCGTCGTCGTCATCGTCGTCGTCGTCATCGTCGGAATCGCTGTCTTCCTCGTCCTCCTCGTCCTCCTCTTCGCTCTCCTTCGAGGCATCTCCGTTGGTCGCGACTCCGTTTGTTTTCTTGCCGTCGTTGTTATCGTCGTCTTCGTCATCGTCGTCGTCGTCGTCCTCGTCCTCGTCCTCGTCCATCGATTCGGATTCCGAATCGGATTCTGGATTGCTCTTCAGGGGATTCTTCTTCTTGACGTCGAGAACTTTGAGAATCTGCGACATGGCTTGGGCGTTCAGGTGAGGACAGATGTGCGGGAACACGCAGCTGACCAGCGATCGCAGCAGATGACTCTTGTGCGACAGGAGCGACAGGATGAGATCGATCACGACCTCGACCCATTCGGGCTCGTCGTCGTTGTTCCGTTTTCTGGAATTTTTCACGTGCTCGTAGCAACTTTGCAAGTCGTCGATCGACGTAACCGCTAATTCTGGATCGGAAAATAGCTGCAGACCCATGTGCATGATCATCGTGTGGAACACGACGCTCGTTTGGTCATGAATTTTATTGAGTTTTTTCAAGAGTTTCAGCATTTTCGACCACGACGCGGTTGCAGTTTCATCCAGTGCTTGACGTAATTTCAGTTCGCTCGATTTAAAGACAGATTCGTCTATGAAATTGATCAAAGATGCGAGGACTTCTCGTAAATCGTCGAGTTTTGGTAGTTTATTATCTAGGGCCCGGTAGAAACTTTCTTTGAAATGTGCTGAAAATTATTGAAAAGTTGAAAAATTAAAGGACTGATAAATCATGTTCAATATATAAATATAATAATATAAATAATATATAAATCACATAAATGAAAAATCATATTTTAGCTATAGTAACTCATTAAATTATAGAAACAAAAGTTTAGATTCTTACATTGGAGATCAACACCAATATTTGAAGATTCACATAGACCTATTTCAAAAAGATACTTGAGCTGTTCTACTCTCCATTCTTTTTCTTGCTGTACTGCTTTGTGGCCAAGTAATCTAAAAAAATAATTAGCAAGTTAGTATATTTTATTTTTTAATGCAATAAAATAATTGCTCCTTAAAAATATTGAATCTTACTTCACACTAAGCATTTGTACAACTTGAATTCTGGCACAATTACTCCAGCTCTCACTCTCATCTTTCTCTTTAAATTTGGTATTGTTTGCTATGTCTCTATATAAAGAAGCGACTTTTTTAACCCCATCAGCATTCAGATTATTAGTCAATGTTTGAATAATTTTTGTTCCAGTAACTTTTTCAATCATAATATCTCCAGGATTGATGATTAGTTTTTTCAGCACATTGATTTGTATTTTAGTTTTAACATCTTTATCTAAAAGAGTCACTAATTCTGTTAATGCTTTTTTGAAATTCATCGCAACATCATCTTTCTTGTGTTTAGGATCATATGAAAATCGTTTCAACATATATTTGAAAAAATTGGGGCTAATCAGTACTGAAATTAATGCTTTATCTTTCAAATTTGCCAATATCAAATTAAACAATTCTGTTCCCACAGTCTGAACTGTGTGCGATGGCTTTGTAAATGCCTGATCAATTCCAAGCCAAAAACATTCAACAAGATTAGCTTCCACTAATTTTTGTGCAAAGATTTTATATATTGGATGTTTGTAGCATATTACTCTTGGTATATCCTGGAAATTAAAATAAAGTTAATAAAATATTTTAATTCGACTGAAATAAAAATTTTGATTCACATTACTTACAGTAAGAATTCTGATTATATCTTTCATAGACTCTTCACTAATTATATTCTCATTCCCAAATTGGGCTTTAAGGGTTTTCTTTGAGATGATTTTGGGAAACTTATCTAAAATTACTAATATAACATAAAATGTATCTAATGTTTGTTCAGAAATTGGTTTACAAATTTCTGGTTCTATCACAGACCATATCGGTTTTAAAGAGTCCTTGTCATCAAATAGATTAAGAAATTCTATGATAAATGATGTAGATTCAAAACCTAAATAGCTTCTCTGTTTTCCTGAATGTATCAAACATTCTATTACTTTTGTCTGGTCTTCTAATGAACTGTTTTTAATTAAACCAGAGCGTATGATAGCTCCACAAGCTAAAATGCGCCCATTGTTAATGTCTGCAACCTCCTGTGAAAATTAATAAAATTAAATAAGAGGAAAATCAAACGCATTATTAGGATCATGAAAAATTGGAAAAAACAACTTACGCTTTTGCTGTTACTTTTGCTACTCTTCAATTCAGTATTCATAATACTGAATATATGATCTATGGTTATCGTTGGGTCATTTGATAAAATTCTATGAAAAGCAACATAAAATCCTTTTCTAGATGAAACTTTGGATGTCCCAAGACCTCTAACCAGTCTTGTCAGCACATGATTCGCTTCTTTATTATCTTCATTTTCCTACATAAAACAAGAACGAAAGTATATTAATAATCTTATATTCGGACTCATGACAGTATAATCATAATAAAAAATAGTTCAATATATTTCGCTAAAAACATGATATTATCCGAATGGATGCATTTCCAAAAATGTGAGGTTATCGTGAACACAAATTAAATCTTACCTTCTTCGTCCTCGTATAATACAACGTTAATTTGGCAGCTCCTTCGATCCTCTGCGAGGCATTGTCTTTCAAAAGCATAGAAAAACAGTCCAAAACTTTCGACGCCATTGTCACAATTTTGAATTCGCAATGAAAAATCTATTAACACAAGTATTTTTTTTTTCTTTCGAATATTATAACACGATACGGGCTAGCACATGGTTACCACTCCACATGTTCTCGGTGCAGCATCTGCGTAGTGCGTACAGCGCAGAGAAAAAGTTGGTGGCCGGCCGGAACGCCAATGCGCGGCGTGCGCACGAACTAGTTGTCAGTGAGTGCCGGTGTGGTGGTGTGTAACTTTGAATTGAGAAAAACTTCTGCTGTTCTGTTATTCAAACGTTTGTTTTATTTACAAAAAAAAAAATTACGCATCGTTTGAACGCAGAAGAAATTTCTGTTCAATTGTGTTGACATTTTTTCTCTCGTACCGGCAAAGTAGAAAAATGCATCGTTCGCTGAATTGAGCTAATTTTTTGTCATGCGCTTGTGTCACTCGATCGTAATCGATTCATCGGACAGCCGTTAGCAGAGCCGGTAGTACTATACTATCTGAGTAGTTGGGGCAGTGAGCATCGAGCAGTCCTGCCGTATACTTGTCGGGTGTCTCCACGGGATCAATCACATCGCTGTCTACGCACAAAGCGTCATTTTTTTCTAGAGACTTGTCCGATTTTCTTGAATTAGTTTCAGTTCCATCGATCAGTGAATCTGTACATTGTTTTATCTACCAAGATGCAGCACGAAAAAGTTTCGGCTCTGAAAAGGGCAGAAAGGTTCGTTCATTGTGACATCGATATTATTTCAATTATAGAATCAGTCGTAAAGCACGTGTTATTCATATATTTTGTTTTCATTTACAGGACCCGAAATCATCGTACCATGAGTACAGACAGATTGGATAGTACTCGCTCCAGCGATCTTAGTAATACTACTCTAGGTAATGACATTTGTAATAAAATTATGTCAAATTTTATTGTGAACCTTTTTTTTTATATTCTAATAATTTATTATGTATTGCAGCATCGCTCAATTCGCCAAAACGAAAAACCCATTTATCAAGGCATTCAACGATGCCTCAAAACATCAGTACAAATCTGGCAAATCTCAGAAAAATGGAATTGGAGAATAATAATTTGGAAATGGAGCTTATTTATAGCAATTTTACAGCATCGTACATAGAGTTGTACCTAGAAGAAAAGAAAAAAAAGGAAGCGGAACAATCAAGCAGTACTCTGATAAAAAACCTCAGCAAAGAGACAAAGTCGCTTCAAGAATATTATTATACTCTATCTATAAGATTGAATGATATTGAATATCTATCGTGTTCAAATGATTACACAGATTCAGTTCAGCAAAATACAAAGGATTTCAAAGGTATTTAAGTCATATCAAAAAAATTTTTAGTATCATGAATTTATTCAAAATGATTTTCAGACAAAATACAAAAATGGGGTATCAATGATGCTTTGTTACAATTGAAAAATCTTTTGAAGAGATTTAATGTCTTGCGCTGTGAAAATATGATTTTGCCAAATTCACCGGAACATATGCAAGATTTAGAAAAAGTTTTGAAAGAGTGTCTTAATGCATTAAAAGAAGTGAGTAATCCAGAGAAATGCGAACTCATAGAAAAAACAGCCTCTTATTATGAAGAATTTGTTTCAATATATCAAGAAATTATCCAAATTAAAAAAATGTAAGTTTTAATAAATAATGAAAATTAAATATAATACTTAGTGAGTGAGTATAATGTATAAAAAATAATGAATTTATGTTTCAGAGTGGAAGAAGAGATTTGTTATGTACAAATTGAAACTTTGAAGACATGTTCACATGCTTTGTCACAAAACAATGATTAATTATAGAAAGAATATTTGATTGTATTAAAGTATATTTGTGAGTTAAGGAATAATTATAAAAGATATTAGATATCATTTGTACATATAGTTTTTATTTATGAATTGTATTTTATAAGTAACAATAGTTATTAAAATATTTTAGTTGAAACATGTTTTAATTATTCATTTTCATGTTTTCATCATTTTTTCCTATTAAAAATAACACAACCAGTATATAACTGGTAATTTACCAGTGTATACACTTTAATTATCGTTTGCCTTAAACTTAAATATAAATCTAATTTTGTTATGTACAGAAGTCCTTTTTCTAGTTTATCTTATCAGTCCTACATAGCTCATCATTCATTATTTGAAATAGATTGAGCAGCATTATTCAATGTATTGTAAATGTCTTTAGCATACTGTACTTGAGATCTAGCAGTTGCTAAATATTGTGAATAATTGAGTGCATCTTGGACACCCATATTTTCATTTCTTGCAGACATGACGGACACAGGCATGTATCTACCAGAACTAGAATTCTGATTCAAACATTCGATGGATGTCTTTAAATTCAGCTCAATCTGATCGCAAATGCTATAAAATTCTTCTAAATTCTTATTGAAACGTTGATCTGGAACCTCTGTACTCTTCGATACATCGATCAGACTATTCTGGTGCAAAGTTTGTGCAGCACTTTTCAGAGCCAACGATAACGAGTCACGCAGCGGTCCTATCAAACCTTTGACTTTGGAAATATTATCAAATTTTTCTTGTGGTTGCTGCATGGGTGGTCCTGGTGGGCCAGGCTGTCCTGGATGCATACCTGGATGAGGAGGACCTTGCGGCATCGGTACAGGATTGCCTTGCACCATTGGATTCATGCCCATGGGGACACCTTGCTGCATTGGCATGTTCATTTTGGAAGTTTCACGCAGCGACGACGATGAATAGTTCTGCAACGCAAAAGGTAAACATTGGATTGTTGTTGTACTGTTTCATCAAAGTGTCGTCAATTGATGAAAAAAGAAAAAACAATAAACGGAATATCCATAATTACATAAGCTAATAACGTTGGCTGATGCTGTGCCAGTAACGAGTCTCTCCTGCAGCAACAACTTATTCAATATTATCAACTTTTTAACAGCAGTCGAAGCTTAGACACGACCAGATGCGTACACTAAAAAATTTGCACGTTGTGAACAAGCCTAACTCTAAGTGTAATATTTATCCACGCCGGTGAGGCGCTGACGCTACCGCCGCCGCCGCCGCCGTGATACCATAATACATTTGACTAGAGGGAGGTCGAAGGTGTGCGACTGTATATGGTGTGGGGGAGGCTGAGCCTGCCCGAACGCAGCAGCCACACGCGCAGGAGCCCATCATCGCCTGCACACATTCATAATAAGTATATACAGCATATATACAAATGTGCCAGTCGACTCCGGAGTTCAGCTCTCTTTCTCTCTATATATCGGCCGACGATCGTATTCGTATATGTGTGTGTGCGTGTGCGCTGGCTGTGCGGCATTTAATTTTTCTCACTCGCGTATTATAGAATATGTATATGTGTATCGCGTCGTAGTAGCGTCGTAGTCGGGTCATTGAGCTGATTCTCGCGGTTGGGTCGTGATACATATCAATATTTATTTCGCGTATATCGCACAGTAGCAGTTAGCAGTATATAATAATGTACCGAGAGCCGAAATCGATACACGGCTGAACGCCGTGTAGATATCCTGCAGCCGTATGTGAGTGATGATGTACCCTCGTCGTGCATATATGTGTGTGCCCGCGTTGTAATCATTGAGAAATAGAAATCTCTCGTGCTGACGATAACAGGTAAGATCGCAGAACTGTAGACAACATTGTTCATATGTGAAATCTCACTTTTGTGCATCATCGACACTTGCTTGCTTTTCCACCCCCCTATGCTGATTTGCTTTGTGCTAATGGGGCGACTGATAATTCGATGGGGAAAGAAAGTTGTACGTAGCATGCAACTGCGACTGCAGATTTTCTATTATGTACATGGTCGCACGAGGAAGGGGGGAACTCTTATTTTACGTACAGCGTCTCGTCGCAGTGAAAATAATACGTAGAAACATCATGATCGCAGTTTGGTTGTTGATGCGCTTTGAACGTGCTGACTCAGACGCTTTCTCATGTGTCAGTCGCTACAATAACGATGAGTTAAACAATCGTATCGCTGTCTCGGTAGAAATGAAAAGACATCGAATAATGACAAAAAAATAGAAATTAACGATGGTCAGGAAAATGGTGCATGGACGGAACTGTACTTCAAAGTAATTTTAATCATTGAAGTGCAAGAAAAATGTACGTGCTTTTTTTGTTATTTAGCAGAGCAGTGAATGTAGAAGAGTGAAAAATGTTCTATGTAATCTAGTACATAGATTTAGACCATAAGTTTATGATACCATAATTCCCTGTAGCATTTTAATTATCAATTAATGAAACATTTTATCTATAGCCACAAATACCTGTCTGTAAAAGGAGATATGAGAAAACTCTTTCCAAACTTGCAAAATGGTTTTAAGCAGAAATGATAAAAGAAAGAGGAAGGAAGGAGATATTGTGGATCTCATGGATCCACTCGCACAAGGTCCTAAAAGGTATACAATTTAATAACAATTTGATAAATAAAAAATGTTTTAATTTGGTATTAATCATAATAGTTTTTTTTTTGTACAAAGGACAAAGTTTCAAGCACAAAGAAAATTTGCATCGGTTCAATGTAGTCCAGTTGTATCACCTGCAAAAGAGCCACAAGAAAAAACAAAAGGTCAACCTGTCTGCAATGAATTAATAACGCATAAAAGGCCTAATACAGAAGATTTCCTCACATTCCTTTGTTACAGAGGTTTGTAAATAAATTACTTCATAATATTAAACACACTGTGCATTAAGTAGTACACTGTTGAAATAGTAATGTGAAAATAATATCAACTAATTATTTTATATTCATTTTTAGGTACATCAATACTACCTCCAAGCTTAAACTTTTTCAACACTAGCCCAAAAAAAGAAAAATCTCAAAATGCTGCCAAGTCAGCAAATTCATCTAAAGTCAGTACTGCAAGTTCTAAGCAAACAAACTCAACTAGTGTTACGAGTTCTTCTGCAAAAAAAGTAGTACCTGTCAAGGAGAAACCTGTAGCAAAGAAAAAAGATGTGAGCCCTCCAAAACCAATAAAGCTCAAAACAACAAGTACTGCTGCACAAGCATTGAAGAAAAAATATCAAGAGCAGAGACTGAAAAAGCTGAAACCAACTAGTATGAAAACCCGCTCTAGAGGTTCTTCTGATCCACCAAAACCCATAGCCAAATCAGTTAGTCAAAAAAAAGTAGTCATTCCTAAAGTTGTAAAAAGACACTCACTTCGAAGTAATGTATCGCTGGAAACAGAAACTGTAAGTCCTCCTGCGAAAAAACAGTCAGTTTCTCAATCCAAAAAGAGATCATCAAATTCAAAAGAAAATGATGATTCCGAGTCTTCCTCGCCTAAAATTGAAAAGAAACCAAAAGTTTCTGTTGTCAAGAGTTTGCTTCAGAAAAAATTGGTCAAAAGTCAAAAAGTAGAAGAAGAAAAGAGAGTTACTCGATCAGCTCCAAGATCTGTATCACCAGCGAGAAGACCTACTAGAAAAACTAAGGAAGCTGCAGCAATTTATATGGAGATTTTAGGTAGAAAACTAGTTGGTTCCGATTTAGAGAACGAAGACAACATGTCGGTTGATAGTTTCCCTGAATTGCCAAATGCCAGAAAAACAGCACAAACTGAAAATGAACTGAAATTAAAAAATAGGGGTTCAAAAACTAGTAAGGATAAGGAAAAACAAGATGTAGCGAAGAAAGAAGAAGATTCGAAAGATGACAAAAAGAAGAAGGAGAATAATAAAACTAAAGAAAAGGATATACCAAAAAAGGAATCTAGGTAAGAATTTCATTTCATTCAATTAATACCGATAAATTATCGTAACACGTTGATACATTTTCAGCGTCATCAGTGGAAGAGTAGCGAAACAGAAACCTTCCCCTGGCGTATCTCTTCGAAACAAACGTTTGACGAGGGAGCAAATCAGCGAAACCATCAACGATTCTAAAATCGCGAAGCGAAAGAGTCTCGGCTCGGTTTCACCCCTGAAATCGAAACGCACGGCCAGGGTGCACAAGTATTGCGAGCTCGACAGCGAGGACGACGAGGAATCGTTCACTTCCGAGGAAACGAGCAGCGCAGCGACTCCGGCCCCGAAGCCGGAAGTTATCAAGACTCGAAAATCGGCACCGGCAGCTGTCCCTTCCGCCGCGACGACGGATAATAACAAAAAGAAGGAGACGACGACGACGACTCCGCGCTCCTCTCGAAGCAGTATTACGTCCAAGAAAGCGACGACCGCCGCCGCCGATGCCTTCGCGAAACCGGCAAAAACGACGACGGGAACAGCAGCCGCGGCGGCGCCAAAGGAGATGCCGAAGGAGACGGCGAAAGCCACCAAAGACAACAAGCCTAGCCCGGTAAAACGTAGCAAGGAAAAAGACAAAGAGAAGGCGAAAGCCAAGAGCACCGCCAGCGCCAAAGCCGCGGAGGAGTCCGAGGAAGAGGAGAGCCTCAGCTCTTTGATCGACAAACTCAAGAAGAAAAAAGAGAGCGAAAAGACGAGCAGCCCCGCTGCTACGACAACTTCACCACCTGGCAGTAATAAAGAGACCGTCGCTCAGGAGACGACGACAACGGCGACGAAGAAGAAGATAAAGAGCATACTGGACGTGAAACTGCCTCAGCGCGGCGCCGAGCTGATGAAGAAATTCGTCTCCGACGACGAGGAGTCGTTCCGGGGCTTCACACAGCGCTCGATCAACGGCGCCCACGCCCTCCTCGACGAGGCCATCGGCACGAAGAACCCATCCATACTGAAGACGCACGAGGCGATGAAGGCCCAGGAGACCAACAAGAAGCCCGACATGAAGGCCGTGTTCGGCTGCGTACTCGAGCCAACCGCGGCGGCAGCCGACAAGGTCGTCGTCGTCGGGTCGTCTTCTTCCTCTCCCACGACGACAGCCGCCAAATTAGCACCAAAAGCAGCAGCTGCAGCAGCAGCGGTGACGGTAGGAACGAGCAGCAACAGCGCAATAATCGTCGGTAACCACCACCGTCACCATCCCGTGAAAGTGGAGTCCGACGAAGCGACGAAGAGCGCGAGCGACACGCTGCTACCGCAGCAGCAGCAGCAGCAGCAACAGCTGAAGGTACGGCCGCAATTGCGCCGCAGTAGTAGAAATGTCGAATCATAGATAGATTTATAAATCACGAGACACACGTATATAGTTTATTTATATATTTTATTGATTTATTTATCGTTCTATATTTCCACGCGCTAATTTGGCGACTTTATACGTATATTACTTTTTTTTTCGCTTGATCCGCTTATCATCGCAATCGCAAAAATCGTTTCTTATGTTCTTACTTGCGAGCGGTTTCTGAAACAAAAGAAAGAAAGAGACACACATACACACACAGAGTACTTATTTAAATGAATTGAACGATTTATAAATTGTTAATAAAAAAAGAAAAAAAAACAAAGAAGGAATAATAAGTGTTGCAAATACCTTTTTTATTTGTGTTTTTAAATGTTTTTATGTCAAATTATGCTCATTGGAAAACCCCCACTTACAATTCATCATTTAACTGCACTCTCATCATATATGAATCTCATTTAAAATTCATTTTATCTCAATTAAAAAAAAAAAAAAAACCAAGGTACTAACAACTCACACATCACATCGTCACACGCACTCATCTCTTCACTCTATAGCACTTAAGTGACTTTACTAATCCGACATACGATATAATGTGTGCATTGTATGAAAAATATAAACAGCCGCAGTCGAGATGCGTCGGTTCGAAGCTGACTTCGACGACGGTGACGACGACGACGACGATGCCCAATTGCGGCAGCGGCGGCGGCGGCGCACCAGCAGCGGCGAACGTGATCGAGATGCCGTCGTCGATGACGATGATGATGATGTCGAGTCACCACGGCCATCGCAAGGAGCGCGTCAACATGTCGACGGAGCAGATCGAGAAGTGGCTGAACGAGTCGTCGCTGGCCAAGGAGGAGTCCAAGGTCGAGATGGAGAGCGTCGCGTCGTCGTTCAAGTACGAGCCGCCGCCGATCACGACGGCGACGGCCACGTCGTCATCCTCGTCGTCGGCAATCGCGGCTTCGCTGCCCGGCAATAATCATCATCATCATCATCGTCAGCATCATCATTATCATCAGCGTTATCATCAACAACAACAGCAACAACCATCGCCGCATCATCAGCACGTGCACTCGCTGCCGATCGTCACGACCGGCCACCACCTGTCCATCTCGCCGAGGATACAGCACCTCGTGCGTCCGGTCAACGTCACCCTGTCCAAGCTCTCGGACAGACTAAAGCATCAGCCGCCACCAGCGGCATCGGCCACTGCCACGGGCTCCTCCTCGTTTTACGGTAGATCCTCGTCGACGACGACGACAACGACGATCGGCGGAAAGGTTACAGCGGCCACGAATACGACGACGTCGACGACCACGACGATCGCCGATTCGAGCGGCAGCATCAGGTCGCTCTCGACCGTGGCGTTAACGTCGACGACCGCAACGACGACGACGAAGACGGCGATGGCGAAGCCGGCCAGCAGCAGCAGAGGCAGCAGCAAAGAGACGACGCCCACCAACACGACCACCGCCGCCTCGTATCAGAGAAAGATGAGCAAAGACTCGTCTTTCGGCGACGAGCTCGGTGAGTTTAAATTTATCGTTGAATCAACTAGGGGCGACATTCGTATCGGTACTCACCTCGGATCTGATCTAATTTTTTTCAACTTATACTATAATAGTTACATTTTATTAGTTCCCGGTTAAAAAAAATTACATGGATATCCGCGTTGATTATCACACCGATTCCACGTGGATCGGACATGGGTACCACGTGGATTAAATAAATTGCCTATGTAGGTAAGCCACGTAGATTGACATAATACCTACCCTTATACTTACGTATATTTTCAATCAACCCACGATGATTTCCGCTAAAGTCCCCGTAGACTTTTGAACTTCCGCGTTGATTTTTTACCAGATTTTTTATCAATCCACGACGATTCACCGTCAAAACCTCACGGATACTTGGAACGAGCTCTTGAAACAAGTACAAGATCCTCGAAGATTTCTCCAAAAATCCTCGTGGATTAATCAATTATCAACGTGGAAAAATTAAATTCCACCACGATTCACCGACAGTAGCTTGCGGATACTTGGAGCGAGCTCACGAAACAAGTCCAAAATCCTCGAAGAGTTAAAAAACCACCAACTTAGAATTTTTTTCCCATCCATGTATGATCCACGTGGTATCTATGTGTGATCCACGTGGTATCTATGTGCGATCCACGTGGAATCGTTGTCCGATCTGCGTAGTAACCATGTCTTATCCTCGTGGATAACTAATCCACGCGTATATCCATGCAATTTTTTTCAACTGGGTTACATTATTATTATTATTTATAATTATAAATCGGTGCCTACCTCAAATCTGACATTAAATCCAATGTCGATTATAAGATCCAATGTAAGATTTGATGTGCCTTCATATAAGAACTCATTATGATAAGAGTGTGTGTATGCAGCGGACTGCGACGCGATCTCGAAATCGAGCGCTGCCTCGGTGGTGTCCGACTCGCTGGAGAAGAAGTCCCTGGCCTCGAGCCCGGACCGGAAGGTCTTCTTTCCGCGTCGCAAGGCCTTCACGCGCGAGCGTCGACCCCTCGTCGCCGCCACCACCACCACCACCGACACCACCAACGCCAAGGCCACCGATGCAAACGCCAAATCTGCTGCAGCAGCAGCAGCAGCAGCGGCAGCAATGAGCGGCGGCGCAGCGGCTTTTTCGCCCGAGAACGAGAGCAGCGTTTATGCCTTCGAGACGGAGGCCGAGCAACCGCCCGTGCAGTTGCCGCTCAACGCCTCCTTCCGCAGGAAGTCCAAGGAGCAGCTGTTCGCCTCCGCCAAGTCGCAAAACGGTAATTACCTATAGTGAAAATTTTAATCGGATCTTATGTAAGATCTCGCGTAAAATCTTGAGTATTTTAATCGAAATTCAAAGTACTGACTACATAAAGCCCTTAATATTTAAGTAATTTCTCGCGCGAGAGCAAACATAAAAACTATATGAAACTCCACGTAAGATCTTGAACAAAAGTATCTAAAAAAAGATTGTGTATTGTAACAAGATAAATCTCATTCCTTAAAGTTAGACCTATGCACTAGAAGAGAATAATTTTATTTGTCGATTTTTCGATAATCATACGTAAAATCTTAAATAAGATCAATAAAAGTTGTCGTTACTTTTGGTCTTACTCAAAAAATTCTATAAACCATAATTTGTACCAGGTGGTATCGCGAGCGATAAGAAGCAGGCGTCTGCGGACCAGGCCAAAGATGCCACCGCCGCCAAGAAGAGCGCCGACTCCAAGACGACGGCATCAGCAGCAGCAGCAGGAAAATCGAGCAAGCATTTAAACTTGCCGCAGGAAGCTCGGAAAAGCGCGGCGAGCAGCAGCGGCGGCAGCAACAACTCCCAGCAGCCGACTACTCCCAAGACATTCGAGCTTCCGAAAAATTTCGCAGATCTGACCAACATACAGGTGTTACCACTCGACAAGCTAACAACAAGCTGGAGCGACGTAAACTGCAGTGCCTCGATTGCTGTCCAGGTGAATCTGGACCCGCAGCTGCAAAAAAGCGAAAAAAGCAGCAACGGCAGCAGCAGCCACGTCGTCGAGGCAGCGGCGTCGTCGTCGTCGTCGACGGCAAGCGTCAAGAAGAGTCTCGGGGCTGCGTCGTCAAAGCCGTCGACGAAGGGCGGCAGCAGCAGCAGCAATTCTACAGTCACCGCCGCCGTCGCCGGGGCAGGCCGAGAAAAGACAGCAGCAGCGGCAGCTGACAGAGGCTCGAGCACGTCGTCGTCGTCCCGAACGCCAGCAAAGTCGTCAACGGTGGCGGTCGTCGACCAGAGCGAGGACCAGACGACGACGGACGACGACGACAACAGCAGCGGCCAGCTGTTCTACATACCGCTGCAGGCGGTCGCGCGCAACTGCTCCGCACAGGGCGGACAACAACTCATCCAAGGTGTTGCTGTGAAACTGGGCACTGAGGGCCCGCAGGGGCCCAATCAGAAGGTCCTGCTCAAGGCCAAGCTGGTGACCAAGCCGCCCGTGACGGTGGCGCGCTGTCCGCCGATCGGCACGGTGCAGCCGACGGCGAGGGTCACCCAGTCGAGCGGTAGTCAACAGCAGGTGCCCTCGACCTCGAGCGTCGGCGCCACCACCACCACCACCGACGCGGGCTTCAAGACGCCCAAAGACAGAGTCATGAAGACGATCGTCGACAGCAAGCGAATCGTACTTGACGCTTTTTTTTCTTCATCTTTTTGACCAATGCAACAACGGCTTTAACGATCTCTTTTTCCGCAGCACAAATCTCCGACTCCGGAAAAACTCGTAAAATCCACTGGCAAGACTGCCGCGAGCAGCGGCGTCGAGCGCAACAAAGTCCCGGCCGACGGCAGTGCGAAAACGTCGAGCTCGAAGAAGCCGTCGTCGAAAACGAAGCAGGACCACTATCAGCCGGTGAACGCCACGTCGTTCCCGTGCACGCAGGACTCCAAGGAGAACGTGAAACTGGTCGAGGCGCCGATCTTTCGCCCGAGCGAGAAGGACTTTCAGGATCCGCTCGAGTACATCGACAGGATACGGCCGATCGCCGAGAAGTTCGGCATCTGCAAGGTCGTGCCGCCCGCCAACTTCAAGCCCGAGTGCAAGGTCTCGGACGACATGCGCTTCACCGCCTACAATCACTACATCCATCGCATGCTGAACCGCTGGGGGCCGAACGTGCGCGAGATGATGGCCATCAAGAAGTACCTGGCCACGCAGAGCATCAGCCTGACGCAGGCGCCCTGGATCGGCGGCATGGAAGTCGATCTGCCCTATCTCTACCAGACGGTCCAGACGCTGGGCGGTCTCAAGGAGGTCATCGAGAAGAAGAAGTGGCAGAAGGTCGCCGACGGCATGAAGATACCGCGCTCGGCCCAGGATCGCGTCACCAAGATCGACGACATCTACTGCAAGTATCTGCTGCCCTACGATACACTGTCGCAAGGTACGTTTCAAGATGATGCGTTTTTCAGCTACTTTTTACTTATTGTTCAAATTTATTTAATCCCTTACTACGAGTAGATCAATCTTCATTCATAAAAAATAATTAGTTAATTTTATCTTGTTCTTTGTGCAAAATGACCTTTGTGTTTAATCACTCTGAAAGTATCGTAGTAATTATTCAGTTGAAAAAAATTGCATGGATATCCGCGTGAATTATCCACGTGGATTAGCTACCCACGAGGATTAGACATGGATACCACACAGACCGGACAACGATTCCACGTGGATAATACATAGATTCCACGTGGATAATACATAGATACCACGTGGACCACACATAGATACCACATGGATCACACATAGATACCACGTGGATCATACATAGATACCACGTGGATCACACATAGATACCACGTGGATCATACATAGATACCACGTGGACCACACATAGATACCACGTGGATCATACATAGATACCACGTGGATCACACATAGATACCACGTGGACCACACATAGATACCACGTGGATCATACATAGATACCACGTGGATCACACATAGATACCACGTGGATCACACATAGATACCACGTGGATCATACATGGATGGGAAAAAAATTCTAAGTTGGTGGTTTTTCAACTCTTCGAAGACCTTGGACTTCTTTCGCGAGCTCGCTCCAAGTATCCTCGAAGTATTGTCGGTAAATTGTGGTGAAATTTAATTTCTCCACATTGATAATTGATTAATCCACGAGGATTTTTCGAGAAATCTTCGAGGATCTTGGACTTGTTTCGCGAGCTCGCTCTAAGTATCCGCGAGGTTTTGACGGTGAATCGTCGTGGATTGATAAAAATCTGCGTAGATTTCTGGGCAATCCACGAGTGGAAATCCTTGTTAATTGTTTAAAAATCAATGAGGAGGTTCAAAGGTCTACGAGAACTTTAGCGAAAATCGTCGCGGGTTAATCGAAAATATGCGTAGGTATTATGTCAATCCTCGCGGCTTACCTGCATAAGCAATTTATTTAATCCACGTGGTGTCCATGTTCAATACACGTGGTATCAATGCCTGATCCTCGAGAAATCTATGTATGATCCACGTGGAATTTGTGTGATAATCAACGCGGATATTCAGGCAATTTTTTTCAACTTATTAGTTACGTGAAGAAATTTGAAAAAATTTTGAAACACAAACGAACGATAAACAATGAAAATAGTTGAATTTCTATGAATTCACTCCAATTAAAATATTGATCACACTATAATACAAGTGTCGATGAAAATATTTATTTTACAATCTTTCAGGCGAGAGAGAAAAGCTATTCAAAGAAGTCGAAGCCGATTGGGTGAAAAAGGAAAGCAGAGCCGAACGCCGATCCAACGATGAGTCGGACGGCGACGATGACGATGACGACGACGACGACGATGACAGCAGCAGCGAAGAGATCGAAGAATGCATCGTAAAAGTAAGTCTTCCAGATTCCTTTCTCTCCCTCAATGAAAATACTGAATAAGTTTTTATGCGAATTCTTGACAAGAACTTTCAAGTTCTTACGTAAAGGCTAGTTTCACTCAAAAGCTCTAAATACGAGATAAGATAAGATCTTACGTAAATATAAGTAAAATCTTGACTAAAAAATTATTATTTTCAAACTAATAATTTTAACTGTAAGAAACTTCATGATTCCTGTAATAAGAGATAATCTTTTTTAGTAATAGTTTTGGTCGAGATCTTACGCGAGATTTCACACAAATTCTTACTTAAATTCTTGAAAATCAACCAGTTCTTACGTAAAAACTTATGTCAGAACTCTTACGAAAATAATACGCAAGATCTTATTAAGAACTAGCACGAAAACTCATTTGACATCTTCATAATTGGGGTCTTATTTACGGTCGCTAAACTTTCGTCAAAATTGTTGTTCTTCTTTCTTTCGTCGCGCATCAGGGCCGGAACATGCCGCTGAACGCGTTCTATCGGATAGCCCGCAACACGCAGCGCATGTGGTTCGGCGAGCGCCAGTGCAGCCCGAGCGGCGAGTCGGAGGGCGCCTCCGCGGCCGAGGTCGAGGCCGCCTTCTGGAAGCACGTGGTGGAGAAGCGCCGCCACGTGTGCGTGCACGCCGCGTCCATCGACTCGGGCGGCCGGGGCTTCGGCTTCAGCCAGGCCAAGAACTCGCCGTTCGCCCGCCACCCCTGGAACCTCAAGGTGCTGACGAATAACGCGGGCTCGGTGCTGCGCGCCCTCGGGCCCCAGATGGGCGTCACCGTGCCCACCCTCCACGTGGGCATGGTGTTCAGCACCTGCTGCTGGTATCGCGATCCGCACTGTCTGCCCTGGATCGAGTATCTGCACACGGGCGCCAAGAAAATCTGGTACGGCATACCGGACACGGAGAGCGAGGCGCTGCGCGACACGCTGGCGCGCATGTTTCCGCGCTACTGCAAGAGCACCAAGATCTGGCTGCCCTCGGACACGGCCATGGTGCCGCCCGACATGCTCGTGCGCAACGGCGTGCCACTGTGCCAGACCGTCCAGGAGCCCGGCCAGTTCATCGTCGTCTTTCCCAAGGCCTTCACCTCGAGCATATGCACCGGCTACGTGGTGAGCGAGAGCGTCTACTTCGCGCACCCGTCCTGGCTCGACACGGCCGAGCAGGTCTTTCAGGATCTGCACGACAGCTGCGAGCCGTCCATGTTCTCCTTCGAGAAGCTGCTGTTCAGCATTATCAACGATGCCAAAACCAGTACCGATGTACTTAGACAGGTATGCATAAGCGCATGAGCTATTATTTATACGCAACGCTGATGCCGTCGACAGATTTTTTGATCGATTTTGTCTCTGTAGATTTTACCCAGCGTCAGTAGAATTTATAACCGAGAGGTCGAGAATCGCCGAAAGCTCAGAGAGTTGGGCCTTGCCAAGACGGAAAAATTGCCCCTGCCCGAGAACGACAAGAAAGCCAAGAAGAAGGCGCTGCAGGAGGAGGCCGATTACGAGTGCGACACGTGCCGAGCCAATCTGTACGTTTCCTGCGTGAGCAATCCCACGGAGGAGGCCATATTCTGCCTGGCCCACGCGATACCCTACATAGAGAGGAAGAAGAGCGTACTGAAAAATTGCACCCTCATCTATACTTACAGCGAGGTAAGGATTTAAAAAAAGCGGGTTTCGTTGTTAGCGTTAATGATTTTTTTTTTTTTTTAATGAACGATTCCGATTTGCAGAACGAACTGAGCGATCTCATTCACAAGCTGAAGAGCAAGATCGAAGCCAAATCCAAAAAGACTAATCAAACGAAGCAGGTCAAGTAGCGTAGCTAGCGATGATTCGTACTTTTAGACGATGTATATTGACTTTGGAAGAGTTAACTTGTCGAAAACAAACAAAAAAAAAAACAAATAGTTTATTAGAGAATTTCTATATCCATTATAACATTGATTATGAATTAAGATTTCAGTGATACGAGATGTAACTGAACACGATAAAAATAGTTAATTATCCATTTTTAGGCAAAAAAGGACTTTCGCGAGGAAGCAGTTCGTAATAACTCTCCTCCGTAAACAATAGTCGTTCTGTGAATATGTATTAGTCAATTTTACACCGTAGATTTTTTAAAATAATTTTTCGATGTCTCGGGTAAATTTTGTGATGAGAGAATTTTGCCATCTCTTTCACTTCAAATACAACTAGACTGCTTAATTATGTAAACTCATAAAATTATGTATCAATTGTATATTTGTTTATATTTTCATTTACATATTATTTTATGTATTATTAACTTTAAAAATAACTTAAAAATGATTTTATATTCAAAAATATTTAAAAATAACTATTATATACTTGGCAAATTTTAAATTTTCAAAATCGTGTATGTTGTAAATTATTATGATTGTAAAATATTTTTAGGACGCACAGACTTTGATCAGACTGAATTTTTTGTTAAACGTTGTTTTTTTAAGTTGTAAAAAATTTCGAATTAGTTTGTAATATCAATCAATCAAATTGATTGACATCATTTTATTTTTTTATTTTGTGGCACTGCACAATTTTTTAAAACTATACATCACTAATAAAATGATTTATGATTGAATAATTGTTCATTATTGAAAAATCCATTATCACATTTATTTTGTCACCAAAACTTGTTAAAAATACATATGTTTCTTATAATTATCACCTATTCATATATATTTGATGATATTCAAATTGGAATAATAAAAGAAATTCTTATAAATTTTCAACAGGCATAAAAATATACAAAACGGTACATTAAAAATCTTTGACACATGAAAATATCATTATTTAAGTATTTTGTGCAATTCAACATAACATGCACGCATCAAGCATGAACATTACTCAATATTTTTTCTGGACAAAATAATTTGTTTGCATTGTAATGTTAGTAAGAAAAGTTTATACAATAGGAAGATATGGTTTCGAACTTGAAACATAAATCTTGGCATTACCCACATATTAGTAATAAAAAATATTTTTATCACTGGTAACACTTCAAAACAATCGGTAACTTATACCTAGATTTTTAGAATTTTATTTGCAAAGAAAACGTCATCAACATCAAATATGTACATTCGGTCATTAAATATTTACCATTTTTCAGCTTTTCACATTGATCAATGTTTTACAATTTTAAAATTCTGCTTTTAGGCGGTTTTCTTCATTTTCCAAAAAATTAATTTAAGCAAAACTGATATAATTTAAATGCTTTTAATCAATCCCATTAAAGAATATTAATTTCACTTAATGAACAGTAGTCCATCCAAAAACGCAATAGCGTTTCACCAGTACAGAATTAAGTAACATTTAATTTTAAAAAAATGGCATCTTTGACACTAGATACCAAAAATGTAAACCTTTGGTAACACTTTCCCAAATTAAATGTCATTTACACAGCAATAACTTGTAATATTTCTACGTGAGATCGTAGAATGGCAACATTTATAACATAACCGTAACTAGACTACAAGCATTATCTAAACAATAACTTTTATCACTTGTAAATACATCTCACTGCTATATCGACGCTTCAAGTCATTGATTCTTATTTTCTAGTGACTCAAACGAATTAATAAAGTTTTATAGAATCATTTACAGTCAAAACTTTTCGTAGTTTTTTTAGAACAGAATTTCACATAGACTGGAATGTGCTGGCAAAACTTTATACATTATCATACATTAAAATTAATACGTCAAATTATGCTTTCATTCTCTTCTCAGTATGATGTCAGATAAGACTTGATTGGGACTTGGTTCTCTTTTGAATTCATCTTCTTCATCTGAACTAAAATCAGCATTTAGAAGATTGGTCAGTGAGCTGGATTTTTCCATTATCAATGGAGCACTTGTATCTATTACTTCCTCAGGCTTGACAAAATTTGCAAATGAATTAGATTCTAACTCCAATTCATTTGCAGAATCCTTCTTATTTTGTAATATTTTGTTTATAACATGTAAAATTATACCACCAAGGCACATAAGCAATCCTACAAAATTAAGGCCATTCATTCTATCCCCTTTCCATTCATACGCTATAATTAAAATACATATTTCCTGCAACAAATAATTCATCAACTTTTTAGTTTTAATTTTTTGTTTATAAAATAATGTTCTTTAGCTTACCTTAAATATACCAGATATAGAAAGAGTTAGACTAGAATTATGAGTAACAACTAAAAATTCCATAACTTCCATACTGAACGCAAGAACAGCTCCTCCAATAACAGCAAATGCTGTGGTTGTTATTAGTAAAGTATCATTCCAATCTACACTTAAAAGTCCTCTGTACACTTTTGGTCCTTCTATTACCATAGCAACAGGGGTAATTGCTAAAAGCATCCATGGTTGCATGTAATACATCATATCAATAGGATTTCTCAATCCAAGTTTAGATTTTTGCATAATTAGTTGTGCAACGGTCCAGCGTATGCCACTTGTCAATGATGCCAATAAACATAAGAGAAAACCTATAAGATCAAAACTAGTTGATTTATAAGTGAACATTACTAAACCTCCTGAAATCATGAAGACTATTCCAGCTAATGACCATGACTGAAAATTATTTATACATTAATATATTTTTATTTTTAAATATCTAATCAAGTTTTCAATACTTAATGATTGAATCTTTAAATATGAGTAAAATTACCTTTTTCTCAAGTTTCAATAGAAGAGCAAAACCAAGAATAAAAATGATTGTTGTTGATTTTGTCATAGTATACCTGTAATTTTACAAGATAAAGAATTTTTTCTTTTTTTTACATATTGTAAAATATTACACAACAATAAACTTACAAAGACATTGTTATTAATGACATAGCCCAATTGGAGAATCCTATATCTAATCCACTAGCAATTCCAGGAGGTCCTAGTGTCCAAATGATATTTTGCCATGATAAATGACAAACAGGTTGTTGACTTTTGCAACATTTTCTCATGTGCCTTATAATACTGGTCATAAAAAATTTAAACACCAAATGACAGCTTACTACTGTCAATGGAAAATCAAATCCCTGCAACAAAACAAGTTATTATTGTGTGTACTAATTATGAGAAGAATTACACTTAACATATGTATTGTACTCACATAAGTGTTATACAACCATTTTTGATAAAAAGTCAGTCCAATGGATAGAACAAAATATATGGAAATAAGAAGGACAGCCTGCATTATGCCACGCCAGAACAGAGCTTTTTTGGACATGCCCTCATATTCCTGTACGTGTTGTAAGAAGTAATCATTGGCATCATCGTCATCTCTGGTGAGTTCATATTTAACATTGGATCTTGGCATATTTTAAACAAAGCCACGTCTGTTACAAATTAAATATCCACTTTATTTAAACAGCTGGTAGCTGATAAGGCAATTAACTGGAAAGAAAACAATGAGCTCTGTGTACAAACCCTCTTTAGTCCATTTACAAAATATATGAAGCAGTGCTCGAAGAGAAGTTAGCATAGATGGCAATGTTTTGAAATTTCAAGAGATTTGTAAATTAAACAGGTCAAGCCCACGATGAGATGTTCAGAGTACACGCGACGAAGCCGCGATTTTCTGGAAAAACCAAAACACAGTTGCGGGATAAATGATCATTTCAAGACTCGATAAACAAAATTATAAGGTAGATGAAAAAATAAGCTTTCAAGTTAAATTTCGTAGCTACAAAGTAAACCTATGAAATAAACATATTGCAGTACTGGTGCTGACCACGTAAAAAAAAGCGCCCCTCGATACGTATATTTGACTGCTATCGGATAGTTTGAAATTCACCGCAGAACGACCAAAGTATTATCCCCCGACGTAAAAATCATTAATCCAACTCGAGGCACCAACACTGCAGCTCCTCAGTTTTGCATGGGATTCTTCCTTCAGGAGGCAGCGGTCACTGCACGGAAAATCGAGCCCTAAAAATCGAAATGTTTTATATTCGCACGCCGCGGGACACGATCTCGAGCGCTCTAGCAGCTCGGCAGGCAGACTGATGTGTGTGATAAGCGCGTTGTGTGCTGCTGCGAAACTGAGAGAACTGCACAGGGCATATATATGTACATACACGAAGTGTAAACAGAATTATAACCTCTCGTGCGCAGGCTCCGACTTTTTGCAGACTACCTGTGTTATAGCTATATATATTAGATTGCCAATTTGATGGTATGCGTGCACGAAACTGACCAATGATTACGAGAGTCGCGAGACCCAAGGATAGGCTATATTACAGGTATATGAGAAAGAGAGAGACAGGAGTATGTAACGCTTGTCTACACGAAGTGTCGAGAAAGCGACGAAACCGTGACATTTCAAATCGTTTAAATACCTTCGATTCCGTCCGAATTCGTGCCGAGGAATCGTTACACACTGCGTTGCGATCGATTGAACTATTCGCAGTTGACAATTTTACTTACTCGAGTTCTTTTTTTGCGCGATCGAGCTTAGGATTTACGCAATCCGTATCCTGAGTTTTTATCAATTAACGTTTTTGCGATTCGACAATGAGATTTCCATTAGAAATTCGTCATTGAAAATTTAATTACCTGCCGGCAGCAGCACCCGTTGGAGAGGTCGATTATATTTTTCAAATATCCGCCTGTATGTTCTCTAGTTATTCTTTTGGTGATATTAAAAAATAAATTAAACGTCAACATTTTTTTTTCTTCGTAAATTATGTACGAAAAACATTCTTTTATTTGATTTCATTTATTAAATAAATTTAGAAAGTATCGATTAGAATATACTATTGTATTTACTTAAAGTAAAAGCGCTTAAAATTAATTCGGTAATACGAGTACCCAAAAAATGATCAAAACATAGATAAAATGACAATTGTTCTTGTCGTGGCTCGTGTATTTTAGTATGTACAATGTGTAAACTATACTTAGTAAACAACTTCTCGTCATTAATACTTTTTTTTTATCGTCGACGCGACATGCATGTGTACCTCATTCGTAAAATATCCGCTTTTGCATATTATCATCAGAACATGCATTTTTCCGTTTAGAAATTAAAAAAAAAAAATTATAAATAAATGAACCAGCAAGGCAACGTAGTTGAATTTAAAAAAAAAAGTATACATTTCAAGAATCTATGAATTTATAACTAAGTTTTTTTTCTTTTTCGACGAAAGCAGCACACGTGCAATCCAATCCGATCCGATTGTGCGTCTTTTTCACATCGTGCGCTTCGTCTGGTCGCGAGTACTTCGCGCTTTCTATGAATCCGCGCGTTATCTGCGCTCGGACGCACGAACGCCGTTTCTGCTATACGTGGCTCGTGCCCTGGTAGTGTTTTTGGTCGTCGCTTTTTGATTTCCACTGCTGGTCGGCGATGGCGTGGTCGCCGATGAACTGCTGTAAGTTGCCTGCTGAAATTTCAACGAAAATATCAAATATTGAAATTTTTAACATTTAGCATAAAACTTCTCAACTACACGAGTATAATAGGCAAATTTGATAAAATTTGACGAGGAAATAAGTATTATCATGTCATATATTTTAAAAAATTCGTGACTATCATTTATGGAGAAATAATTGATAGAAAATTTACCTGAGCTCCGTTTCCTCCTTTGTTTGATGATGATTTTTCAGTCAATACTGGCGGTGGAGTAGTTGGTGCACTATTTTGTACTGGCTAAAGAAATGCATTATAAAAAATATTTTTAAAAGTTCTGAGCATTAAAGTTTCATCATAAGTACATAGTTGTAAGCACCTTAAATATATTAATATTTTTAAATACTATTGTTAAAAATATTTCTCTACTTGATGAGTGAAAAGAATTTCTATTGTGTAATTTGAAAGGGATATAGAAGCCAGCCAAAAAATCAAAATTTTAATCCAGATTTTTGAAACTTCTACTGAATATTTTTGAAATGGTCTCTATGGCTAACTTTGAGTGTCTTTTGGAAGAATATTCAGCAGAAGTTTCAAAAAACTTTATTGAAATTTTGATATTTTGGCTGGCTCATTTCTTTTCATCTATGAATTAAATTTTCAATAAATGATATCAAGCTAATACCAGATTAAGGATTATTATTACTAGTTGCTCAGTCCTATTGTTTTTTGAATTTATCTTTTCTATCTGTTGAATATGATCCTGCTGATAGTACTCTTGTTTTCTTTATCAATAATTAAAGCATACAAAAAAAAATTAAATAAATAATCAATAAGCCCAGTAATATAAATCTTTTTAAAAACACTTACAACATGTTTGCCATTATTCCCATTATTCCCATTGCTCAGTTGGTTGTTGACCAACTGAGAAGTCAGTGCAGCATTCGGCTCACTCATGTTTACTTGGTCATTATACGCCATGCAAAATTCTCCAATTTTTTGAAGTTCCCCAATTTTACCAGAATAAAGTGTTAAACAATTTCTCCACATGGAACAGTAGCCTTTGGTCAATTTAATAATATCTCCAGGCATCATTAAGGCTCCAGGCTCATCCCAAACAGAAACATTAATACATGCTGATTGATCTGCCACTGCAACATTAGATTTTTTTGTATTATAATAAAATTAACTGTGCAATCTATGATGTCACTATACGTGATTGTAAATGACTAACCTTTAAAAGTTCGTATTTCCCGCTTTTCTTTCGTCATTGTTGGAGTACCCAGTAAATCAAGTACTATGAAAACTATGTTAACACTTTTCTGCCCAGGCTTCAAGTCCTTAATTAATATTTGGTCCATTTGTGCCATTGTTGACATTTAACTTTGACTCAAACCAGAGCGATACAGCGATCAAAGCTTCGAAAACTTGAAACAATAACAAATTAAAAGGCGTTGAGAAATGATACTATTTTTTCGCCAACGCGAATGTTTTATATTAAAAACCAATTAGCACTAACGAGGGATGCACCGATGGGGCTCCAAACGGGGTGATACAAAGTTCACTCGAATAACGGTAAGAGTTAACTCTCCAGTGATGTACTGAGTCCGAGCATTAGCTGTCGACTACCACTCTGATTACTGCTGCGGCTGAGACACGAATGTTTTGAAGCAGACGTGTTCGCCTTTCTCTGCTGCCACTACTCTGTAAGGTTAAATTGAATTCTCGCTTTGCACGTGTGTGCTCGGCTGGGACAAATTGCTCAGCGAGAGCGACAAAAATTCAACGTGTCTCTTTTATTACTCGAAGCCTAGCTCGCAGTGGCTATTAAATAATTACAGCCATTCTCATCTCAACCAAGTCCAGGTTTAAAACATTCAATGAAAAAAGAGTCGATAGTTTAACTGAATAATATGATATAAAATTCGTGTCAGCTCGACGCGCTCGTGCGAACGCAGCTTAATGACCGATAGCGTGCTCCTCCTCATTGCGAACGAGGCTTAAAGCAGCTGGACTGCTGCTGTTGCGTTTCGCGAATGTTAGTGTGTATCCTCCCCTCGCTTTCTTTATGTATACCGTGATGATATGTTTCACGCAGCAGAGAGCTAGCTGCTAGGCTGCACACAAGGCAAGAGGAGATGCTCGATGCAATTTGCAAGTACATAAGCATGTTGTCTGCCAATGAGGCAGTGTTACGAAAGACGACGACTACGAGAGTTTGCGAACATATGAGTATTATGTGGGAGCAGTACGTATAAAGCGCAGTAATATAGGACGCATCGGGAATAAGAAAGAAGAAAGTTGGTGAACCGTTGTACACAGCAGCACACACGGACTTGATTGTGACTTGAACTTTTTATGAACAAAGTCGGATATTGCGCGCAGCACGTCCTAACGTTTGTGCAGACAGACCGATGCTGCTGCACTGCGTTGGTAATAGGCCCTGCAGAAGTGCGTAACGAGTATAACAAATACGTATGTAAGCTCGATTATAAATGTCAAGCGGTGCACATTGATATTACACCTTGCAATGGGGGAAGAGGTTGTAGACTCGGATAAATTGAGGCCAACCCTCGAGACTTATAAAAAGCTCTCCAAGGATGTGTCGAATCACGATACCATTCTCAAGGTATGCATCCCCTTTTTTATGTATCTCGCGCATGGGTTACAGCATCATCTTCATTAATCGCTTTTGCTTCTTTTCTGTTTTTTTTCTTTTTTTTTTTCGTGTGGTCCAGGATAAAACTGTACTATCCTACATAGCCGTTGTATTGGAGTATCCAGACACGGAAGTCGTCGAGTTGGCCTTGGAGATTCTCGAGACGTTCGTGAAAAACGTGGAAAATTACGGACACATAACTTCGACCTTTGGCGTTAGGGAGGCTTTGGAAGCAGTCATCAACAAGTATAACTTGGATGATCCCAAATTAGCCAAGAGAGCCCAACAGATTAAAGATGACATCGAACGCATGAAGCCCCCAATCTATAACTTACGCAGTAGAATAAGGAGGGTTGTTGAGCCTAAGAAACTCAAGACTCATGTCATTACTCTACACGTTACTGGACTGTTACCTGTAAGTTACAGTAATTGAAAAATTCATGTAACAATGCACAATAAGTTCATTTTGTGACAAACTCCAATTTCAATAACAGACTCAGTTATTTAATGTTATTATTTCAGGAAACAAGGACAGAATTAGAATATACATTAGTTAGGATCGAAGGGTTGATATCACTGGTTGCAGATGTTGAACACCAAAGAGTCACAATGAGGACTCTTGCCAGTATCACTCCTAAACAAATAGCTGAAGCAATTGAAGATAATAATCCGACGATGGAAGCAAGATTAGTTACTAGAAATAAGTACAATCAAGAATTTTTAGTGAAATTGGTAATGCATAAATTCCAAAATTATAAGTTCAAACATAGCATACAATGAAAATATATTGTCTTAATAAACTATTGCATTTTAGGTGAAAAGTGATTCAGATGATACTGATGACTTGCCAGAGTATTTACCTGATGATGATGAGCCTGAAGAAGAAAAAGAAGGCATTATATCTTTATTCACAGGTTTGAAGCAAAGTGCTTCGACACTGTATAAAAGTACAGCAGAATTTTTGAGTAATTCATTTTATTGGTGAAACATGAGTGTGTGTAATCATTATCATCATAGCACATTTGTCATGTTTGTTATTAATTTTGCGCATTTAATTTTCTAATGACATCCTTCAATGAGATTTTTTTGTTTAATTTGTAGATAATTATATTAAGAATGTTTTTGTTGTACAGTAGGAACAATTTTTCATTCAATTCCTTGAACATTTTACCCTGCGCTTTTAACTCAAGCAGCAATTGTACATTTTTTTAACTTATTTAAAACCATTGATCATCCACATCTAAGTTTAGCTTCTAAGTAAATCTTTGGATTATTGAATTTACAATTGTATTCAATGTTGAAAAATTCTACGTGTAAATAATCATGCATCGCAACAATATGAGATTGTTTTGTAAATCAAAATACATATTATAAATCAGCCTTGAAAAAATGAACTATTGAAAAATGATATTCATCAATTTATTCTACTTATCACTTACGAGGCTGTGGACAAATATTTTATATACACGTTATCTTTTACATTTTCAAGAAAAGATTGACAAACTTTTATTTTAAGATGTTATAAAAATAACTAATGAAATATGTTATGATATAGTTAAAATGAATATAGATTAGGCTCAATTGGTAACTTGAAATTAAAGAACCATTTTCAAAAGCCATATGACACTTAAAGATGTTGCTTGATGCTTGAAAATCAATAACATGAATAGAATCAATGAGAATTTAGAATTTATTAATTTGAAAAATTGTATAACTGTAATAACAACTTCAATTTTCACCAAAAAAAACTCTTGAAAGGTGGAACAAAATGACGACAAAAATTCTTTGAAACAACTATTCAAAGAGGCAAACTTGAGTGAAAAATTATAGAAAAAATCTATATGACAATGTTATAGTAATTAGACTTAAAAAATATATTAAAAGTTCTGTTCTATGAAAGCTTGATATTTATGTACTATAGTAAAATACAGTTGAAAATTTGAATCAACGAAAGCACTAAAAATCGTGGCTAAGTGTATATTATTTTTGTGTTGATTAAAGTGCAAAATAGACTATGAATAAATTGTAATATAAAAAAAAGAGCAATGGCTAAAGACTAAATGGTGTATTTATTCGAAGCATTCACTAGGCTCACTCACCTATTTTGAAAATGTAAGCTTCAATGACGATTTTTATGTAACATTAAATGGTATCTTCATCCATTATAAATAAAAGTATACCAAAATGATTAATTTGTGTGGAAGTTCATTTATATAAGATTAAGAACCAATAGTAGAGACAAAATTTTAAAACAACTTTCGAACGAAATTTTAGAATTTCAGATAAAAAGTGGTATGTAATCAGAAAATGTGAAAATTATTTTTATTAGTGAGTACAATTTTAATATGTATTTTTTTAAAACAATGTTTTTTCTTTACTTCAATGAGGATAAATGAAAAAGAATTCGTTTAAATGTTAACTAATTTTTTTTCTTTATTTATAAATTCATGATTATGAATATCTTTTGTATGTCATACAATTTGATGATGAGTACTTATACAAATTGACAAAAGTGATGGCTTAACAATCTAAACATATCACTACACAAATATCGAATTGCGCGTCACAATAAATTAATCTGACTATCGAAAAATCTATAGTTTTTATTTTAATTCATTTTTGAGTATGTTTAGAAATCGCAATTGGTCATATTGCAAATATTTTATTAGTCTATTCATTTGAATAGTTATTTTATTCAGTATATAAAAACTAAAACACGTATATTAAAATAGCTGCCATTTCAGGTTGACATTACTTTGATTTTGAAAAATATTGCATCGCCTCATATAATATGATTAGGCACATCATACATATTTTATTAGTACTTTACAATTAAATGTTTTAATAATATTCAAATATTACTTCATCATACCTTAAAATTGAATTTTTACAACGTTCCAAAAAACGTACAATGGTTATCATCTATTTTCCAATTTATTTATACTACTTGTAATTTCATGATTAATTGGACGAAAATGTTTAAATTAATACTTTCTTGTGGCAACTGATATCAAATTTTTGACTTTATTATCTTACTAATATTAAAAAAATATTTGGATGTGTTTGCATAATTTCCTTCTTATCAATCATTTTTAATTAATTTTTTATTCTTATATATGTTTTAAGTAAAAAAAATATTATCTACATTGTGAACATAATAAGGAATGCTGAGTTTCAATACATGAAAATTCATCGATTCTAGAATGCAAGGAACTGTACAAAAATAAATTAATTAGCTCAACGCTTGAAGAAAAATTTTCTCTAAGAAAAGAATGAATATGATTCTTAAAATATGTACAATTTTAGTTTTGATTTCGCACAGTTATTTTACTTTCCAAGACTATTTTCGTAATGATAAAAAGTTTTTAAGTACTCATAAATAACTCAATTTTTTGAGTACAGCTCTAGAAATAAATCTAATAAATTTCATTTTAAATAAAATTGATAATATTCGTCATGACAAATAAATTGTTCTATATAATGCACGAGAGAATATATACATTTTAACCAATTGGATTTTTTTATAAATTAACATTTAACTAAAATTAAAACAAGATCACTTCTCCAATTTCATTGGAAAAACTTCCAACTCATTATGTACATTTGTACGCATAATTATTTACAAAATACATTAAGTACACATTTCAAGTAACGTATTAAGGACGAAGAAAAGACGTTTTTACCTATTCATAATAGCAAGTGAATCATACAAAAATATTATTATACATAATTAAATTATCAAGGACAACCCAAACATCATAGTTAAACAAATCAATTTAAATGATTACCAAAATCAACAATAAAGACCATTAGAAAGCAGAAGTTTTCATTAAAAGTATACTATTACATCGTTTATTCAGTTATATGTAAAATTTCAACGTTTGACTCTTTTTTGTACGATAAGCAAGTTTGACAGTAAACAGGCACTTAATTTTTACTGGCTCAAACGTTTTTTTTTTTATAAAAAATACAAGCTTGTATTTCAATGAAAACTTCCGAAATATTCTCTGTAGACAAATTTTAGTACGGAACGGATACGTAAGCTATTCGACGAGTAAAAAATCAACGAATGAGTTTTAAAACGAAACTCAATATCGGGGGTATCGAATACATTTTGAACATTTCAATGATCTATACTCTACTTTCACACTTATTTTCGAGATCATCCGATTCAGATTGACTAGCTGACGACGAGCCGCCGTCGCTGGCGTCGTGGCTGCCGGATTGTTTAACGCGTATACTGCCGCAAGCCGACATGGCCCGTCGCCTTGGATTTGGATTGTATTTGTGATGCGGCGTGGTGTCGCAAGAACCAACCCTGCGAAATGCTCCTCGAACGCCTGGATTACTCTCGAGCGTTGATGACTTACTGGACGGAGAGCGAGAGTACTCCGAAGTGTTTTCCTCGTCGGAAGCGAGAGAGCGTTTGATCGCGGCCGTCGCGAACACAGGTTTTATTCGACGATGTCTGCATCCTGGACCGATTGGCCTTCTTGCAGCGCTACACGACAAAAGGCAATAATCATTGGTACGTGAAGTTTTTCAAAATTTTACCTGCAATTCTAATGCGTACCTTCTTCTTCTAAGCGAGTAATTATACGAATAGTTGCGATAATCGCCCTCTTCATCGGACCAACTCTCTTCGCCTGCTTCTGCATCTTCGTGGCACGTTGCATCGACTTCGTCCATGTGACAGTCGTGTTCGGTGCTCTTTTCGGGCCCTTGATTCTCAAAGTCCTCCTTACTTTTAGTGTAAAAATGATAAGATCGATTTTCAAATTCGAATCGATTGATACTTTCGATGATTCTAAATGAAAATCCATGTCTTACCTGTGCACAACGTCGTTGCCATTGTCTATCGGTGACATGAGTCTGTTGGCATTGAGTATTTCATTGACTTTTCGACCCAAGGTCTCCAAATGATCGTCGTCGCTGCAATCTTTGAATCCGGGTTCGCTGTTGCCGTTAAGCCGATTATCGTCCAAGGGTTCGGGACTCGATCTACGCTGATAAATTTGTCCCGCGGTATCGTTGCCGTTATCGAAGGCAGATTTGGGATAAAGTCGATTGGACGAGACTTCGAAAACGTAACGCTCTTGGAAAGACGAGCGACGGACGTCGGGCTTCTCATCCGCGGTGCTCGAGCTGTCGTTTTCCGACGATCTCGGAACTTCCGTTTGCGTTTGATTGTCGACCAACCGGCTGGAAATTATTTCTGCAGCCTGAATAATGAATGTTTAAAAATTATTAGTCATTTTCGATCGTTTCGATTAAAAAAAAAAACAGTCTTAAAAAGAGTATCAATTACTTTTCTTTCGCGCTGTGGACTGGCTCGTAGACTCGATCCGGAACCCACTCTCCTGTGTCTGTACTTTTTCTGCTTGAAACTGCTACTAGTACCGGGTAAGAGAACCGTTTCTGGCTTGTTGGAATTGTCAAGCTGTGTACAGAGGGTTACTTTCTCTGGACTCTCCAAAACCGTCGGACTCGTTGACTGGGGTGACGTTAGACTCGGAGACGAAGATTGTACGCTTGTATTACGACGACGATTCAGACGTTCTTGACACTTTAGAATAGGATATACTATGCGTTTCTTGCCACTTGATTTTTGACTCTTTTCCCGCCTGTATGTACATAATTTCGTTAGACAAAACATCAAATTATTCATGAAACCAATTCATCGACTATAAGAAAGAATTGACAGCTTACTTCAGTACATCCTTTTCGCGCTTTTCGAGATGAACCAAAACAGAACTGAGCTCCAAAAAGAGATTGTTGGTTCGCTCCAATTTACGCTCGTAGTGCTCCCTGATGTCTTGCGCATGGCGCAACTCCTCTTTTCGGCGACGTATCAGATCGGCCTCGTAACGATGCGAGTTTGAATTTTCCGTTTGAATTTTCTTCATGTGTTCCCGTATCTCCTCTTTCCACGTTAACTGAAATCACGCGGAAAAAGATTACTTTCGCATTCTACGCTGAATCCACCCATTACGAATCAAGACCGAATAAAACAGTACCTGTGCTTTGAAATATTCATCCTTCGTTCTCTTTTCGAGTTCTTCCGAAGCGATCTGTAAATGCATTTCGATATGCCTGAAGGACGGTCTGTTTCTCGGTCGTGGAGCCCAGCACAATTCTACCAATACTCGATAGCCTTCTGGGCACGTCGAGGGTATCGGTAGCCTCAAGGAATTGTTGCCAACCCCGTACATTATAGCTGAAGAATCCACGTCTTTGTATGGTATTTCTCCACTCAATAATTCCCATAATACGACTCCGAACGACCTGAGATTATTTCGATGTAAAGCAAAAGCTCTTGATGAACAAAGTTTGGTAAAAAAAAAATTGTACTCACCAAACATCTACTTTTTCCGAACAAAGTTCGTTTCTTATAATTTCAGGCGCCATCCAAGCCACTGTGCCAGCAAAAGTCATTCTAGTGCTTTTTTCGTTCCATTCACGGCTTGTACCAAAATCACTTATTTTTACTATGTCTTCTCGCGCGATTAAAACACTACAATTAGAAAAAAAACCAAATGAGAAATCTTGTCAAACTTCGGATAATTAGTACGGGATAATAAATTTAGGACTTACTTTGGACTCTTCAAATCTCTGTGAATAATTTTGTGTTCGTGGAGGTACCTCATACCTGCAGCTATTTGTTTGGACCAAGCTGACAATCTTAGAGGTGGTACAGATTTTCCTTCTCTCAAATAATCATAAAGTGGACCAGATTCACAATATTCCATTATAATACAGTAACATGGCGCTTGCGTACATACTCCTCTGAAAAATATATCATTAAATTATTCAATGCTCTGACTGTTTTGAAAATTACTGAGAAAACTCACTTGAATTGTACAATATTAGGATGATTCAATTTTCGTAAATGTTTGATATCAGTCTCACGGGGTTCTTTCACTTTTTTAACAGCCACAATTTCTTTTTTCAATTTTCCGCTAAAAACCGCACCTTGAGCACCAGAGCCTAGCCATTGGAGCTCGCTTATGGTCTCGAAAGGAATTTCCCAATCGTCCGCTGCTCAAAAATCAAATTCAAAATTATAATTCAACATTCGAATGTTATTGAAAAGAAAGATCGACGCTCTTACTTTGATTTCCTTTGATTTTTTCACTAAATGCAAGTTTGTTGAATATGTTAAAAACTGGTTGCATACAACCGATGAACCACGTGACTGGTTTCTGATTGTATATACTGTCTGGTGCAACTGTGGCCTTGGTCGTCGATTCGCTGGATTCGGTATTTCCTTCTGAATCAATATTGGCGTTGGTTTGAGGCACGGATTTATTATGAGATACGGTGATAACGGGCTCCCCTCCGATGATTTTTATTTGCTCGAAGTTGTCTTGAATGCACATCATGCTGCAATGAAACGCATCGTTGGTAAGAGCGACGAATAAAATAAAACTCTTAAAAGCTTAAGGTTTTTTTTAACTATGAAAAATATCCATCGAACTCTCAATAGCTATTGAAATATTCTGCTACGATCTATTTCAATGCACTCCACAACTTTGACCTTTGATAACGCGGACAACGAACAAAACTATTCTAAATTCTATCGATCCTGGAATACAGTTCACTGCTCCGATCGCGTTTTTCCGAAATTTCGAACGAAGAGAGAGAGAGAGAAACAGTCGCCTGATGTAATAATCGCTGCGATTCGCAGGTAAAATACCTATATGTATCGTGTGTGCATTATACAGCGAGGAAAAAAGGAAACGACTCGCGCGCATTACATCATTGGGCTAATTAGCGCCGAGAGATAGACATGCATGAAAAAGCAATAATCACAACGCGTTCCTCCGCGTCAAATCCCGAAAAAAGCCTCCGGATAGGCATCTCGCTCGATCGGTTCGCGCGTTCGAAACGGGTATATCGCTCGTGTAATATAGATTGTTTATCTCTCGAGATATCGACGTATTATTATAGTAAACGCACACAACACATCGGCCGTCGTTCTCTTCTTCTTCGACAGGTACACACGACAAAATTGTTGAAAAAAGTACCTATCGGCACGATCGCGAGTGGTCGGCAACTTTTCATCCGTCTGCAGCTGCTTGACGTGCAGCGAGCCAGCGCCGGAGCCGCGCACGAACAGGCGGGCGAGCACCATGCTGCCCAGTCTGGCATATGGATAGCAGCAGCAATTGGCCAAGCTGCAGTCGAAGCCGCTGCCGCCGCTGCGCCGAGAGCCGCGGCGAGTGGTGCAGGCTGCTGCACCGGTTATATTATTGGCGCTGGCCAGGACGGGCTTCAGGGCCTTGGCGATTATGGCGTTGCAGAGGCAGTGTAGCGGCAGACAGTAGTAGTACAGAACGCAGCACGCACGTACGGATATAACGCGTGACACCGACTGATGTATTCGCATAACGTACAAGAGGCACATATAGGAAGAATGTGCGAGCAGCAGAGCCGCCGCAGAGTCGAGTGAGTGAGAGAGAGAGAGAAACGACGACGACGACGACGCGCAGAATTTTATTGTGTATATTGTTGTGTATGAAGTATGTATGTATCGCAGGCACTTTCGCCTTTTGACACGCGCGATTACATATCGTCGACTGAACAAGTGCCAAAGTTTCGCGCGAGCCGAGTGCGGCGCAGTGGCAGTGGCAGCAGAAGAGCTCGCTGTCGTTATTATCATTATTTTTTTCTTTAAGCTGCTGCCTGCGACTCTTTGAGAATCTGCAACTCGCACTGTGTCCATATATATCTAATATATCATCGCTACAGAGAGAGATGGCGCGCGATCGCGACAGTGCAGCTGCATTATCGATATAAGAATGTGGGCCGCAATGCTGGATGGACTCCGTATGTAATAATGAAATGACGTCGATCGTGTCACGAGTTACGTCGTTTTGACGTCTCCCACGAACACACATGCACGAACTGCAATCTTCGCGCGTTATCTCTCGCGCATTGTTACACGACTTCGTTCGTTCGCGCGCGCGCGGATAATTGCATCGTTCGGTATATAATATAAGGACTCGCTAGAAGGTTATGTTGCGTATCGTTACAAGGTACCCCGTAATTCGATCGTTTGATAATTTGCCGCGAAAAAAAAGGTAAAATTATCGAAGGATTTTAGGTATATAATATATCGTTTTAGCCGCGTGATCGGTATTAACAGATGCGCGCAATTGTCTGTGGCTATTTTCAGCGCGCTCGAGAGAAAGAAAGTCGTTTTACACATTATAATAGAATTAAACTCTAATAAGCGGCTTTGGAAGCTACCGATTATCGATTGGTATAATTCAAGTTCGAACGCGTCGGAGGAGAACCTCGCGGGCGAAGCTGTACCAGTGCGTGATCGCACTTAACTCAACGACATCCTCCCGAGTACACATTGACAATGGATTCGTTGGGATCGTTCTCGAAATAAAAACTTTTCAAATGCCAGTGCTGATATTATCCTCGACAAAAAAAGCCCCGAGCTGCGAAAATTCGATCGATGCCAATAATACGGGGGGAGGACAACAATTTATGCGCAGGGAGCAACGAAGAGGAGACTCACCCGTTGGTGAAATTTTCTTTCTGCGTGGCATCCTGCAGGACGACTCTCACGGTCGTGCTGCCGCCGCCGCCGCCGTCGTCGTCGGGCTCGGCCTGCACCTGCAGAAGCGAGTCGAGCACGATGTTGTTGTTGTTGCGTCCAACGCCGCTGCAGCCGTAATTCTCCGGCTGGGCGCGTATTTCCGTCTCGGCGGGTACGCGCATCCTCGGTTACAAGGCCCTGCACACTCGGCAGCTCGTCCGGCTATATAGGATCGAGCGAGGGGCAAGCTGCGCAGCGGGTCCTGTGAACAAAAATAAAAGATTCGTGGCGTCATTGTTAATGTTTCCAAAATTTCTAATCGAGCGATTTAGGAAATTGTATTAAATTTTCAGGATGTACAGTTCGAAGTATAACGTACAAGAGGCACATATATAGCCAATATGTGCCCGAGCCACTATATAGCTCGATGTTTATACGCTTCGTTTGCGAATTATCCTCGCCGCGGATGATTCAACGATTATCGTTGTAATGAACTATTTTTAAAAGAAACACCTAATCAACGATACGCAATTTATGAAAGATTTTTTTTTTTTTTATGAATATTCAAGAGTTCTCGGATTTTCGTGGTAAAAAAAAAAGCAACAACAACATTAAAACTTCCGATTGATTTATTTCTTCCTTCGAGTCCTTGAAACGAGATGAAAGAATGGGAGAAAAACTCGAGATCAATACCGTTGGATAGTTCATCGGATCAATTGCCATCGGAAGTATCGACACGTGCCTTGACAGATGTATATAATACAGTTGACCCTCGGATTTTCCATGTTATACCCACGCGCGAGGGTAACTTGATCTTCGTTTCGATCGCGTAAATAAGGCAAAAAGATAAAGGATAATTCGTGTAAACATTTACTTCGTGAGGATTCGTTTTCTCGGAGGAAAATTTGCAAGCGTTTGAAGATCTCAGTAGGTCCTATATCGATAGAATTTTTTTCAAGTAATCCGATGTTATTCTCCGCCGCGCGCGTTGCTCTCCTTGGCCTCGGCGAGATCGTTATGCAATCATCGTATAACCCGCACCCCCTGAAAGACCCGAACGAAATTTTTCACACGAATGCAATAAATGTTTATTATCGGAGAGCGCGGAGCTCGTGCGTCGTCGACGACGATAAGAGCGAGGTTTGATTTGCTAAAATTAGCTTCTATATCCCGCGTATGTATCGCGATCGATAATATACGATATTTTTTTTCTCACTTTTCTTTTCCTGCACACGTGCGCGCACTGGTAGGTATAAGCGCGACGTTTAATGGGTTCGCGGCGGGCATCGTTATAATAAAAAAAAAGCGTGTACAGAATACAGATAAGCATCTACCGGTATAGGTATGCACGATGCTATTTATAAATAATAATCTGGAGTAATTTTAGACTCGTGTGCTTGCCACATTATGTGACGTGCTGAAAAGATCGTCGCAGCATGTGCGGCACCTATTACAACGCACGATTGTGTGTCTGCTGCATCTCGAACGTTCGTTTGATTTTTTTCAAGTGTCTTTACATACTAGCTCGAAATCGTATCGCGATGAGCAAAAAAGTACCTCCCCTGGAGTGAACGACTACCTATACTACGAAGAAAGCGCGTCAGCAGTTACGTCAAGGCTCTATAGTCTCTGCTCCACGTCTGTAGCTATATATTATCCAAGTTTGTCCTTATACCAAATGTAAACACGATGTATGTACGATTACGTAAAAGTTTCCGCGCCGATCTATTTCGAAGATATGTGAAAAATCATTTATAAATCGAAGAGGAACGTCGATTGATTTGCAAAAAAAAAGCTCACGCGCACAAATACGTGCAGCGTTATATTATCGGCATGGCGAATGCGGGGGAACAGAGGGAGAGTAATCGTATAAACAGACACGCGCTTCGAGGGAGAGAGAGAAAGAGAGAGAGAGAGTAAAAGGGCACCCCCAGGGGGTCGAAAATCGATCGTCGTCACGACAAACTCGACTCGGCAGAGACGAGCTCAGGAGGGGTGGCCGTGTCCTGCAAACACCCTCGTATTTCTCTGTCTACATAGCTTGTGCTTTTGCTGCTGCTGCGTGGCATTATTTTGCAAAGAGACGATGACTTTTTTTTGCTTTCAAACGATCCAATTTCATATATGAAGTTCTCATGTTGTTGCGAAAAAAAAGCTCGAACGCATATACAGGCAAAGCTCGCGTCGACGCTGCACCTATAGCTGTATATATAGCCGAACGAACATCTGTTCGACTATAAATACGATACAAAAATAACTAATATGTAACTATACGTCGAACTACTCGGTCAATGTTAATTAGACGTCACGCGCGCGCGAGCCTCGGAAGCGGCGGAGGGTGCGGAAGAGGTAGTATACATACAGTGCCTATAGCAGAAAGAATCGATAGGTCGAACGAGAATGTGCACCTTGGCGTATAATCGACGATTTTTTCTGCGAATTCGCGTACACAGACGCGGCACAAGTGCAGAGCTCTTTTGCTCGACGATAAAAGGTTTCGTTGCTCTTCTGGCTAGGCGGCCACGGCCTCAAGTTCAAGCTCGTTTTTATACGTATAGTAAGAACGAGCGAGATCCCCGCGAATATCATTGTCGAATTGCGGCGCGTTCGATTTTCATACACACATAGATAATTATATCGAAAATAATAAGAACCATCGAGACTTTTGCTGCGAGAGCAAAACTTTTGCTATACGTATATAGAGAAGGCCGAATTCTTTTGGTTGATATAAGAGCCGAGAAATAACGACACACTGTGCGGAATTCATTTGTTACGCGCCCAAGGCAATTCAATTCGATTACACTCGTACATATACATCGTCGCATTACGTCGTGAACTTGGAGCACGCACGAGCTCCGAATATTATACTTATCGTCGATCTCTCTGACTCTTGCTGCTTCTTCATCGATAACGTGGTTGTTTTATACATCTGAGCGGCGATCGACGAGCTCGACGTGTGTATTTATCTAAGTTCAATATTGCGCGGCTACTACTTACTATAGGTACACATATATTATGAGATAAGCTGTAATTACTAAATGTATACTTGTCCAGATAAAAAAAGAAGAAGCGAGGTTATTCGAGGGTGGCAATTTATATATACATTTGAATTGATCGAACCGGAACAACATTTAATATATCAGAATTGGCATGATTGCGAGCTTCAGTACACCCTCCTGTTTTCTCTTCTTTTTCTGCTGTCGACGGGATTTTCCGCTTACCCTCGTTTAATTTTGCAGGGAAGCGCGACGCGGAACTCGACCGTACTCAATTTGTGCATCAATTTTGCTGATCAGTGATAAACCTCCCACTGTCCATACAAGTTAGCGCGGATCTCGCACAATCTTATTTCAGATCGGTATTTCGCAGTGGTAATACGGTATATATGGTTTTGGGTGAACGAAACAGGCACGATCGTGAGGTATATACACGCTTACAGAAACAAAAATAAGTTAATAAGCAATTTAAAGTTTAAAAAAAATTTTTTTTATTCAATTTATCTTTTTGAACCTTTTCATTCGTTTATTATAAAATAGTGTTCTTCATAGTAGGGTACTTATACCAGTGATTGACCGCTTTCGACCAGTAAATGACCACTTTTAGATGTGCAATAATTATCGTTTTTCCTCGTTAAATTAGGATCAAACATAGAAAACAAGATGCATCATTCACTAAATAATTGAATAACGTCCATACATAAATGTATTTTTAATTGTTTTTCATATGATATTTTCTAAAATGGTCATTCACTGGTACCCGGTCATTGATTGGTCTGACTACCCTATATTTTAGCTTTTTTTGAAACTTCTTGGCCCTCGCTCTCCCTCGGTCTTTTGTTGCTATCGCACTTTGTCACACTCGCCGTTGCATCTTTCTTGCTGTCCTCTTGATCTTGAGCCGCCAAGCAGATATTATACAAATCCTTGTTCTTCAGATTCCCCAGGATAAGTTCGCACATCTCAAGCGGAAGCCGATAACGAATGAGTTTCCAGAAGGGCTCCAGCGCCCAGGACTGGAAGAATCGCCTCGACATAATCTCGCACAGGTACACGGGGCAAGCCTCTTCGGCTCCGACTTTGTCGAATTCGAAGCGCGATACGTCGTTGTACACGAAATCGTACATGTTCTTATACGTGACTCGTTTGTTAACTTCCTCGGCTCGGCGCAACTGTATCACGTCGTGGAGCTGCAGGTCCTTATTCACCATAGGCGTCCTCGCTCGGCTCGCGAAGGCCTCGTTCTCCAGCAGGATGCTTCTCAGATCGACGTCGGCAGCCTCGAAGAATCCGTAACGAGCGAACAGCCGCATGATCCGCAGCGCGTCCCTACGGGTCAGCTCGTATCCTCGCTCGCTGAGGCGTTCGGCGCAGAGCAGAGCGCCGAGCAGCTCTCTCGATTTCACGTCGATTATCCGCTCGCCGCAGTCGTCGTCGCAGTGATTAGGATAGTCGAAGCCGGCGAGATCGGCCCCGTAATTCAGGAGCACCTGGAGGGCATCCGGCATGTGATTCGCCACGGACAACTGAAGTGGTGTCCGGCCCAACTTGTCCCGGGCGTTGACTCGCAGCGGCCAATATCTGTCGTGGCTGTGCTCGAACAGGGCCATCGTCAAGTCCCTCTCGTTGTACTCCGACGTCATAATTATTGATTGACTCGGATACTTGCAAACGGCGTGGAATGCTGTCTCTCCGGCTTCGTTGGCTCGATTTGGATCGGCGCCATGCCTCAGCAGAAAGGCAGCCGTACTCGTATCGCCTTCCTTCAGAGCTAAATGCAGCGGGGTCCTACCCGAGTCGTCCGCCACGTCGACCTCCAACGGCCAAATCGATTCCGCGGCGCTAACCTCGAAGAACAGATCCAGAAACTCCTGGTCGACCGGACCGAAGTCGCAAATGAGGTGCAGAGGAGAGAGTCCGCTCGCGTTGGCCACATTCGGATCCGCGCCGAATTGTAGCAGCGTCAGCGCCGCCAGCTGGTTAGGTTTTTCCATGAGGGCCAAGTGTAGCGGTGAGTCGCCGGTTTTCGGCAGGAAACAATCATTGGGATCCACCCGGCCGAGCTCGAGAAACGTCTCGACGACATTCAATTCGACGACGTTGAATTCGTCGTCGTAGTACTGGCAGGCCGCGTGGAAATGCGTGTATCCGTCCTCACCGATGTAATTCACGAAGCCGTAAATCTCGCAGAGGTGGGAGATCATTTCGCAGGGTACGGAGCCGTTTTTTACTGCCTCGTGCACCGGAGTCGAGCGATGCAAAATTG